TGGAGTACTAAGGAGTTTAGTAAATGTGTTGCCTCTCAGTCTCCACTGTTGACCTTTTTACAGCAACTTCGCTGACTATTTTCTGACGGTTGAGTTAAGAATTTTAGCACGCTTATAAAGGTGGTAAGGGGTGTTCCTGCTTGAGCAGTTATGTCACATTTCCACGCTAATACAGCTATCACTTGTAGGAGCTGCTCGACAAACATCTAATCCCCAAAGCTGAGCCTGCTGACAGCAAAGTATTCTACTTGAAGATGAAGGGAGACTACTTCCGTTACCTGGCTGAGGTTGCTTCTGACAACGACAAGCAGGGTGAGTAAAACAAGACCTTTTTGTTCATGTTTTGCAAACAATTTGTCATTTTGGATGCATAGATAGATATCCGCTCCCTCAATTCCTCTGGAGATACTAGCACGTAAGGCACTTGACACATGGATGTAATGGTTCGTACTAGTGTTGTGTGATCTGGCATCGTTTCCATGGCGATGGCCGTTTGACCATCTATTAGAGGAAGAGACAAATACATTCTGATTAATGGTCCTTAATATCCACAAGGAGATGAGGCACGGCTCATTTCAGGTGTTTGTGGCCAGAATACTGACACCCTTCCCATCCTTAATAAACAACTGCTAGCCAAAATGCAGGAGAGGACTGCTGCTGGGTTGTCATGGCAACAGGAGCCGCACCAGGGTGTTGGCTACAACGACTTCCAGATGGCATATTTAGTCTTTTTTTCTTTTTAGTTTTTCCACTCAATTTTAGATTGTTTTGTGGGTAATACAGTGGCTGCTTTTCATTTTCCTTGCATGTCTTACTTTCTAGCCTCCTCTCCTTGTCTCTTCGTCCTGCCCATGGGTTATGGGGGCAGAGGAGGCAACGAGCATTTAACAAAATGTGAAATTACCTCAGACAAGCACTTATTTGGTTTAGAGACCTGCCTTTACTTTAAACAGTCTGTTAGGAAAACTATCCTGCATTCATACACATTATTTTTTTGTATATATTTTGTATGTATATTATAGTTTATCCAAGGAATGCTGTGCGGTCACCAGCTACAAAAGACTAACAAGAACGAACTCTCCAGTTAATCTTAGCACAGATTTGTTTTTGCACAATGCAGCATTGTGAGTGTTGAACCACAGCAGTGCAGTACTGATTGGGCATACTTACCAATACCTGCCAGAGGCCTTTACAGTAACTACTGGAAACAACTAACATTGACTTTCCTTTTTTGTTCTTTGCATGTCCAGAAATCATCAACAACTCGCAAAAAGCATACCAGGATGCCCTGGAAATCAGCGCCAAAGAAATGCCACCCACGCATCCAATCCGCCTAGGCCTCGCTCTAAACTTCTCTGTCTTCTACTACGAGATTGTCAACTCGCCGGAAAAAGCCTGTCACCTGGCCAAGACGGTACGAACAGTTCTTATTACAGTAGTTTTTTATTTTGGTTAATCTGATTATATTTTTGGGACAAAATGATGGTACGGATGGCAGAATTTATCTTTTGTAAAGCTCTATTAACCATTGCTTGTTTCCATCCATTCGTCAATGTCCAGTGTAGCAGGTAGTGTTTTTATGGATGTGTCATGGCTCGGTGGATTCTGTGTCAGGGACATTTTTTTTTGGTGGGGGGGTGCCCCTTTTGAAGGAAGAGCATTGCTGAAGTGCATGGACATACTTTAATCAAAAACATGCCCAAAATATCTAATTAAAAGATGCGCTATATCTTTGTTTCTTAGCTAACGGGCTGACGTAGGTAGCGTTATATTTATCATACACGCAGGAAAGCTTTTTGTCTTGGCGGGGACAGCTATTGAGGATTTTTGCTAATATGTCAAGCGATTTCATTAATCACATGGACACAACATACTACAAATTCCTGACATTTTCATTTATGATAGTCGTTTTAGTTATAGTACTTGGCACTTCCTTTTAATCCCTTTTGACAATCCTACCCTGTTCTGTGGCGTTTTTTGGCAATGTCTCAAGACCCAATATTTAGAAAAAAAAAATAAAAAAATTATATATATATATATAGTATTGTAATCTTTGCCCCACGTTGTGGCTCCATTTCATGTCTGTCAATGTGCAACCTGTGGAAATGTGTAGACTGTTTTTTTTTGGAAACACTGACTGCTATCTTTCTTTTCCAGGCCTTTGATGAGGCCATTTCCATGCTGGACACCCTCAACCATGAGTCGTACAAAGACAGCACCTTGATCATGCAACTGCTCCGTGACAATCTGACAGTGAGTGGTTTTGCTTCAAATCCATGAATGTCTGCGGTGTCTTATTTTCTAGTGGAGTTTCACAATAGTCCTAGGACTAAATATTTGAGAGGCAAATGTTTTCCATTTTGGTTCCTACAGTCAATCACCACTGACAGTGTTGTTGCCTTTTTAGTGAAGCGTAATCTACATAGAAAGCTGCTGAAATGACATATCTCCTTCTGAAGTTATCTACATTGATCAAAGCTCAAAGTCTGCTTGCTTCTTGCCCGTAAAACACGTAGGCCGACAGATCGGCTTCATTTCTTACCATGGAGCTGACGTGAAGCTCACTTCCAGTGGGGGTCGCCAGTTTGTGTGCGCTGATCCCAGTGTCCTTTGCTCTGTCTCAGCTGTGGATGTCAGACGCCCAGGGTGAAGGCGAGGGAGAAGAGACGGAGCAGGAGCCAGAACCGGAACCACAACCGGAGCAGGAGCCGGCAGCTGAAGAGAAATGAACTTCGGGGGAAAAAAAACAAACAAGAAACACACATTTTTTACCTCTCACCAGCCTAAGTTGTGTGTGTGGTTGTGTGCACATACATGCACAGATATGTATGTTTACACTCTACTCACAATGTGTAAAGTACAGTATGTGTGTGTGTGCAGACTCGTGTGTTTGTTAAATGTATGAGCACCTCCACGGAAAAGAATGGAATAGATCTGTTTTGTTTCTGTTTAACATTTTGTCAACCGGTGGATTTTTGTTTCTCGTCCATGGTTTAGTGCAGATGAAATCCTTCCCTTTTAGCACCAAACCAGCCCTGTGTTCTTTAACCTTTGTTCACTGTAGCAAACTGAACTCAAACAAAACAACCTCTGTAACTTTGATAATTTATACGTTTTTACTTGAGGTCAACAAAATCCCTCGAAGCACATAAACTGAAAAGAATTGAATAAAAAGAACTCCCATCACGATGGCAATGATCGTACGGATGGCAGAATTTACCTTGGTAAAGCTCTATTACACATTGCTTGTATCCATCCCGCCCGTCAATGTCCAGTGTAGCAGGTAGTGCTTTTATGGATGGTACATGTGTCACGGCTCAGTGGGTTCTGTGTGCATTCGGGTAAAGGACAGTTTTATTTTTTTTTCTTCCTTTGTATGAATGGCCACTTTTGGAAACTTGGCTTGATGCTTTGAGAGGATTACATTCCATTTAACTGACATCTTTTCACTCTTAGTGAACTTTGACTATTAATTTTCTGCAATTTTCCACAACACATGACAAGGTATGAACAGCCTAAGATGAAGTGAACAATCTGACAAATGGCTCAATACTGTAACTTTTGATATTTGATCTTTTCAGCAGTGCAGAGCATACTTTTGCCATGTGCATTCACGTGGCTTTCTACTTTTTTCTATTCAGGTGTTTTTGTATTTTCATTTTGTGTATTTTATTCCCCTTTGACTCCTGGAATGTATGTGGTTCTCATTAGTATGGTATGAGGGTTAGTCGTGCTTTGAAACTAGCAGGTTTTGCTTAGGATTTTAGCCTGAACTGGTTGGTTTACAGTAACATTTATCTTTCTTCAAAGTACATTGTGAAAAGAAACTAACATGCTAAATATAAACTGATTATCAAAGTAACTTTGTTGAAAGCTGTGTTATGACCATTTAGCCCCAGTGTAGTGCCAGTTTCTTCTAACTACAGTATCTTGATTTTAAAAGATGGGATGCAGGAATCAGAACACTTGAGTACGTTATTTGGTTATGTGCTTTTCATGTAAGTGGAATTAAACCATTAAAATCAAGTGTGCTCTGCTCAATGAATGTGTTTGCAGTCTAAACATGTTGAAGGACATTATTACAATGGTTTAACTCACGAGTGGCTGTGCCAGGCCTGTTTGGCATTAGCTCAATCTACCACATTTTCCCATTCCAATGTAAAAGACAAATACTTGCCTGGCATTACCTCGCTTGGTTCTGGTAAATTTGAGAAATTTAAAACGAGTAAATCGCCTTGAAAAAATGCTGATATGTTTCTATCAAGGAAGCTTTTCTCAGACACCACTGCCACCTTCAGATGTGGATGATTCAGAAGGACTGATTCTCCATTTAGATGTGTAATTTGATCTCTACACAAACCTAAAAATGATAAGTCCAGCCAGACTGAGACTGCATCTGACTTAGACCAGTCAAACTCACAGAAGGGTCACAAACCTACTGTATACCTCTATCATACTAAGCTGATCACATTATAAAACCAATCAAGTAGAGACTTCTGTTTTGCACTGATCAATGGCCTTTAAAGACAAACATTTCTTGAATGCAGTGATACGAAGTTTCACTCAGGTTGGAACGGATAAGGACCCTAGAAGTTGCACCACAAAGTAAATACATGCATATCGCAAAAGGTTTATACGTGATGAATACCTGCCCATTTCATTTGCTAAATGGCCGAGCCGCACGAGGAGCATTGTGGGTTGTGTGCAGTAAAAACCACATGCTTGACGCATGACAAGCCCGTGACATTCCGAGCGCTGGCAGCGGGGATCTATCGTGAGCACTGCGGGAGAATTCACGTCGTACCCACATAGTGTGAACAAGCGATCGACAACTGTCAATTTTTAGTCTTTTAAGAATACGTTTTTGCATGATTTCATCATCATGCGTACAGATAAGGACAACGCCCCTTTGTCGACTTTTTTTTAAACTACACCGACGGATGATTGGTCCATTTCGGTGACGCGCCCTTCAGTATAAATACGTCAGCTTCCTCTTCCGTGCCACCCTCTACCCCGGCTAATAGTGCTGCGTGAGTGCGTGCTCCTGAGCTCGCTCGGCACACGTTCTATAAAAAAAATTAAAAAAATAAAAAAAAACCTCAAAACATAAAAAAACAAAAAATCTTTTTTTCTTTTTGTAACAACGGTGAAGCTGGAGTAACGTCGGACATTCCACGAGAGGACGGGAACGCGTACAGGGGGCTACGGCATTTTTTTTTCTCCTTCAGTCGACGTGTTACTGGTTCAGAACCGAAGCTAAGTACCGTTCCTTTTTATCGTTGTGTGTCACGCTCGGTTGACCGTGTTAACCCCACTGGAAGTCGACGTTTTGTCATTTTAGCTTATTTATTTTCTACAATTTTACTCGTAACGCTCCCAACTGACGAGCCGAACGGTACGCTAACGTTCGCCATCGCCGCACTCTGCCCCCCCCCCCCTAACTGGCGTGACGCTGCCGCCCGCGAGTGCACCGACGATTCGCAACCGTCGCCGAAAACTTTTTTTTGTTTCAATTCGGAAAAAAATAGCCCGCCGACTTCTTAACTAGCCCTCCGCAGACGAAAAAAAAATGAATCCCAGCGCTCCCAGTTACCCCATGGCTTCCCTGTACGTCGGGGATCTGCATCAAGATGTGACCGAGGCCATGCTGTACGAGAAATTCAGCCCGGCCGGAGCCATCCTGTCGATTCGGGTGTGCAGGGACATGATCACCCGGCGTTCGCTTGGGTACGCTTATGTCAACTTTCAACAGCCGGCGGACGGTAAGTCACTTCTCCATAAAGCTAGCCGCCACAAATGTTTTTTTATTTTATCCTGTTTAAATAACTGCCGGTGACACGTGAAAAGCTAGCTTCTTTCGGCTACACGTGACTCCGGCCGACATGTTGTCGGTAGGGTCTCCTGAGTTGAACCTCCCAGCGGTGGCGTAGCAGTAAAGCGCCGCGCCCACCCTGCTAATGTAACGTTAGCGGCGGACCGCTACCGGCCAGCTGGGTTCTCAATGCCCCTTTATCTCATCTGTCAGGAACAACACCCCAACTGTTCTCCCCGCAGAGCTGACACAACGTTTTGATCTAATCTCTCCTCTAAAATGCCGGTCAATCGGCTTCGCGGGGATCTGAGCATGCACCTTTTATTAGATTAGGAAAAAAAGAATAGCGTCCATGTTTGTAAAAATGTTGGGATATGTCCAGGCTGCATACGTCACTAGCCAAATATCTACGCTAAACATGTGCAGCATTCCTCTTGGATGTAAAAATAGTTCACAGCCAACTTGAGCAGCTATTTAGCTATAAAAAAACAACCTTTTTAACACTTTATAGGCGCATCTGTCATATCCTGCGCTTTGAGGATTCAGATGCAGTCAATTATCTAACCCCTGTTCTTGTCGTTCCCTCAGCTGAGCGTGCTCTGGACACCATGAACTTCGATGTGATCAAGGGGCGGCCTGTGCGCATCATGTGGTCGCAGCGTGATCCATCCCTGAGAAAGAGTGGCGTGGGGAACATCTTCATTAAGAATCTTGACAAGTCCATCGACAACAAGGCCCTGTACGACACCTTCTCTGCCTTTGGCAACATCCTGTCGTGCAAGGTAAAAGTTCTTCCGCACTGACACATTTTTAGGTTTTATTGAGTGACTACACGCGCACACAATAGTTTTAGATTATTTTTCTAAAAGATTCCCAATCATATTAGCACGACCGTCCAATGACATTTCAAGTACACTGGGCATGTGGGTCCCAGTGTAAATAGGTAAGTAAATGATAAAAATAACTGCTTGCTTCTAGTGCACGTTGGTTGTAGTAACATTTGAAAATCCAGCATTTAGCTGCACAACAGCTGTCACTTTTCACTACCACAGCAGTGCCTTTAATCTGTTATCTATGTGGAATTAACCCGTGGAAGTAATCAGTCAAGGCCGTTGTTTGTCTTCTCCTGGCAACATGGCAAATCGGGGGCGGTTGCTTAAAAAGTGCAATAAATGTCAGTTTCACATTGACATGAATATGTCTACTTTTTTGTGTGGCGTTCGCCGCAGCAAGGTAGAGCGCACCAGAGTGACTGTTTGCCTGACTAACACCCACCGCATTTGCATGTGTGAGCTAAGTAAATATCCTCTCATTATTTGAACTACAGACATTCTTCCTGGGACATTATCTCCCAACAGTTTGCTTTTAAGGCCATAGGGCAATAAAAGCAAACTATTAAACGAGCAAAAAACAAATGAGTGTATATACATTGGAAATAATGGTTAGCAATAGGAGGAAGGGTTTTAACATTGCAAACTCGAACATCACAATAGAAAGTCTGTTTCAGATAGGTGACAAATGAGACCCTTCAGGTTCAATGGACTGCATGTGTGTGTGGTTTCAAAGCAGCATGTGTTTCTTTCTCTAAGGTGGTTTGTGACGAGAATGGCTCTAAAGGCTACGGCTTTGTGCATTTTGAGACTCAGGAGGCCGCCGAACGAGCCATTGAGAAAATGAATGGCATGCTACTCAATGACCGCAAAGTGTAAGTGAATGTTTTAACTTGTTTTTTAAACTAATATGTGAAATTGGAAGGAGTTTTGTTTCACTTAATACTACACATGGTCTGAAGGTTTACAATAATGCTCAAGCGCTTTGGAATTTTCCGTCAGTATGCAAATTATGACTAAACAGATTTGTGGCAAATGGAGACGGTTATGCTAAATGTGTGGAATAACAACCCCGATGAACCTGCCTTTAACAGTCTGCCTTTCTGTTGGACATAAGCTGGACATATTATCTCTAATTGGCATAGTTAATATCTAATAATGTGCTAAATGTCTGTTTCAATGCAGATTTGTGGGTCGCTTCAAATCTCGCAAAGAGCGCGAGGCTGAGCTGGGTGCCCGAGCCAAAGAGTTCACAAACGTCTATGTCAAAAACTTTGGTGAAGACATGGATGAAGAGAAGCTGAGGGATGTCTTCAGTAAATATGGTCAGTCAGGGTGTCAAATATCTTATGTGCTCCTCTGCATCGATATTCCATCATCCGCATTAAAACGCTACTGGGTAAAATATAGCTACTTAAGTTCATGTCTCTTTGTAGGAAACGCGATGAGTATACGAGTCATGTCCGATGACGGCGGGAAGTCACGAGGTTTCGGGTTTGTGAGCTTTGAAAGGCATGAGGACGCCCAGAAGGTAAGCAGCCGTACCAACCATCCAGAGATGTCCAGTCCTCAGTCTTCTGAGCTGACCTCGTTGTCTCGTTTGCTTCAGGCGGTGGATGACCTGAACGGAAAAGAGTTCAACGGTAAGCTCATCTATGTCGGCCGTGCCCAGAAGAAGGTTGAGCGGCAGACGGAGCTCAAGCGCAAATTTGAGCAAATGAAACAAGACCGCATGACTCGCTACCAGGTCAGTTTTCCCGCTTTTGAATCTAATGCAACTTCTCGTGTCCTAGTGGGATAGTTTCTTCTAATCGGTGCGGCTGGAAGAGTGCAGCTTTGTCAAATTCGGTGCTCCCGCCTTCATCGGATGCACTGGCCAAAATGGCTGCAACAGTGACTCTGTAGTTCATGGGCCCCACTTTTCTTCACTGTGATCTCTGGGGATAAATATGTTTTACAGACAAATACATTAAATAGCGGGTATTTTTTCCATTTGCTTATTTTGAACTAAGATTTCCAAAACGCACAAAAAACGTTAACATTAGTTTTGTCTTATTTTCAGGGTGTCAACTTGTACGTGAAGAACCTTGATGATGGGATTGACGATGAACGTCTAAGAAAGGAGTTCACGCCGTTCGGCACTATAACCAGTGCCAAGGTGGGAGACTAGCTGTTTCTTGGACTTTTGTAATTGACACCTGGTTTAACGACTGCGTTCATTTACCGGTATCCAGATTTGTTCATTGGTTGCGTTTGACTCTCTCTCTCAGGTCATGATGGAGGGCGGGCGCAGCAAAGGCTTCGGTTTTGTCTGCTTCTCGTCCCCGGAGGAGGCCACAAAAGCTGTGACGGAAATGAACGGCCGCATTGTGGCGACTAAGCCGCTGTACGTGGCCCTCGCCCAGCGGAAAGAGGAGCGCCAAGCCCACCTGACCAACCAGTACATGCAGCGCATGGCCAGTGTGCGGGCTGTGCCAAACCCAGTCATCAATCCCTACCAACCAGCCCCGCCCTCTGGCTACTTCATGGCAGCCATACCTCAGGCCCAGAACCGTGCTGCTTACTACCAAGCCGCTGGGCAGATGGCCCAGCTCCGCCCGAGCCCCCGCTGGGCGACACAAGGCGTCAGGCCACAACGTGAGTGTCTTCACTGTGTACATGTACTGTCGTCCTAAAGCACACAACAGTCGTTTGTACACAAAGCAACCATGTTTTTGTGTCTTCAGACTTCCAGAACATGCCAGGTGCAATGCGTCCCTCGGCTCCGCGCCCTCAGACCTTCGGCGCAATGCGGCCGCCCGCCCAGGTTCCCCGCATGATGTCCGCCCAGCGCGTCGGTGAGTCGCCTACACTCAATAGTCAAATACAGGTCAGTTGTATGCCTGCTACTTCTGCCCTTTGCTTACATTTGTGTTTGTTTCTGTCCCTGTTCTTGAACCAGCTCAGAGCATGGGCCCGCGACCGGCTGCCGCCGCCACGGTAGCTCCTGTGCGTGGAGTCCCCCAGTACAAATATGCCGCTGGAGTCCGCAATCCTCAGCAGCACATGCCTGCTCAGCCGGTCCCCATGCAGCAGGTAGAGATGTCTTTACCAGCCTGCCACTGATTACATCATTTTGAGGAAAAAATGTTTGAATGTATAGTTCTAATTTCTTGTGTGCCCTTGTTTGTGCGCAGCCTGCTGTCCATGTTCAGGGACAGGAGCCTCTGACGGCCTCCATGCTGGCAGCTGCTCCACCACAGGAACAGAAGCAGATGCTGGGTAAGTTGAGTAACACCCCCCCACACACACCAGATCTTCTGTATTGTTAACGCGTATTAATCTAGGGTTGTCTCAGTAACCCTCCCTTGTTGGGAGATGCTTTCATTTTGATTGAAACCCCTTTGTCCCTCCTCTAGGTGAACGCCTCTTTCCACTGATCCAGAACATGCACCCAAGTCTGACGGGGAAGATCACTGGCATGTTGCTGGAAATTGACAACTCAGAGCTGCTCCACATGCTGGAGTCCCCAGAGTCTCTCCGCTCAAAGGTAAGCACTTAAGTTTAGTAACATTGACAAGTTTCCTTACCTGGGACATAAGGACATGGAGTTCAAAGACTTCCATTCTAGTCTCTTAATAGAAGTGTCTCGGAAGCATTTACTCAAAAGGAGGAGAGTTTACACTCCAGCTCTAGTGCTGCTTCACTAGCTACTCCTTTTTGTTATGCAGGAAAGGTGAATCTTGTGGCAACAGAGCACTTCTGAGATCCTACCATGATGTTGTGGTGTTGCCAACATTCAAACCCTTAATCGTTGCAGGTGGATGAGGCCGTGGCTGTGCTTCAAGCCCACCAAGCAAAGGAAACCGCCCAGAAGACTGTGACCAACTCGGCTGGTGTCCAGAGTGTCTGATCCCAAGGTAAGGCTGCTTTAACAAGGAAAGGCTGGTGTTGACGGTAAATTATGGCTTAATGTTCCGCATATTTATGAATTATCGATTACACCAGGGATTACCTACACATGGCTCTGAACATAACTGCTTGCAACTAAAGAGTGCTAGCAACATGAACATTGCAAACTAAGGCAGCAGTGCTGCCTAAGCTTCAAACTGTTCATCCCAAGAGGGAACTTTTTAGGGCGGGCGCTGTGTTTCTGCCACAACACTGGATCGGAATGGTGTTGTAAGTGCAGAGCAGCAGCCGTTAGCCAGCCATCTGGTCGTGCACACGAAAAACGCAAAAAAGAGGGGTCAAAAACGTTTCAAAACATTTAAAGCAAAGAACCGTTGGCCATAGTTTTCTTCTCAGAAAATATATAAGCCTATTCTGAAATCCTTTGTTTTCGAACTATCAGAACGGCCTCATTAGCACTGGGCAGCCCTGCCTCCTTTCAGTTGTGACGGGGAGCGGAACAGTTGCTCTGATTGCGCACTATTTGAATGACTTATCAATACAAATATGATCCATTGTATTTTTAATGTACAGTTACTGAGGAACTTTAGTATGACACGCCTTGCATCATTAATACAGGGAATTGTTACTATTAAAGGAACATCAGCAGTCCAAAAAATGAAAATGAGTCAAATGTATTGCACACCATGATGACGCTATCAAAATAAAATCCGTGAGAAGTGATCTGTTACAGCACTAGTAATATCACTAATTGTGTTTTTGTGTTTTCACAGGAGTTGGGAACCTTGGATCCAGCTTCACCGATTTTAACATTGAAAAAGATAAAAATTCATGAAAACAAAGTAAAAATAAGTCAAATGATATATAATTAAAAAAATACCAACGGAAACAAGTCTCCAACCAGGCCTCAAATAAACAGAAACACCAGGCCTTGTTTGCAGAGTTAAAAAGAGAAAATAAACAAAAAAGAGAAAAAAATAAAATTAAAAAATGGTTGTTTTATGAGAGGTTTTAGAGAATTATCTTCCAAAATAAGATTGAAAGCATTCCTTTTCTGCCTTTTATTCCCATTGAAACGTTATGTTTAGGTTCCTGCAGCCTGTTCTTGTGTAATTTCCCTTGACCTTTGCTTGCTTCAATAAAACTTATAAAGGTATCTTTGTCTGTTTGCTTTTTGTGACATTACAACAAGGTCAAGGTTCTAGACCTGTTGGCCCAAACAAATGATCAAGTCTCCTAAGAAACAAACGCCCACTATACACAAATGAAATGTACACAGTGAAGTTGTTTTTGCTCTTTTTATTGTGCTCGTGGACACAGATGATTGTCAACAACCAATGGAACACGTCTCCGGCCTTTCTGCCCTCAGGCCAGCCGTTCAAGACAAGTGTTTGGCACGTGGCTCTTTTTGGAAGGACGTTTAGTTGGCAAGGGCCATGGTCTGGTCTGCGAGGTTCTTGAAAACTGCCTCCATCTGCTTCTGGAAGTTCTCGATCTGGGGCTGGAACTGAGCCTGCACGTTGGCAGTCAGGGGCCGGAGCTGCGACTCGACGCTGGTGGCAGCGGCCCTCAGCTGCTCCTGAATCTGAGCGACCAGAGGCTCCATCTGGGTCTTCTTGTCCTCTATGAAGGCCCTGTGAGGTACAACATTATTAACAATCGTGTGTGTGTGTGTGTATATCTGTTTACTACCATGTTTATTGCAAGTTTGCTGAAAGGGGGGAGGGGGGGAGCAGCATTGTTTTCTTTGACAGCCAACACTTTTTTTCTTTTTTTCTTCTGGTTAATAGTGGTCATCAGTATGTTCTTACTGACAACCATTTAACGGGGGTGAACGATATGTGCGGAGTTCGCGGTACTCACTGAGCCTGGTTGGTTACGTCGTGGCTACGGATGATCTCAGTCACGTCCGCAATCAACTTGGTCTTCATGGCATCGAAGTACTCACTGAGCCTTTCGAGATCGGAAGCATCTTGGGCGAAGCCCCCTGTAGTATTCAAAGATTAAAAACAGTCAATTAAATTGTATTATGTTTTTCACATAGTTTAAAACAAAATACTCTAATTTGTATGATAAGATAACAAGGTGAAGTTCATACCTTGTGCCAAAGCAAGCACAACAATAGTTGCAATGAGGGAGTATTTCATGATTGCTGATCGGAGGAGACCTGCAAAAGGAAACGTATGGTTGGAGATGTGTACTGATGTTATAATACTGCATGTTGCTCTTTTTGGCTCTTTTGCTCTTTTTATCAAGCGCCATCCTTTTTTAGCGCATTATGTTGGATTTAGCCATGCTGATAAATTCAGTTTAGAAGTTTAATAGAAATGTGTTTTGTTGCTCAGATCACTGATTAATGTTCACATTTTCCAGGAATGTCAGCGTGGCCTTTTTCCCACAAACCAATATTTGTTGTCACCCTGTGTTTGTAGAAACACTCACACCATGAATTTTATCTGGCTTATCAGACAGTAAAACTTTGGAGGGACCTTGAATGATGTATTAAAGCTATGTATGTGTTATGTTATTGCTTTGAATGAAAAGCATAAAATCATTAATTAGATAAGAGTTTATTTTAAATCTAAACGTGTCTACATATTTATACACACACTAATGTGTAGCACTGCTATGGGGCTTTGTTAAGAATCTATGTGGATGATGAAACAAATTAAGAAAAATAATTTTGTGGTAAACTATATATAAGCACATTAAAATAATTACATAACAAATAGACCAAAAGGATTGGGCCGGCATTTAAACGAAGTAAAACATTGAGAAACATCAACTATCATCCAACGTCAGTTTTGTGATTCAATCTATAATTCTTAAATTTAGGAATAATTTGTAGTCTTACATTTCATGAAAGCTATTAGAATTGTCTCATTGTTTCAGATGCCGTTTAAACACATACAAAAAAAACGATTTACACTCACTTGTACTGCAGGAGAAGTTGGAGCTGATGGTGCTTTCCTGTCGGACTCCAACGCGTCTTATAGTCCCGTGTGGTGATGCGGGCGTGACTCGTGAATCTGATAGGATGAGGAAAAAAGAAACTTGCAACTGTTGGATGTTTGTGCGGGTAGAGAATCACACACAACACTGAACCTCGATGGCACAATCTGCCACCTGGACACACTAAACCAAAGTCCAACCGTTCTTTTGCTGACTTTCCAACATGAGTGTACATCTTATCATATTGATTAATTAAATGGCTTAATCGTAACGGCATCGGCGTTATGATAGTGAGGCAAGGCCAGAACCTTTGTGAAACAGTCAACCGGAGAACTAATTCTATAATCACTCCTTGTAAGGAATTAACAGCATTAAAACGACAACCTCAAAAAAGCATTCTACACACACATCATCTATCACTATTGGGAGGACTAAAACCTTCTGTGCGTGCAACAACAGTAGAATCTGGGTTATTACAACATCCAGGGAGTTTGTGAGCCTACAGAAGTGGGGACAGGATCTGTACAACAAAGCCAGAAACGCACTGACAAAAGCGATCAGAGCAGCAAAGAGGAGCTACACTGAAAAGTAGGAAAACAGACCGGAAATCAACCGGCTGAGGATTTGAATGTGTTTCACTGCAGGTTTGAGGAGCCCACTTTCACACCCCCCAACTCGCTCTGACACCAAACAAACCACCGACCCTAACCCGCCAGAAAGGTCACATCAAGCACCTCGACCATCAGCTCCAGATGTGCGCACTCCCCCCTCTTCTCTTCTTCTCCCTCCACACTAACCCTGCACCTCAGGAAACCCATCTGTTAAACTCCTGAAGTTCGCGGACAGCACAGCAGTCGTTGTGAGTCTGCGTATGGGACAGGAAGTTGAACAAATGCCCCTCTGTTGTGGTCTGAACAACCTGGAATCCTCCCTCCTGCCGCCACAATACCCCAACAGCACTGTGCTGTGGAGAGCTTCAGGACCTTAAAGTAGGCCTCAAAAATACATAGCATCACGAAAAAAAAAAGGCCCCGCAGAGGATAGAGGATGTCATTCAAGGTTCCTCGGGAACCGCTCATTGATGTCTACTCCACCATCATCCGGTCTGCTCGCTGCATGTCCATCACTGGTGTGGATCGGCCACCAGGCAGGACAGGGACCCACCGCAGCGGAGAAAACCCTTGGTGCCAGCATGCCCTCCAAACACATCTCCATTGTCAGGAAACGGGCAGGAAACATCACTGCAGGCTGATCACACCCATCGCATCCTGGACACAACCACATCCAACCCCTGCGCTCTGGTGGGCGCCACAGAGGAGCACGAGCCAAAACCACCAGAGCGGCTTCTGCCCGCTGACTGTCGCTCTGGGTTCGCCCTGTCAGTGTCAGTCGGTGTCGATCATAGTGGGTGAATGGATTGACACAAGATGTCGCGCGCACATCCGTGGTTCCCACAGTATGAATACTGATGGCTTTGATGAGCTCACCAGTCGTCACCCATAACACCACCGGCGCGTACGCGTTGGCGGCTAAAGCTACAGCCGTAGGATCAGCATGTCAGCATGTCAGCGTGCTGTGATTAGCATTTAGCTCGAGTGAAGCAACGGAGAGCTGCTATTGGCTTTGGACTGTTGATTGTAGAGTGAGAATTTACTCTCATGTTTTAGAGTAAATAAAACCATTTCCTTTTACTTCAATTAATGGACCACAGGGTTGAAAACTATTCTCTGAAAAGAAAGGAAATAAAAAAAGCTGAACGAATCAATGTGGTCTTTAAAAATGTCTTGGTCAGCTGTCTTTCGGGGAGAAGTATGAGACTGGTACATGTGGATTTAACCCCTCTACCTTTAGTTTATATCCAACACTGTGTTCCAGTCTGTCTTTATGGCGGTTGTAAAGTGATTAACACTCAGCCCCGCTCCCACTCAGTCAGTCATAAACAATTCTAAACAGGGGGAAATGGGAAAACGGGGGAAATATGTGAGCTTAACATAAACAAGCTGTTTAATAAAACTTGAACGAGAATCCTGTGACTCTCTTTTCATCCAGTGGGAATTAACTTCACTGGAGTTTCTAAAGCTTCAATCAAAACCAGATGTGGGAATGTATTCTCTCTCCGTGCTGCTCAACGCGGTTCTGGACTCTCCTGGAAACCGCTTAGACGGTTTATGTCTCTTGAACCCACCTTTTCAAATGAAAACAAAAACGAGCTTGTAAGAAATTGGATTGGATTTGTATTATTACATAACATTTATGTGTTTTCACTTTTAGAAATGTTGTTAATTGAACTCAATGTCTCTACTGAGTGTTTTCTTGCTTATTTTGTACAACAAAACTGATCAAAGAATTTTAATCTGCAAAGTAAAGCTTTCAAACACCAAGCCTGTGCCCTAAAAAATACATTTATCTAGATGTCAAGGAATATAAGGAGAAGCACAGTGATAGAAGACATACTCACAGCCTTCACTGAAGTACAAATATCTTCTTATCTTACAATATCTTAATGTAAAAAAAAACCTCAGTAAAGGTTAAAGTTAAAACACCATGATAAGAAAAAGTAGGTTCATCAGATAAATGTTGAAATGGCCCTTAGGACTTTTATGTCAGGTTTATATTGTAACTGATGCTGTTGTTGCTGATGGGGGATCACTCTAGCTCGAACTACTTCATAAACGGCCAACAAGTATTTAGTCCGGTACTTGCTGACCTAGAGGTCAGGGCCTCCTCCACAGGTTCACCATGGCGTAATGTTTCATGAGATGATTAATGAAGCCACAAACCACAAAGTGGTGCAACGCAAATTTGTTTTCCCTTCTTGGAATCTTGGCTCTTTTGAGAATTATTGGAGCATTTTACTTCTTTTGGCTTCAAATTGTTATTCAACTAAAACCAGGTTAAAGGCTTGAAGGGGAAATGTTCTTTGGGTACAACTGCCAACATTTCTGAAAATGTTTTCATATAAAATCTTAATCTTACCTTTAGCCTCCGAGTACATATAAAGAGATATAAGGTAAAGTCATCCCTTGGTGGAGTAGAATAGTAGTAGTATAGTATAAAAGGGAAAAAGTATAAAAAAAATACATTTAAGCTAACTGCAACAAAAGCACCATGTTTAGGCTGGCTAATAGTTATGCCAGTGATCTACAGGGAGAGAAGGACAAGCTAACAATTAATGGCAAAAGAAAATCAAGGGCAGAAAACACACATAAGCATCAGAAACGGACTGGACCAAATGTCCCTGAGTTTGAGGTTATTAACCGCTGTAATGAAATGAGAGCACGCCCTCCAGTGAGCCAAACACTCATTACAATGCTGATACATCACTGGTGTGTTTGTACTCAAGTAAACAATTTTAAAAGGCCAGATCTGAAATGTTCGGTTTGGAGGATTTTTACAGTCCTCCAGTCTACTCGGATTTGTTGCAGATCAAGTTTAGAAAAAAAGATCCTCCACCACACTCCTCTGGCCTCACACCAGACCACAGAGAAAATTAAAATGTACCCAAGCCCCAGAAAGTCATAAAAAAACCTTAAGGAAACTCAAGAGGATGTCCCGTTTCCTCTTCAACTCTTTGGTGGTCCACTAACTCAAAGTTTGATCAAGTTACTTCGAACTTTGAACGTATGTTTCAAAGAATGAGCATCATTGTTTTCCCCTCTTCGACTAAATTGAGTTACTCGGCTTCCAAGTTCTAGTCACATGCTCCAGGCTGCAGAGCTGGAGCTGTAAACCCTCACTGGAGCTCCACTCTGTTGCTGCCAGAGAACAGGGAGGCTCAGATTTCTTGGCATGATATTTCTTTGACTTTCCACTGCTGCGTTCACAGTCGGCAGAGAATATCGTAATTCTGACTACAATTTTTGTTGTTGTTGATTTTAAATATTTAAATTAGTTTTCCTATGTATATTTCCCTTTCTTAATTTCCTTTTTGCATATTATTGTTATTGTATGTACTTTGTTTATTTAATTGAGAGCAAATGTAACCAAAGTCAAATTCCTAATATGCATAAGCATACATGGCAAATAAAACTGATTCTGATTCTGTTGGCCGTATGTGCCACAAACGGGAATGGGGTATCACATTGTCAGCTTTAAATAGCCTTAAGTACACTTCTATATAATTGGAAGTGCATCTGGCAAAGTTTGCAATTGAGTCAAATATTGACGTCCTGGTTTTACAAATGAGATTAACATCTATCTCTGGTGAGAAGCTGCAAACTGTAATATTCTGCTGTGTTGTGTAATTTCCTTTTTCAGGCGTTATTTTTTCCTGGCGTGGCATCTTCCATCACTAACTGATTTTATAACATTACGTCATCCTCATGGCTGCAAATGCTGCTTCATAGAAACTAAGACCCACCTTTTGATGTAATTCAGAACAACACAACCAAGATACTTGTCTGTCCAAACCCACCTGATAGATTACAAGAACCTGTTGTAATAAAAAACAATGTTTTAATGTATAATAACGCAATTCACAAATTTGCCGGCATTAAGATGTTGACCTCATATGGCTCACTGTCATCAGACACTGGATTTCTGAATTAGGATAAGAAACCAAGAACACAATTGATTCAAACAACATCCTGCAGCCATTGTGCAGGATTTGTTAAAGGTACACCATCCACTACAACGACCCGATTATGTGGAGTGTGTAAAGTACGATGAGTCCGTGAAGGCATCACGTGATTGACAATCCCGCAGTCTAATCCCGAGAGCGAGGATGCACAGCAGCGGTGATGTGTGTGGAACGAACATCGGCTAAGTGCTCCCTCCGACTGTGAGAGACCAAACCCGGCTAACACCCCCAGACACCACTTTGTTCTTTTTGTTTTTAAACCCGAAACCGTCGGCGTCGATCGCCACAAATCAAATCCAGACCGGGACTTCGCAGACGTGACGTCGGGACAATGGAATCCAACGTGATCCCGGACAGCATCCGCCCTCAGAGGCTGCAGCCGGGCATCGGCTTCGGTTCTGGACCGACCGGGACCCTCCGCTCCTCCCTGCGGCCCGGCGTCACGGTCCCCGTCGCGCCGCTGTTGCCCTCCCCGGCCTCTCTGGCCGCCTCCTCGGGGCCTCCCCCGCCGCTGGCCCCGCTGCAGCTCCACAGCCTGTACGGCGGCATTGGAGCGGGGCTCGGGGCCGCCGGCCACTGTAACCCGGGGAACCCGGCGGTGCTGAAGGAGGCGGTGGAGGCGGTGGTCCGCAGCTTCGCCAAACACACGCAAGGTTACGGCAGAGGTAACGTCCGGCGGTCACGTGGCGATACAATGTTGCTCAGTTTGGGAGTTTCCGAGGAGCAGAAAGTGGACAGAAAAACACGCGCTAGCTTTGAATCCCTCTGGATAACTATTGTCGCCGTAGTCACTATTATGTTTCTTGGCTTTAGTAGTTCCTCACGTACAGTCACATCTGCTACAACCACGTCGTGAAAGGATTAAAGTAGATGAGCGCGGGGGGATTACGTTTACATTTAGGACCAATACGCTGTTACACGTTGGACGCATTAAATCTGTGGTCCTTTTTTAGTTTTTATATAGTTACTTATTGTCAGTAGCACAGATGTTGTGGGTTCCTCTCTTCTTTTTAAAATTAAAATTATGTTGCCTATAATTCTTAGTAATTATTGCCATATGTAATTTGCGTAACTTTTTTTTTCTTTTTTTTTTTAGAAAAAAGCATGAATTAGGGATGTCCCAAAGGCTACTAATGATTAGATTTATGCTCACGTGTATTTTATCGCTGCAGCACATCGGACAAACTATAAATAATTATAACCAAAGCTGCTGTAATGCCGGCTGTTGAGCTAAAACAAGTGTTCCTGTCTGCTAATAGGATTTAATCCTAAAAGATTGTCCCTTTGTTTTCCCAACTAATAGACCCCCCCCCCCCCAACCCCCCATTCCATTTAGGCCACTTTACACACCAACAATGGCCACACAATACACACTGCTGATATAATGCTTCATAACTGCTTAACGTAGCTCCAATTTTGTGATTTGTTTCGGGTGAGGTAAGGTAATGCGTTGGTTGAATTATCTTATTTATACAGAAAGGTATAAGTAGTATTTGGAAATTTGGCAATAATTATCTGCACTCATTGATGTCACAATCATCTCCACCTAGTTATAAATATGTCATTAACAGGCAATTAGAAGGTTATTACATATATTATTAGTATTTTATGTCCTACCATGTTTGATATCAATTTCATCATCCTAGCCCATTTTTTCCTCCTGTGATACATTTGTCAAATATGTGCTGATCGCCTGCGCCACATTGTGGGTTTTTAATCTTGGCCAGCATAACCACAAGTATCCATCCGCTATCTCTGTATATTTCCTGTCTTTCTATTTCATCCATTTCCTGAACCATTTAGATGCTCAAAAATAACTTTGTCGGAACGCAGTGTGTTGAGCCAATTTTACATGGCCCTTAATTTAGAGCGACTTCATTCAAATTGAATGCATTTCATGGATCTCCCATTGCTCATCGTATATATGTAGTACCTCACAATCAAACAGTCACAGCTCAGCAGGATAGAGAGAAAACAAAACGCAACTCTCCGCTGATCCAAACACAAATAACAGTTTGTAACTCATACTTACTGCTTTCCTTTGTTGTTGTTTACTTCTTGGAGGACAGGACTGTAACTTTTCTCACATTAATTGTACAGTTCGGGTAGTGTTCTGAAGCAGCTCGTCTGAAGTGGTGCAGAATCCCCTCTAAGCAGTCTTCTAAACATTTTACGGAAAAACTTCTTCCATCCTCGACGCGACCTTCCTCCCACCGTCTCCATCTCTGTGTTTAGAGAGGAAGTCAGGGCCAAATGGCACTTTAGAGTTTGTTGATATACAGAACTGACAAGACGTAATACATTTTCATAGTATTCATCTCTATGCCCTTCAGTAAACGTGGTGGAAGCCTTGCAGGAGTTCTGGCAGATGAAGCTGACCAGAGGCGCCGACCTGCGGAACGGAGCCCTTGTTGTTTATGAAATGGTCCCATCCAGCAGCCCGCCATATGTTTGCTACGTCAGCCTTCCCGGGGGCAGCTGCTTTGGAAGTTTCCAGGTACCTCTTCTGCACCTTCGAAGCATAATTGTGATAAAATCATTACCGGTGCGGTTTTGTTAAATGAGAATTGTGATACACTTTATGATTCATGGAAAAAAAATGTCACTCAATGGCCACAAACATTTTAAAATTGAAAACATGAGGTCTGCGCACAAGACTAATGCGTGTTTTCTTCACTGTCGGGACAGTTCTGTCCCACCAAGGCAGAGGCCCGGCGCAGCGCTGCCAAGATCGCTCTGATGAACTCTGTGTTTAACGAACATCCCTCTCGACGCATCTCGGACGACTTCATTGAGAAGAGCGTCAGTGAGGCCCTGGCGTCCTTCAATGTAAGTTACGTAAAGGTGTGCTTTACGTACATGATACGTACTGTACTACATATATTACTAATGTGGAAGAGTTTGTATTATCTCCTCATTATATTTCCCACAGCCCGCTGACATTAACTCGTATTTCATTCCAGGGAAACAGGGAAGAGGCCGACAATCCAAACACCGGAATTGGGGCATTTCGCTTCATGCTTGAGTCCAACAAAGGAAAATCCATGCTGGAGTTTCAGGTGTGTAAAGTTTGTGTTAGGTACCATTTTATTCTACTAAAGTATATACAGTACTGGCAAGTTTGAGCGTCCTAACCCTGTGTATTAAGGGAAACAGGAAATATGCTACACTCTGAGTGTCCTCATTCTTAATTCTTGCCGGCTCGGCTCTGTTTGTGTTTCAGGAGCTGATGACCGTCTTCCAGCTGCTGCACTGGAACGGGAGTCTCAAAGCCATGAGGGAACGACAGTGTTCCCGACAGGTACGCAATCAAAGATCAGCATCCCTGCCAGTCTTGCATCGAACTGGAAGCATGTTCTCATTCCAACATCCCTTTAACCTCGGCCAAAAATGTCCTGAAGCCGCATTGCGTCTTGAGTTGGCGAGACCACTCCGCTTTCTCTCTCTCCCCTCTGGTTTGCAGGAAGTGCTGGCTCACTATTCCCACCGTGCCCTGGATGACGACATGCGCACTCAGATGGCCGCCGACTGGGTGAACCGAGAACAGAGCGTGGCGAGCACCGTGGCGCAGGAGGTGGCGTCGACGGAGCGAGAACTGGAGGACGCCCGGCTGGCGGGCCGAGAACTGCGTTTTTACAAAGAGAAGAAAGACATCCTGATGTTAGCCGTGGGCCAACTCAATGCTGCCAACACGGCCACGCTGCCCTCTCACTAAACCTGCCTTCTCACTCCGAAGGATCCCTGGTAACAGTATTAACCGCTTCGTAGATATAAAGGCGCTTTGTCTGAACTTTTAGGTTTTGCATCTTGTGTTTTCTTTACGAGGACCAGGTAATCGGGCCTTGATTTACAGTGTACACATCCGTCCACAGCATCAAGTAATGCCGCTATGGGCGTTACCTCTTTGTGCCTAGTGATGCAGGATAACAGTGTTTGTTTGTTTTTTTACCTGTGAACTTGCTTTGCATTCCAACTGACGTGGGTTCATATTTTTCATTATTTCATGCTGTACTTACAGAAACACGCAGTGGGCCTTTCATCAGTGAATGTACGGGACATAAGTTAGTACATTTAATCAATGTATGGACCAGCTTTTTCAAGTTCTTTTGTGTGTTTACTTACTTTGTGTATAATATTTTAGACTCCGGCTAGTAAAGAAGGTAAAAGCCAATTCAATATATATGTATATCAATAATCAGAATATAAAGAAATATCACAAGAAGAAATCTTTAACAGGATTTACGATCCCACCTTATAACCTCTTCCAAAAAACCCCTGTTAGAATGACATTACAGTGGAATATGTGCAAGTTGCATTTTCAAATTGTACAAGAAATCCCAATTGTGTTCAAGCATTTCAAACATTGTTATTAGCGTATGTAATATCTTTTGGGTACTTTGCTAAAATGTCAGCAGGTGACTGACATCAGCTCAGGTTTTGAAAAACATCAGATATTGAACCATCACTATGATTTATTATTTTCTTTTTTAAGGCATTTGACTATTTTAATGTGCATTGTTTGCTTGGTGACCTTGACACTAGCTGAATGTATACTTTCAGTGTGCTATCAACTAAAGGATTTGCAAGGTCATGCTGTTAAACATTTAGATTATTGATCTACTCTTGGGACTCAGCTTTGGTTGGTCATGTGCTGCATTCACAGGAGTTCTAGTAGTGGTTGCTTAGGAGACTAAAGGTCGGCTTCTCAGCGGATTCAAAGCATAGAGGGGATTCCTGGTAAAATGTTAAGCAAACTTTTGTTTTAAACAAGCTAGTTCGTCCTATTTAAGTCGTTGTGGTCGATTCAAAAAACGCTCAGCACTTGTGGTTTACGTTTTCTTCTACATAAGGGAAGGAAAATCTGTTTGTTAGCAGTACTGGTGTACAGCCACAGGCTAAACACAATGTATCACAATCGCACTTATCACCTTTTAAAATGCTCTTATTTTGAAGGACCTGGTTTTGTTTATGCTGCAAATGTGATATCTTTATATGTATCTACGTTTATTGAATACATTACACGGATGAAGGCATTTCAGTGAAGCCTTTTGAGGATCCCATATAATGGAAGTGAGAGTTTAACTGAAACCACCTGTTTCAGTTAAACTCTCACTCTTGGATGGAAATGTGGAAACAGAGTTTTTCAAGTTAAGCGGCGGAGGGCTCATTCTCACCGCTGAATGCTGGATTGTCAACAGAAAAAAACGATTATGCTCAATTTAGGGATACAGCAAATAGAAAAAGCCGCATTAATGCAGTGTGATTAGAGCTAGATCAAATTTAATTATTTTTAGTACTGTTTCTCTTCCCGGGGATCATTGTGCCTTCATTAAAATGGTTGCATGCAACAGCTAAATTAAATGAGGTCTTTAAAAGATGTTCTACTCTGCTTTACCATGTTTTTTTGTATTAAAGTGTAAAGTCCAAATTATAGATTACATGCTATATTAATGTTACATAAAGTTACTTCAAAAGGAATAGTTGGACAATTGGGGAACTTTGCTCAATTCAATTTTGGTTAGACAAGAAGATTGATAACGTTTTCATGTATGTGCTTCACATATAATGCTTCAGCTGGCTAAATGTCAAACTATTCCTTAAATAAATAACATGACATTAGATTATGAAGGATGTATTATATTGTACTACCGTTTGGAATATTTTTGTTATCATATATTGTTTGATTGGTACTTATAAAATATGTTTTCTATTCTAAGTCATTTGTCCTATTGAAAAAGACAGTTATATTAAGCAAATACTGAACATTTCAGACATTTCAGACTTTAAAAAAACTTTTGTCTCATGCTACAAGAATCTCGAACAGATCCATTTTCTGAACTCATCAATGACTTTATTGTCCCATGAACCAATTTGGTTGAATCTGAAAAGCTGAAATACAATTATGGGGGCTGCAGAACTTGAATCGTGTGTTGTAGGGGTTCTTCGTATGTTTTTTTTGTTGCATTCCATCTACGTGCTTATTGTGTGTTGGATTGTTTCACCAGCCATTAATCTCAGAGCTCTTCTCACAAATGCCTTTGACCTCATAAATGAAGGCTTTGGCTTTGACGCATGATAAGTTGATTTAGTCTGCTTTTATGTGTTTTATACTCTATACATAATTGTTTTATAACGTTTGTAAGGGCCCTTATTGTATGTATTTTCTATGAACATTTTGTATTCTGTGTTTATACTTTTCTTAGATTTATATGATGAAATAAAATGGTTGAAAAAATGTTTATTAATTCGTCATGTATAACTTATTGTAATGCTTAGTACACAACTAGGACCAACTAACTCTTACTAGATAATTGGTTGTAATGGTTCAGTGTAACTTACTTAGAAAAATAGCTTTACATAAATGTACACATTGTATAAATTGTATATACACCCTCTTCCGATACAAGTGAACCCCCACTAACAACAAGTTTGTAGATGATACTACGATCAATGGAATGATCACTGGTGCGGCGAGACAGGTAGAGAAGAGAGGTGGAGGACCTTGTGTCAAAGTAATAAACGCTTCCTGAACACGAACAAGACCAAGGAGATGATTATCGACCCAAGGAGAAAGAAGGTGCAGCATACACCACTGCACATATTACATGCAATATTGGCAACAAGCCGTATGACTAATGCATATGTACATATTTATATCATTTCTATTTTAGTGTGTTAGAATTATTTGGAAAGAGTACATTGCAACATAAGAATTTCATAGAGTAACATGTTAACTGTACACATTGGTAAATATCTTGAATTCCTGGTTACTTAAATATATGTTTTTTCCTGTTCATCATTTGAATAGAGAAATATTTTTTACACATTGCAACTGAAATAATAATAATACAGTATGGGGCATCTAGTTCGATTGTTAAATGGTCCACATCTGTGATTAACCTTCGCCTTTGTTCGTGATATGCAGTTAAAAAGATTGTTACTTTTAATGTTCAGCTAAAACAACAAAGACTGTTCGGTTTTATTTAAAAGTTACTCACTCTTTTAACCAAAGAGGTTAAAAAACGACCGCAAAAACATGCAATATTATTTATTTATAATTCTTTACTTCCGCCTCCCGCACACGGACCGGAAGAGGCGGGGCCTCAGCACAGGACGCTTGCCTGGCGTTGTTCGTTCAACATGGCAGCGGGACCAATTTCAGAGAGAAACCAAGGTAACTGAATAATTGTAAACCCCTGTTCAGACTTTCGTTAAATGTATTTTCCCATCTACCAGTCGGCCGTACTTCAATCCTCCCACATTGTTGTTATGCGCGCCGCCAAGTGCCAGTTTAACTATTAGTTTTAGGGTAAACAGCCGGTCGATCACATGGAGGTGCTCAGTTGTTAGCTTGGTTTGCTGCTAGTGGCGCCATTCATTGAAGTTCTAATTTACTTTACTTTTGTACATTTTACTCGTTTGTTGTGTTAAAGCCAATGTGGAGCTTTGTTTTATTATTAAATGGCACGTTTGGCAGCTCTGAGCATATCGGGGGCAGAGGTGCCGCCTGTTAGCTAACAGCTAAAGTTAGCCTAGCAAGCTAGCGTCAGTCGTGTTACGTTGGAGTCAACGTTAGCGAAACATAATGAATGAATCACACTGCAGAAACATTTGGGATGTCGCGTACGCTCATTTTACAGTTTTAATACGCAAGGTATATATTCTTCGGAATGTATTATTGTTGATGTTATAACAATCATACCAGGTAGATGGATAGTGAATTATTGTTTACTTGTGACAATAAAATATTAAGCTCAAATATAACATTTAAAACAATAATACGGTTGCTAATTATTCATCATTGTATATGTATTTTGTATTACTAAATTGATCTAATATCCTTCTGTTGGAATATCAAAGCGGTTTTCAACTATATTTTCCAAAGGACTAAAAAGGCACAAAATGTCCTTTTATACATTTGTTCTGAGTGGCATCACAATTTCCTTTTTCTGTGCAATTGCACTCTCTTGTGTCTTTTATATAATAAAGTTGAATAGTGTGTGTTTGTGTAGGTTTAAGAGATTTGTTTCATTAATATATTTTATTATATTGCACCAATGCACCCAAGTCAAATTCCTCTATGTGTAACATATGTGGCAATAAATGGCTTCTGATTCATTATTAACTCAAGTGAATGTGAAAAAGAAATGACCGATCTCCATCACTACCCCTACAATCCATGTTAAGCTGCGTCCAATTTGAAAAATGATATATAATATCACGTTGAAATTTAAACATCTCGTCTATTTCTTCAGACGCCACTGTGTATGTTGGCGGCTTGGATGAGAAAGTGTCAGAGCCGTTACTATGGGAGCTTTTCCTGCAGGCTGGTCCTGTCGTCAACACGCACATGCCAAAAGACAGGGTCACTGGTCAACATCAAGGTGAGTGTCTATTGTTCTCTGACATGGAGATTATGTCATGATGGTTGTCTTCACCCAAAACTTTGGTTTTCATAAAATGTCATTTCCAGCTATATCAAAACTATACCCCCTTTGAGCTAATTTCACTTTAATTTTCAGGTTATGGCTTTGTGGAGTTCCTTAGTGAGGAAGATGCCGACTATGCCATCAAAATCATGAATATGATCAAGCTCTACGGCAAACCCATTCGAGTTAACAAGGCTTCGGCACACAACAAAAACCTGGATGTGGGTGCAAACATCTTCATCGGTAATCTGGATCCAGAGATTGATGAGAAACTGCTCTACGACACATTCAGTGCCTTTGGCGTAATCCTCCAGACGCCAAAGATTATGCGAGACCCAGACACCGGAAACTCCAAGGGTTATGCCTTCATCAACTTTGCAAGCTTCGATGCATCCGATGCCGCCATTGAGGCCATGAACGGGCAGTACCTCTGTAACAGGCCCATCACAGTGTCCTACGCCTTCAAGAAGGACTCCAAGGGAGAACGACATGGCTCGGCCGCAGAACGCCTCCTGGCTGCACAAAACCCTCTTTCGCAGGCCGACAGGCCACATCAGCTGTTTGCAGACGCCCCACCACCTCCAAGTGCACCGACGCCGGTTCTTACTGCGATGGGAAGTGGGATGCCCATGCCAGGTATGACCAAAGAACTGTGGTTCAACGTGTGGGCTGTTCTCTTTTCCATAGTTCATCAATAAACCATAGTAGACTATTTTCTAACCACTTTTTTATCAACATCTCATTGGTAATAACTTAAAAGAATGTTATTGCAGGTCAGGTGCTCACACAGAGCATCCCAGTAGTCTGCTGAACGCTTTAAGCTTGAAACTGATGCTTTTTTTATTGGCTCTGATGGTTTTGTATCTGAAACACTAGTCATATATATATATATATATATATACACACACACACACACACACACACACTAGATGCCTCTGATTAATGTTTCTAGCTTGAGTAGTTAATCATGGGGACTGCCATCAGTTTAATTACCGGATGGAAGTGCAACTCTGTAGATGTGCTTCTCTGGCTGATGAGTCTTTTATGAGTAGGTGATAACAAAATCCATTCAAATTAAACTTGATACTAATAGCCTTTTAAAATATTACAAAAATGTTCTTGAGAAGAATATATAATCCATTGTAAATGCAATTTTTTGTTTTGTGCAGGCATGCCCCCTCCAGGTTTTCCTAATCTCCCGCCTCCTGGATCGATGCCTCCGTCAATGCCCCCTTCGATGTCCATGTCTCTTAATTCAGGGGGCCAACAGGGCGGCGGTGGGCTTCCACCACCACCCTTCCCCGGCAACATGCATCCAGGTAATATTCATTAAAGATTAAAATGTTTCCCCAAGATGGGCAGTTACAATACACTCACATCTTTAATATATCTACGTGTTCTCAAATACTGTAATGGATGTTTTGGGGTTATTAAAAAAAATGTTTCTTATTGTTTTTGTTACACAGGTATGCCCCAGATGCCCATGCCCCCTCCTGGTCCTCCTGGCATGGTGCCGCCGCCTCCTGCTCCCCCAGGATCAAATCAATCACGGACACCGCTACCACCTGGCATGCCCCCACCCCTGCCTATGGGCATGCCACCCAGAGCACCGTATGGACCTCCCATGGGTAAGTGCTGTGGCATCGTTCTTTTACATATCTCCTATCCAGCAAAATATATTTAAAGATTTTTAGTGTTGACACATGCCCGGGTTTCCATGACTACCATGACAAATTAGCTGTTATGGGCAGATGTGCTATTGGTAAACCATATTTTTTTTCCTGGGTAGTCCTTGAACATTACATTTTTAAGGGACACCAGGTGTTTGTGTGGGTTGCTGGGAAGGCATTAAATATTGAGGTTGAGGGTCTTCACAAGCCTGGAAGTGAAGTGAAATATTTCAGGAAATGATTGAGAATGTTTTTGGATCGACTGCTTTATGCAAGCCTCTATACATGCCTCTGCAAATCAAGTAATTTATTTGGGATTTTCTTTTGTCCCATGAATCTCCTCCATTCACCTCAGTAAAAGATTGTCGTCATTTACTGTGATGACATTCGGCTGTGATCCCAAATAGTACAGTACAAGATGCATACCATGTCCTGACCCTCTTGCGTTCTCTTTCTCAGGTCACCCTGGGCCTCCGGGTATGAGAGGGCCTCCTCCCATGCCTCCACCTGGTTACGGAGCCGGCCTTCCTCCTCGTCCTCCTTTCGGCTTCCAGAGAGGACCTCCAATGCCCCCAAGGCCCCCCGGTGTCCCACCACGCGTTCCCATGAGAGCACCAATGCCACCATAATATGTCTCAAGCGGCAGAAACGGGCTCTCATGATTTTTTTTTTATATCTTACAATCTACTCAAGTTTGTAATAGTGACAATAATTTAACCCCGTTTGTATTTTTTCTGGTCATTGTACAGATGAAGACCTTTGCCGAATAAAGTTTTTAGTACAAGTTTGTTACCCACTAATATTCCTTTCACCCTTTTGCGTGTTTCTTATAAATCTCATGGTAATGAAGCCTTTTCACTGTGGACATTTTGACATGTGACAAAAAACACAGTTAAATGGAGACGTCAGTGTTCCACCTGTGGTCATACAGTTGTAATATGCTGCAAGTTAAAATGCTTGCTGTTGGAAAAGGGCCAATACATTTAGACATTTCTTTTGTCTTCTGAATCGGGGTTTGGTCCCATCGGGCTTCATGGACCGGACGATCGGTGTGGGCTTCTCAACGGTATGAATAACACAGAAATGAGCTAATCTGCTTTATGTGTACCTGTGACATTTCTTGTGTGCGTTCCTTACGTTACATGAATGTAGGACGGTTATTCAGAGTGTTTCTACATTGTGAATACTGCTTTTAATACTATACCCTCCCAGGACAGAAAATAGGCCCATCAAAACAAAATTACAAAATTAAAGGATTTTCTCCCCCTTGCATGGTCCTACAAATCCTGTTCATTAGAACAATATGTTCCATCACATCACAATGAGAGGATTCTGTGTTCTCCAACACACGCGCTTCAATGATGTTTCTTACATCATAGACATTTTATATGAATGGCACATGTGACGACATCACACTGTGCAGGGATCTCACGTTTCTCCATTTGATGCAGTATAAAGGAACTAGAACATGGCAAGTGGTTGGCATGGAAACAGGAGTCAGGTGTGCTTGCACGTGCGTGTGTGTGTGTTGTCTGCACACAGCTTGATATTCATGTAGACAGACGATCATCTGTTCTACAAGCGCAAACAGATGTACCAAAATAAGGTGTTCGTGTGCGCATGCGTGCTCAGGTATCCTATACGTGTACATCGAGTATCTAACTAGTTCCGTGTTCAAGCATAAAATTAGATACGGAAAATAGGACGGGTTTAAACGGGAGCTGAGAAAATATGTGCAGACTTCAGATATGCGCGAACCCCCCCCCCCTCCAGATACGAACGCGTTAATGTGCTCGTGCGGGTTCGCATGGGGGAGGGGGCCCCTGCACATCCCTGTGTGTGCGAGTGGATGGCGTGGGCTTCTCTCCTCCTAAGCGCACAGCATCATCAGTCGGTTCACACCAACAGCTCCTTACGCATTATCATCCTCCTCCTCCTCATCACCATCCCCGGCCTGCAGAGGGACCACATCGCAGGAATAAAGGTGAGCTTGAATACAACGTGAATAATATCCAGCGACGCGATTTCTTTTCTGGTCCCTTATATGCATTTATACGTCTTTGCGTGCGGACACCTCGAACGAGAGTCGACGGGCGTGTTTCTCCAACCTCCCACACGGAAATTACGATCGATTCTGTGAATCGAGGCGAGGGCCTTATAATCTAATCCGAATCGTGACAAACTGCCGGCAGCGTGATTTCCGAGAATTAGCACAGATGTGTCAGGATGCCAGCGAGCAGACAATCGGCTGCCAGATGTGACAGATGTATGTTTTAATCCGGCCTCAAATTGGCCTGTTAGTGACCAGGCCTTTTTTTTTTAACATCGATGATTTTGACTCATCGCGCTCAATTTAACACCTATTTAATCGCCTTCTTGAATTCACATCCTCGCAATTTTTGTTTACAATAATGTTAGAAACAGCACAAAGCTTTGCTGCTATCTGTAACGACCGTTTAATTTCTATGGCGTTGCGTGTTATCTTGGGGTGAACGCGCCACTTGATATTCTGATGGAAATCCCCCACTGCTAATAACCTCGCAAGGGAAATGGTCAATTGATGCTGATCGATTTTTGGACGGGACGGGACATAAAAAACAACGAATAAAAAGGGCTGCTCAAACCAGAGAGCGGTGCCCCATTACTCTTCCTCATCCTCATCCTCATGCTGCTCTTTGCTGACAGGGATGTGTGTGGCAGGCTGCAGGCGCCTGCAGAGACGCAGTGAGGAAAGTGGGTTTCAAGGCCTTTGTTTGGGTCTGACTTTTACACGTTTCTGTATGAAGATACTTGTGATGACATGACAAATGATTTAGTGCGTTTGTAGGTTACTTGTTGCATTAAGGATTCAGCAGAGTGTAGGAGCGGCCTGTCATTCTGTCTGTCCACCCATCCATCTAATAGCATGTTGTTGAGTTTATTGCCGTTCATTTCTGTAATACTCCTACAGAGGCTGACTAATTCAATCTGAAATTCTGTGAATTTGCTTAAGTTTCTATATTCTGCAGCCAGTGTCCTAACTGCAGGCCGGTAAGTGCTTGAGTCCGAGGCATTATTGGGTTAGTGTCCGACAGTTTAGCCTGCCTGACCGGGCCTGTGGGGTTCCTTTGATCTGTGCCAGTAAATACGCACATCATGCTGACAGTAAAGGATCTGTGACCACTGAAGATGTTTAAATCAAATTTAACATAAACAAATCAAAACACATGTGTTGTGCATTGGCCCTCTGTGTTAGATAAAATATAAAAACCATGGTTAGGACCCACTCACTATGGGGTGATATATCTGCACAGCTTAAAGACACATAACTAGGTTTGACATTGCGATTGAAAAATGCATCATTAGATAAACAGTCTGCAGCCGTCACTGCGGACATTGACATCATTGACTTGTTTGATTTAATTAGCATGTTTTAACAGCCCAGTTTTGTCCTTATGTAAATGCTGTTTTTACTTCGAAAAACACAGTGGATTTTATTTTTTATTTTATTATTTTGCTGTTGTAGAGTGGAGTAACCTTTTAGGTAACATCTCTCGCCCTGTTATACCTGGCCGACATTTAAAGCGCCGTGGTATCTTTATTACCCGTCAGACCTCGTTCCTGAAACAGGGGTTAGAGGGAGCGCAGCAGTGATCTCTCTCATTCTGTCTTTTGCTTCCCCGCACCAACCAAAGGGACATTTTGTTTTATTGCACGGCGACCTCACACCATCTTAACAAAACAGCATGTGGACGTGTGTATCGCCCTTGAAATACGCAACGATACCAATCACCGCTTTCAAAAGGAGACGCGATACTGCCGCAAACAGTCAAAATGGAAATCTGTTTTTACGGCTTCTATTTTCAATTTCAAGCCTCATTTGTTTTGGCACACCGCTCCTCTGCACATAATCTGTTTTTGAATTAGGAAATTTATACGGCTTTCTTCAATGTCGTCAATGCATTTTCAAAATCACCTAAATGATGAAAAACATTTTAGTGCAGGATTTTGTGAGCTGATGTCTTACGTCTCATTGGGCGGCTTCATAAACAGTGATCTGTGAGACCCTTCACTGATCCTTTGGAGCTTTCTATCCGTCACATGACAGTTGAGTCGTGGTCATATATGAAAGGTCTTCACCATGAAATTCTGGACCATGAAAAATCTATTAAATTCCTCTCTCACCACTCGAGGTCTTGATGCTTTGCCCTGTTATTACTGCTCAGGCCTTCTATGACTCAGCAGTGAACACATGCTGGGAAGATGTGGAAATGCAACAGGTGTATTCTGGACAGACATTATTTAAGGCTGGTCAGGTGGATTTGGTCAGCTCAATGAAAAATGATCGGTTCAAAGAAAATCACGCCGCTGACATTAAAAAAAGAAACATGCACTTGGACTGAAAGACAAGCAGCACATTTTCTTCAATGCACTGTTTTTGGTTTCACTCCTTTCTAGTAGTTTTGCATCTCTCTTCTGTTTCCTACACTTGCACCCTGTTTTTAGAGGTGTATGTTTTCATTTGTTGTCTTTTAGCTCAATTTGGCCAACTCCCTTTTGCTGTTATGCCTCTATTTTTCTGTTACTTTGTAGTCCTTTTTCTCTCCTTAAAGTAATTGTGTGTCTCTCTATATCGATTCACTGTTCTAAGACAGTAACCATCAGTCAGAAAGAGACAGGCCTGGAGGCCAAAAGCCGAAGGGCTCACGGTTCATTCAGGAATGCTTCCAATGTATGATGGTTCACCAGAAATATGCACAGACGCTTTTGAAGCTCCTATCAAAAGGCTCTCTCCATTACATGCAGAAATAAAATGATATAAGATTGAGCATTTATGTGTCCATTTCCTCCACAGACAAAAAAGGAGCCTGTTGACGGTTGAGTGACCACCCTTCGGGTTGTGAGGTGTACCCTAAACATACTTGAAGCTTCAGGTGGCCTCTCCATCTTTAAACCCCTTTGCATCATCTGAACCTCTGTAAAATGGAGGAAGGCTACCAAAACCGGACTGCCTTCATAAAAGGCGCCAAAGACATTGCCAAAGAAGTCAAGCGGCAAGCATCCAAGAAGGTCGGCCGCTCAGTGGATCGCGTGACCGACGAGTACAGCAAGCGCTCCTACAGCCGCTTTGAGGAGGACGACGATGATTATCCCACGCAGGGGAGCCAGGACGGAGGCTATTACCGCGGCGACAGCCAGGCGGCCAACGACGACGAGGGCGGCCACAGCGACTCCACGGAGGGTCACGACGAAGATGACGAGATCTACGAGGGCGAGTATCAAGGAATACCCCGGGCTGAATCAGGCAAGGGCAGCCTGGCCGGAGGTCCGGGCTCGGTGAGGGCCGGCGCCCAGGAGTTCTCAGACACCGGAGTGTCCGAGGCCGAGAGGAGGAAGGACCAGGAAGAGCTGGCTCAGCAGTACGAGACCATTTTACAAGAGTGTGGTCACGGGAAGTTCCAGTGGACCCTGTACTTTGTGCTGGGGTTGGCTCTCATGGCAGATGGTGTGGAGATCTTCGTTGTCGGGTTCGTCCTGCCCAGTGCCGAGAAGGACATGTGCCTCTCTGAGCCTAACAAAAGCATGCTGGGTAAGACTCTTTTACAGTGTCTCCTCCTGTTGTACAAGTTCTCCCTGGTGTCACAATGCATTTCTAAGTTGCTCCAAGGATAAGGCATTTGATTGTCAATATTGTTCTTATAGCCACCAAATCTCCAAAACCCACCTAATAACAAGTATTGCCTGTGATCTGGCTGTATATTTGCGACCGGATTTGAGAGGTTTATGTCTTCAGGGGGCTCGGGGCTGTGAGACGAACCACCGTATTATTGGTTTTGGTGTTTGTGAGATTTGTTGACCGTTAGAGAAGCTGTTGTCGGCCTGTCTTCCTGAGTCCGGCTGTCAGCAGAGTAAGCACGACGCTCAAAAGGCCGTAATCCAACTGCAAGGACAGGAAAGAGGTACCTTTTGTTGCTGTAATAGTTTCATCTCTCCACAGGTCTCATCGTATATTTTGGGATGATGGTCGGTGCTTTCCTCTGGGGCGCTCTGGCTGACCGGATAGGCCGTCGACAGTCTCTCCTCATCTCTCTCTCCATCAATAGCATCTTCTCCTTCTTCTCCTCCTTCGTCCAGGGCTACAGCACCTTTCTGTTTTGCCGACTGCTCTCAGGTGTTGGGTAAATTGAATGTGGTGTAAATAATCCACTTTAAATAATGTTTATGTTTTTTAAAATGTAAACTAATTACACAGATCATACATTTCATCAATATAAGTCAATAGAGTTTTACGTTAGATTTACGTTAAAAGTGTTAATTTCTAAATAACACTGTGGGAGCCTATAATTGAAAAATTAGAATTAATTTAGCAAAATGATTTGCTTCAGTTTTGAATGTTTTCAGAGCAACTCACCATTTTGAGTTTAACGCTAAGGCTGAATACAATCCCACATGTCACATGTAATTATCATTAGCGATTACATTTCGGTTAATCTTTAGTAAAAAACAAAAAATTAACCAAAATTAAAAAAATGTTGTCCCCACAAGCTGCTGTGAGCACATTTTGCACCAACGGGCTATTGCAGAAAAAAAATCCTCAATACAAACTAAAAAAGTGACTGTGTAAGAGTATCAATACGTAAATGCGACAACACAAATTCAATATTTATGTTTAACATTTGCTCATAAATAAATGAGCTCAGCTCTTGGTTCATAGTTCAACGTGCTTTTAATCTGGCAAACTAATCTCTGTGTGCTTAAACTCCTAAACACAAGGACTGGGTTTCTGGTCTTTGCAGGATTGGTGGCTCCATCCCCATCGTGTTTTCCTACTATTCAGAATTTCTGTCCCAAGAGAAGCGTGGCGAGCACCTCAGTTGGCTCTGCATGTTCTGGATGATAGGGGGAATATACGCGTCCGCCATGGCCTGGGCCATAATCCCACATTATGGTGAGTAAAGTGACCCGAGTTTGTTAGGTTATGGTTTGCTACCTCTGCACTCTAAAGCTACGAGGTTGTAGATCTTCATTTGGACACTTAAAGCAACAGTTTAACTTTTCGGGGAAAAAAGTGATAATACTGTTTTCAGACTACGGCTTTATATCTAACGTACTACCATAAGCGTGGTATCAATCCTCTTATCTAACTCTCCCCCAGTGAGTGAATAAGTACATTTTTGCAGCAAACAAAGTGTTGGTCTTGCATAGTTAGTGCTCAGTGCTGAAGAAAAGTGCACTGTGGCTGACCTCTGACTTCTGACCTCTAAGGAGTGTCGAACCAAATTAACTATATTCCCGCTTTTTTGATCTTTTTTGAAGATTGATTGTTTGACCCTGATCTGTTACTGTCTTGACAGTGTGAGCTCATTACTTTGCGTCGGTTGTTTTTGTCTTCTCAGGATGGAGTTTCCAGATGGGCTCTGCGTATCAGTTCCATAGCTGGCGCGTCTTTGTGTTGGTGTGCGCTTTTCCCTCCGTTGCGGCCATCGCCGCCCTCAGCGCCATGCCAGAGAGCCCACGCTTCTACTTAGAGGTTAGAGGATGTGCTTGTTGACTGCGGCAGCCGGTTTTACTTATGTATGAGTCATTATGGGGACTCATTTTGAGTAAAGATTTTAAATGAAGGAGAATTAAGACCTGGCGATGTCATTGAAAAGTACGACTTTTCTTTCAGAATGGCAAACATGACGAAGGCTGGATGATTCTGAAGCAGGTTCACGACACTAACATGCGAGCTAAGGGACACCCGGAGAAGGTGTTTTCTGTGAGTATCTGTGAGACAATATTGTTTTACCAAATCATCAATAGTTCTCCTGAAAGTATTATCTTATAGATAAGGGCCCAATTAATGTTACAATACAGCTTTTCCACATCCCAGACATTGTCATCAGGCTTCAAATCATTATTAAAGATGACTCGAGTTCTGGCCTTCAAGAGGTTATGCATTCTAATTTTAGGAAAGTAACAATATTGTGTGTAATAGTTTGCTTCATCCTTTACCTCTCACTGTGTTATCTGCCTGACGTTCCTCAATGGAGGAAACAAAGACAGGACAAAGAGTTTCAGGAGGACTTTTCAGAATTCAATTCAATTCTTGCCATGTGGCTGAGGGGTTTGCTTCTCTCTCATCCAAGGTCACCACAATTAAGACGGTGAAGCAGATGGATGAGTTGACGGACATCGGCACAGATACTCCGATGTGGCAACGCTACAGGATGAAGATTATCAGCCTCTCCCAACAGGTGAGTGGAGGAGATTTGATGCTATGAAGCCAGTTTTGCACCCAAACTGTGACAAAGTTTTGCAAGCACGAAACGAAACTTTCATTTCAAAACACATCATAACACCCATTTTTGGGGAAACCAGCGTGGCGGCTGGCATGTTTAGATAAATAATTCAATCACACAGTTACCTGTAAAAGTTTAAATCTGGTATCAATCACTGTTTTCTTGTTACTACCTGTTGCAGATTCGGAATAACATCCTTGCCTGCTTCAACCCGGAATACAAACGGAGGACTTTCATGCTCATGGCTGTTTGGTTTACAATGTCTTTCAGGTGAACTAGCGACTCATGAAACCTTTGCTATGTGGTGGATCGCATTCACTTGAGGCTTATTTCCCTTCTTCTGACCCTTAACACTTTGCAGCTACTACGGTTTGACGGTGTGGTTCCCAGACATGATCAAGTACATCCAGAAGCAGGAATATGACTCACGCACAAAGACCTTCACCAAGGAACGAGTGGAGCACGTCACCTTTAACTTCACGCTGGAAAACCAAGTGCATCTCGAAGGACACTACTTCAATGACAAGTAAGTGTTTTGTGAGCCGCCGTTTTCAGGTGAGGCAGTTCCACCAAATCGACAATGAAGCACAAGAATCACACCACAGAACAGAACTTTTAGCTGAAAAGGAATGACCTCTTTACTAGGTTCCTCAACCTGAAGATGAAGTCCATGGTGTTTGAAGACTCGGTGTTTGAGGAGTGCTACTTTGAGGACATCACCTCCATACATACCATCTTTAGAAACTGCACCTTCGTTGCAAGTTTGTTCTACAACACGGGTAAATATGAACAGAAATTCATTAGTTTGTATTGATATCATATGAATATGAACAGGGTTCAACTAAAATGTCAATGTCAAACCCCAAATATGTTCAATTTAAACCAGCTGTAATGATGAGTCTATTTACATTTCCAGCACACACACAGAATAGCAGCATTTGTAATCATTTGTTAGGCCAATAAATCAACGTTCTAGTATAAGTGTGATCTCCTTTCAGCTCCGTTTTGGTCTCCACCGCTCTGGGAGTGTAGCACCTGGCTCTCCAGCTGCTAAATGCTTTACTGTGTTCACACACTAGTCACTGACATGGTCTGCCTGTCTTTGGGTGTCGGGCAGGTAGCAAACAGATTTCTTAAAAAGAAAAAAAAAACATTCAGGTGATAATTATATGTGAGCATTGCTGCATATAATCATTTGTTACGTTGTTGGGATACAAACATTGTTAATATAGAATTTAAAGTGATTTAGGTAAACTGTTTTCATGATCATGATAGTCAGCTTTTGTTTCTCAACTGCTCAACAAAAGACAATATGAATTTCAAGTGGTTTCATTTCAGCCTGAAGTAAAATAATAGAAGAGATTAAACAGGGATCAGCGGGACTGCAACCATGGAAACATTCTTCTGCGGGTATCCCTGGGTTACAATAAAGATGACTGTTGCCCTAGCAACAAATCCAGACAGCAGTGATGCAATTAACTCTTAAACAGCGTTTCATGATTACAAAAACGCAGATGTAATAATGTGGTGGATATTTACCACTAAAGCTTCTTCTTAGACACCACCTGATGCCTAATACAGTCTGTAACTGAACACAAAAATGCACACGAAAATAGATTTATAGATTTTTTTAGATAACATTCACTTCAAGGATATTTTAGGCGACTGTAAATTAAACTGTAGATTTTACCCGAATAGTACGTTTTTCTTTCCAAAAATCCGTTTGGAAAGCACTGATTTAAACATGAAATGATTATTTTTATTGTTTTTTTATTTTTAAAAACAGGTGCATTTATTTCAATTTATTTGTCAAGTATTCATACATTTCAGAGTAATATCACTTCTCTCACACATCATCTTCTTCTCTTCCATCAGATTTATTTAAATACAGGTTTGTCAACTGTAAACTGCTCAACAGCACCTTCCTCCACAACAAGGAGGGCTGCATGCTCGACTTCAGCGACGACTTCAACAATGCCTACATGATATACTTTGTTAACTTCCTCGGCACGTTGGCGGTGTTGCCTGGCAACATCGTGTCGGCCCTATTAATGGACAAAATTGGGCGTCTAAGGATGCTGGGTAAGTAAATCTTATCGATGCAGACAGTCCATTCATGGCCATAGGGGCTATTTAATTCAATGTAATCCTAATTCCTCTCTCTCTCTCTGATCAGCGGGATCCAGTGTGATATCTTGTGTCAGCTGTTTCTTCCTGATGTTCGGAAACAGTGAGTCGGGGATGATTGCCCTGTTGTGCTTGTTTGGGGGCATCAGCATCGCCTCGTGGAACGCCCTGGATGTGATAACAGTAGAACTCTATCCCTCCGATAAAAGGTAACATGAGATGCACCGACTCACCAGGCGTTTCTTCTTTAGATTTTCTGTTAAATTATGAAATCGTGTGACGTAAGAGGTGATAATGCAACCAAGGTAATTAGGTAATTACTTATGTTCCCCTGACACTATTTATTTTGGATTCTAAACTTCTATTATTCTACCATATTTAAAAAGAGAGCACATTGCTGTCGAATGTGTGCGTGCTGATGCTGGTTTTATGCAGGAACACGTCTCTAGATTTCTAAACATTTTAATTACAAAATAAATGTACCCAAAGGACCAACAAATTAGGCAAAGCTTTGGGTGATTGTCTTGGATTTTTTATTGTTTTATACAGATATTGCTGTATGTTTTTTTTAAACGGATCCCCAACTAAACCGAAAGGCAAAAACATCTGACACAATTTAACACCTTATTTCTTATTGGTTTAATCTACTCAACCCAATGTGTTAAACTGAGCTTAACTTTAATTGATGTGCTTTGGAGGCGCTGGTAGGTGCATTTTATTACATTAGGAGACAGCCAGGCAAATGTTTTATCTCGTTGCCATGCTAAGCTAAGCTAACTGGCTCCACCTACACATTTTACTGACCATCATGAAGAGGCTTCAATCTTTAAATTATGGTACAAGAGTAAATAAGAGTGTTTTTCCAAAAATGTTGAACTAACTTGTGAGTCTCAAGAAGAAAGACTTTGTTATAAAATCTAATTAGGAAGAAGCATATTTTATGTTTGGTTGATCTCTGATATATCTACTTTTTTCATGACATACTTTAGTAGGGAAAGAACCTCATATTTTCTTGACTCCCGAGAAAGTCAAATAAAATAAAACATACTTTTCCAAACACATTACTCTGGCACACTGAAACCGCAGCTACAGTGAAAACTCTGAGTTGCTGAAACTCTTCTCTCTCTCTCTTCTTGTCTTCAGAACCACTGCGTTTGGCTTCCTGAATGCCCTCTGTAAGCTGGCGGCGGTCCTGGGCATCAGCATCTTCCAGTCATTCGTCGGCATCACCAAGGCGGTGCCCATCATATTTGCTGCTGGCGCACTCGCTGCAGGTAGTTTCCTTGCAACAAAGTTGCCTGAAACCAGAGGCCAAGTGTTGCAGTAAACAAAACGAACAGAGGCGGGCAGCAGAGCGCGGCTGGAGCGTTGGTTGTGTTTGACAACCAAGAGCCCGAACATCCCAGAGAGCTTCAGCGCTGCCCGACACACGGAGCAGACGGCCATCCCCATTGTAAGCCCAGAATCCTTTGAAATATGGATTGCATCACTATTGAGTCTATATGGGGATTCTAGAGAGGAGCACACAGAAATAAATATGACAAATATATCTGAACTTTCAGCTGCCCTGTCAGGTTCTAAAAAAAATATTTTTGGGTGTAAGACGCAAAGGGAGATGCAGTACAAATTGTAATGTGCAGTGAGGATTAAATGTAACTTTCTGGGAGTTTTCTCTCACAGGCCCACAAATCTACAATCTATAACGCTATTGAGAAGACAGACATTGCAAAAGAAGCAATTCGTGAGGGAAGGTGAAAAGATTTAGTCCATCTGTGTGGTTGGTTTTTGAACATGAATGCGGTGTTTTTATTTGTTGTCTGGCCTCAGTAACTGGCTTTCACTGCTGCTGTTTCATTTGCTGCTTGTACAGTTACCTTAACATTTCCATTCAGGCGGATGTCTCTGCTTCGATTACAAGCTTTCCTTTAGAAATGCATTGAGAATGAATTTCATGGTGAAAAATATTTTCTCTATAAATCACTCGTGATCCTCGACCACTGCCTACTACTGAAGCCAGACCTGTTTCTACCAAATAATGAGAAAACATTCCAGTGGGCTTGATATATCCAGAAAGAGACTGCAACATGTCGTTGCATGACTCAAATCTACTTCTCTACTAAAAGCCTCACAACACAGACAGGTGAAGATCCATTTCACAGGATTCTCTCTTCTGAATGGGAATCGTTTGATTCAGCTCCTCTGTGTTCAGTGTTAAAGTAACGTTTCCCCTCGCTGTTGTTGCTCCATACTGCTGTGGCAGTATGATGTCTGCAACACAAAGATGTCTTTGCGACCGATTTTGGTCATGTGTGTAATGTGAGGACAGGTACTGTTGTGTAATATTTGCCTAAAATTAGTTGTGCGAGTGTGCATGTGTGTCTTTGTTATGTGAGACAAGAGAAAGTGTCCATTTCACGCAAGTGTGGTTCACGTCTTATTGATCCAATAGAGGAATGTAGTGAACAACAGTCACACATTCATTAAAAAAAATATATGTAGCTCAGGTCTGGTGAAATCTTTTGGCCACTTTACCAGCTGGTATCACATTAAAGCACCACGCTAACAAATTATTGTACAGGCCTGACGGTTTTCTGGTATTCCTGATTAATCCATCTCACATGCATAGCTGCGTTAGTTAGCCTTTTTTCCAAAGCAAGTCATTTAATTATGTGTGAAAAGTGACTTCTTGACATTGTAAACAAAAGTTTGACAAACGTACAATCCTTTTACAGAGCTTGTTCATAGCAAAGAAAAAATCGATGACATTTCTCTTTTTATCACTGTCGTTTGTTTTGTTTTTCTTTTCCGATTGCATAACATACATGCAATGCAGTATCCTCGCTTAAGATAGTTTAAATGCCCCTTAAACGTCATGGTGGGACTTCGTTATACTCATAAGCACATGTCAAATGGGACCAAGAGAAGAAAACATTCCTGATGATCACGAAGCACACATCCATTGTCTGTTCTTCTTTTAAGGGCTCGTGTTCCTCTCATCCTTTCATACATCCATTTTGTGCACGTTATTCCTCACTGTGTGCGATGATGTCGCTTATTAGAAAAGTACTCGAGAAAATTTCAGATTTTGACTAAATTGAACCCAGTCACTCTAAAGGAAAGTTAACCACATTTTATACACATCACCACGTCCCCAAAGGTGTGCATCGCTGTGTGTGCTGACAATCAGTGGTGGAGTATGTGTGTGTGCTGCTGCCCATACAGTATGTTGTGTAAACACATTCTCTGGTATATGTGTGTTTGTGTGTTCAGGATGTTAGAGGCTTTATCTTTGTTCTTGATCCATATGATCGATATGTGTCTGTGGGATTGATTTTAAAAGAATAATTTAATTCAATCTGAACCCCTCATTGGTCTGTGCGCTGTTGAAGCTAGCCGGCGGTTAGCTTAATTTAGCATGAATACTGGAAAGAGGAGGGTTTGTAAGCCAGGCTGCTTTTAAAGGCAACAAAGCCGTTGTTTTTGTACAGATTAAATAAAAAGTATATTAGTGATATTTACAGGTAGGCTATTAGTAGCTGGAATTTGTTGCCTTTGGATTAAGTCATGCTAACGGTTTCCCTCTGTTTCCAGTCTGTATGCTAAGCTAACCTCCAAGTTGACTGCACAGGCATAGAAATGAAGGCCATAAACCTAAACGCGTTGGTTTGAAGGAATAAAGTTGTTCTCTATTCTCCAAGTGCTGCTGGAGTTTCAACCTCTTCTGGTGAAATTTAACCGACGGAAAAAAAACATTTCCCAAAATGTTGAACTTTTCCTTTAACGGTGTCCAGTCTACGTTGCATTCTGAGAATTGAATCTTTCCTGTTTGTATTAAATGACAAATACATCATGTCTTGTTTGTGCTGGAGAGACAGTTTGGATTTGTTGTGTGTGTGTGTGTGTGTGTCTAAATTGTCTGTCCACATATTTTTCTACTTCTTTCTGTTGCGATGTTTTCATCCCTGCGATGAATAAAGCTCAATTGGGGACCACGGAAATATATTTACACAGAGAGAAGAAAAAAATAATATATGCAGTGTATAATAGTGTTGTGTTCTTCATAATAGACCCGGGTGCTCTTTTGCTGATACAATTCAGTCTTTAAAACAAAATCCCATCAAAGATACAGTTACAGAGATCTGTGATTAGAAAAATGGAAAAGGAAAACATTTTAATTTCACAAAGACAACTTTTCCCTCTTTCTGTATTCAACCAATCGTGACGCATGTTTGTGTCGTGTTGTCTCACTTCTTGGACGTCCCGTATGCCAGCTGTTTTTGTCTAAAGCAAGAACTAGTGTTTTTCATTGTTGTATGATGACAGATTTGTTGCTTGCAGTGGTTCTTAATCAAAGTGGGATTGAAATAGGTGAAACGTGTGTTTGTTTTCTGAAAGTAAACTAGTGGTGACTGTTCCTCGTTTACCTTGGACCCAGGTAACTTAATATATGTATAACACATATATAATCTATCCGGAATTTAGAACATGAGTGTAATTCATCTTGTCAGAGGTAAAATAAATGGCCAGAAAAGGGCAATATTCATGAAGGGAGATGGACAAAAAGTAAAATTTTACATTAACGTTCATTCATGAAAGTTTTAAAAGAGGGAAGTGAGTAATTTTGTCAAGGTTTCCCCAATTTTGAGAAAAGGTTGTTCAATCATAAGGGCCCCCTCTCATCAAATTGAAGCTCCTGTTCAAGATGTACAAGTTTACTATAAATGTCACTGTAGAATTTGCATTCTAGATGTATGAACTATCTGAAGGGTCACTGGTTTGAGTTTTATACATCAGGACGGCAGTGATACAGAATGAGTTAGCAACCGCCGCTCTGATAAGGGATGGGGGACTTTTTAATGGCATGTTTGTCTCACCTGTAAAGAGCACATGGATCAGTCCTGAAAGACGGAAACAATCGGCAAACTGCCAGAAAAGAACTCTCATCTGCAAAGAACGGCTGGAATCCTTCAAGACACTGAAGGATGTTTGTCCATTTTTTAGTTTGACTCCGAGCTGTTTACTCTAAATGTGAGTTATATTTAAAAAGAAAAAAAAAAAAAAGAAAAAAACTTTGTGTGGAAACTGTAGTCGTTTGTACGTGCAAGCTTGGAATTTGTGGAACAAAAGATCAAGGAAAAACTATTCCCCAAAAAAGTTCTATGACAACTATTGTGTGTCGTCTTGGTTTTGTAAATGAACAAATTCCGTGCTGCTGGTGGATAATATTTTAGTGATGCTGAAAGGTTCTGTATTTATTTTATGTGAGTTAAATATGCTGGGATTTGCACTTGTGTGCCAATTATCCAGCTTTGTCAAGCAAATGATAAATTATGGAAATAAAACTTTCAGAAATCCAATGTCATCTTTTGAATTACACAGCATGAAGGCAACTTAAATTAAAAAAAAAAAACATAACACCTTTATTTTCTCAAGGTCCGGTTCAGATGAGTTAGTCAACTTCAAAGTGAGTTACAAGCAAATGAAGTCGTTTCAGCTGATCTTGATTCTTAGAGACCAGCTGTGCTTCCAGTTTGCTCTCCAGAGGCCTGTTGCTCACATGGTTATACTGAACAAATGATTAACCAATTGGGCATTCAAGTCACAGTAGTAATTAAAACCCATTATGTCACAACCATTGCGGACAGAAAAAAACATCCAAAAAGTGTTAATCTGCTGATCACATGATGGGATAGGTGGCATAGCGAGCGATGCCACACTGGTTGTGGCTGTTCCGGGCCATCTTGATGTAGCCTTCATCCCCGTATCGCACACCCCAACTAAAAGTCAAGAACATGTACATAAAATCAAATTTCAAAGACCTGCAGTTATCCTCAAAACACACCTGTTTTTGACTAGCCAGTAGTCGTGCGTCCCCTCAGTGCCGTAGCCCACAACCAGCACGCCGTGGTTCACTTTCTGGGTACACGAGACGTCCTTGTACACACCTGTTAGGACCACACAAAGAACACACGTAGAAAGAACCTCAGCTTTAGACAGGGAAGATCCATATTAAACTGGTGCGTTGTTTTTAAGAGGTACGAAGCCACTACCCACCATGCCGGTAGAAGACAAACTTTGGCCGGGAGGCATCAATAGCTACGGACACGGGGCCGACCGTAGCCAGAGCTTCCTTCAAGGCCAACTCGTCCCCCGCCGGTAAGAAGACGTATCCAGAGCAGTTAGCAGCCCGGTGCTCTGAGTCATAGTTGCATGGACCCTGCTGCAAAGACGGCAATTTGTAGTAAAATATAACAGTTAAATTACAGCGGACCTCCATGGACCACTTTGAAGCTCACCATGCCAACGTAGGGGTAGCTTGCATCAGAAGCTATGCCATGGTTCCTTACGACATACTTGAAGGCGTTTGACATGAAGCCACCTTTGCACCCGTGGTTGCCGCATTTCCCAGAACAATCCAGCAGGTTTTGAGAACTGAGGGACAACAGGATGCCTTTGGTCTTCTTAAGTTGCCCCTCCAGAGCACCAACTGCACTGAAGGCCCAACAAGAGCCACAAGAACCCTAGAAGATAAAGTCGCTTTGTGAGAAACTAGGTCTTAAATGTACCTAGATACTCTTGCGGTACACCTCACCTGTAGTTTGACCTCAGTTACCAGGCCTTCATCCCTCCAGTCCAGTGACTGTGGTAGAGAGGTGTTGAGCCTGACAAAGCTTGAAGGACCCCTCTCCAGGTCAGAAGGGACACTGGTGCCCATCAGCATGCCAGTAATTTCCTCAGTGGTCTAAAAAGGAAAAAAAAGAATTATTTGTTGGCATGTCTTTGTGTGCATGTGCAACGGTAGTCCACTAACCAGATCCCCCATATGGTTCATTGCCAGCTCATAAGTTTGTAAGCCCAGAGAGGCTTCAAGGTTATGAACAGCAATCATTTCCAAGTTCTCTTCCCAAATCCGCCTGCGACCAGACTCCTCAACCTGTAACACAATAATTAACAATTATGTGAGCCAAGTTCATTTATGGATCACCCTTAACAGATAAAGAGGTGAAGACAGATTATATGCTGCCTGTGTATACAAAAGTGAATTGGAAGAAAATATGCCATAACAAATCAAAGAGAAAATGAATTAAAAAACAATTTCAGGCCTAAAACCGATCTGCTCTGATTTACGGTCTACTGATTTGATAATTTAAGACAACTATTTTACCTGGTGAGAATATTGTTTATTATGCATCTTCTTCCAGAGAAACCAGTGTCCATCTTCTGGTAAATTGATGGCTGCTGCAGCAGCAAAACCCCACAAACTGATGAGCAGCAGATTGCAAAACATCTCTGGACCCAGAAAGAGGAGAACGTGTGAACACCACAGGGAAATCAAAGTGGTTTTATATGGAGGCCTAGTGGGCTGCCTCAAACTTTGATTGGGCATCTGCAGTTTATTAAGACACTGCCAGCTGATGTCAATCATCAATGAGAAGCTGGGACAATAAAATATGCTCAAAAGTGAACAGTGAAAAGTAATCATATTGTATCCTCGTTTAATGACAGATCCCTCTAAAACGTGACCAACCGGGGAAGATGACCAGGGGAAAATCCAGCTGAAGCTTACAATATTTATGCATCACCATGCTCACTGCACAAAAACAATTAAACCTCCAATAACTTAATCTGACACTTGGGGGCAGCAGAGATGTGAATAAAAAATAACCGATAAGACAGTTTGAAAATACTGAAACCGCTACAGACCAGCATGTAGTTTACAAACAGAGTAGTATTCTCATGATTTTATTAAATAACTTTATTCAATAGTAGAAAATTAACAAACAGGGAACAAATCCAACTGGTCAACATTTACAAATAAACAGATCACACAGATGTGATCAAAGTGCCAAAATTACAAATATAAAATCTTGTCAGGGAAACTCAAAAAAGTATTAAGTAATAATTAAAAAAAATTCTAAACATAATTGAGAATGGCTAATAAAGAATATTTAGCAAAATGAAAAATAAGATATCTTTCTTTTTAACAACGTGGCATACGGGTACAAACAGTCATCTGGCTTACTTACGAGATGAAAACTGAATTCTGCCTAAATGATTCAGGTGCGGGTCAGATTTTCACAGCATGGGGTAGACTGCAAAGCTCGCGATGCCACAGAGATTGTTCTTGTTTCGGGCCATTCGAATAAAGCCTTTTTCTCCCCACGCAGTTCCCCAACTGAAATCACAAAACCTTTTACATTAAACATTCAACATCGGTCAAACATTTCTCTTCCCTTGTGGGTTGAACACGTTTTGCTTTGTGACCCGTTCACCTGTTCTTAACCAGCCAGTAGTCCTGTCCTCCGTCTGCGCCGTAGCCCACAACCAGCACAGCATGGTTTGTAAGCTTTGGGTTGCAGTTTGGTACGTTATATAAACCTGAATGATATATACGGTTTACATAAGTAACAGGTAAAACAATAGACTTTCTTCTATCACAACATGAATCACCTGAGAGACACTGCTGATATCCTCTTCTCTTTGTACTCTGGACCGATGAGAATAAACCTGGACACTGCTGTGTGTGAACACTATCTACATTTAGGATTTTGTGGATAGGTGCCGCTTTATCACATTATTTAGTGGGTATTCTATCTTCTAAACTAATTTAACTGAGACTTCAGACTGTAATTAATTCCTATGTGTATACATTTACCCTGATATGTCACAGAAATAGCTTTCTGTTCTCTCGGGTGAGACTCAAACCAAACCAGGGTTCAGAGCTGCACTGACTAACCCATCACTCATCAGTCCACTTGCATGAAACGCTCAAATACAGCAGCCCCACCTCCTCTGTAGAGATGAAAAGATGGCAGCATGGCGTTCACTGCCACAGCGACGGGCCCCACTGACGCCACCACAGCCTGCAGAGTCTTCTCATCTCCCCGCGGGAGCATGTGTAGATCAGAGCAGTAGCCGGCCTTTCCCTTCACAGAATACCGACACTTACCGTCCTTTCAAATAGAAACGAGAATCACACAATATATCATCCATCACTATTGGATAAAATTGGTTAATATCAATGTTGTTGTTTTTATTCTGAAACACAATCTTAAGAAGTTACATATTGTTTGCTATATTGTTGAATATGCACAAAACCAGAATATTAGACAGTATATTATGTACATTATGCACAAAAAGAAGTAAACACACAGGAAAGAGAGGAAGAAAAGGGGAAGAAAAGAAACAAAAACAAAATCGGTGGTCTGTCTTTTCTCCAACATCAGGTGAATGAAATAATAATGCTATTACACCAGGACCACCTTGTGTTCGTAGGGGTAGAAGCTCTCGGAGTCTACGCCTCGGTTGCGGATGATGTATCTGAAGGATTTGGAGATGTATCCTCCTCTGCAGCCGTGATTTCCGTCGTCGGTGCTGCAGTCCACCAGGTTCTGTGGGCTCAGGGGGACAAGGACACCTGTTCGCTTCTTAATCTGTCCCTCAAGAGCTCCTAAAGAGCTGAAGGCCCAGCAGGAACCACACAAGCCCTTGCAAGAGAGAAACGGTGTTCATTACCACAGGTTATTTATAGATTCCTTCATTTAAAGTAGCTAGTCACAAATCAGTGCTTACCTGGTTTTGGACTGGAGTGACCAGGCCGTCATCTCTCCAGTCGACACTCTGAGGTGTCAATAAACCACTACCGTCCTTAAAAGTGCCATTTGTGAAATGAACAGGCTGCTCCAGCTTCAGGCCGTTTAGCTTCTCGTTGATCTCATCAGCTGTCTTAATAGAGAAGAAGGCTGGTAAATAGGACAATGCAAATACTACAATGTCAAAACTAAGTTGTTCGTTGTCACAGCAGTGCCTTTGATCACTTTACCACATGTAAAATTTCAATATTGTTACAGACGCCTGTGAACACCACAAAAATGCACGACATAATTTAATTGTGCTGCGAAATCATGTTCCTCTTCTAAAGGTTTCTCTCAAAGATGCAGTGAAACAGCTCTGCTTGGAGAAACAAAGGAGCAGATGCAATGCTGGTTCAATTGCCCTACTTAGGGAATTATTGTTAAGTATTTAAGTTTTTTTTTACTGACAGTCCGAGACTGTTGGTGTTGCTGAAAAAAGTCAATAAAATTTGACTTTCCTTACATTTATTCATGTTATTGTACTTGCATTCTGTGGATGATCCTCAAAACATAAAGTTAAATGCACGAATATTATGATATAGATATAATATATTTGCAGAGTAATCATGTAATTGTTTCTTGTTTTCCTCAAAGGTTTGTTTATTGTGGTACAATGAGAGCCAACCTTTGCACCACGGTTACCCATTGGATTCTGCTTGGCATGTACATCAACCGGTCATGTAACTGTATTAGCCTTCCCTGATGTGATCTACTACACTATTGAGATTGTCCAGATTGGACTGGTCATACTGGATTGAATTAATCAGATTGTATAAGAATGATTGGAGCTGCTCTATAGATCAGGATGGTTTAAATATAGACTCACAGTGTTGGTCATTGACATCTCTCTCGCCCCATCGGAGCTCAATTCACTGAAGATTATCATGTCAAGCACACGTCTGCACATAATGCAGGCCGTAGTTGATAAGGAGGTAAGGATGCAAGAATACAAAGAAGCACGGAAGAAAAGAGCGGAATGAAATTAAAAAAACAAAAACAAGAAGCAAGCAAACAAAAAAACGAAATAGCAACAGAAGAAAGAAAGAAAGAAAGAAAAAAAATACAAGCAAACAAAACCAACAGAAAAAAACAGATGAAAGAAAATAAATAAACAAGAAAAATAATAAAGAAGAAGGAGAAGGAACCAACAAAGACATGAAGACAGAAGACAGACAAAAAGGAAATCAAACCAATATGAAAAACAAACAAACAACAAAAGGCACCAAACGAAGTTCAGGCTCAGTGAGCACTGAAATCTTATAAATCATTTGGAAGGAAAAGTTACAAATAACATATTCTACAACTTTTTCCACCAACAGGTGCAAGTTAAGATTAGCTTGGTAGAGATGATCAAAAAACGGCCTCCTGCCTGATAGGTAATTATCTGCATTGAATATGGTGAAAGTATTTAAATGAACATCCAAAATGTTCGCTCATGCACGGGACTGAAATCACTAATGTTTTCCTACCATGTCAGACAGATGATTGGGTCCCATTGCGAAGCTTTGTTTTCCTGCTGAGGCCTCCTGGTTGTGTCTCAACACCATCTGCAGGTTCTTCTCCCAAACTGCTCTCCTGAAAACCATCTCAGTCTGAAACAAAAAGGCAGAACGGATAATCTGAATGTACATACGTGTGAGTAGCATGATGACAAATTAGGTCCTCACAATCCTACCTCGTTTGCATAAACCTTGTGATGTTTGACCCGCCACTCGTCCCAAACGTTGTGGAACACCAGGGAAGCGTTGCCGAGGGCCTGGAAGGCCAAAAGCAACACAGAACACAAAGCGCGCATCCTGCAGAGGAAATGACAAATATAGTCACATTACATACGCAGATATGACTAAAAAACTTTATTAACTTAAATATCTAAACTTAATAAACTGGATTTATTAAGATATTACGGAGGCATGGTTGAAAGTAAAATGAGTCCTCTACGTCTTTGATATGAAATAAGATTTTTTTTTAACTTGGCAGTCTGTTCTAAGGATTTCTTTGCCTCAAAGGGGAAAAGGTAAAACCAGTTTCTCTGTAATCTCTAAGCTTCTTTCTCGGAAAATAGTTTGTGCCCCCTTATGGTTTATTTATACACACCATTTCAACACACACCGTGGAGACATGAGCGTTCGATCGTTAAAGCATAAAAATGCATAAAAATGTAGTTAGATAAATGAAAAGATGCACTTACCTTGTCGCAGAACAATCAACAGGGTTGTTTGCAGCCGATTTAAACAAAGCAGAGAACTTCCAACACGTGAAAGAGGAAGTATCGTTTCCTCTTACACACGCAGTTGTGTTGTTTTTTACAACGGCATCTGCTCTGTGTCTTGTCATGTGAGTCCAATTCACCACAAGCTGCAGTGGCCACACATACCTCTCCAGTGCGAGGGGTGGTAGTAAGTTGCACGACAGAAAAACATTCTCCTGTGGAGAAAAATTTTAAAGGAATCTGTGGACGTGAAAGAGATGAATTTAGAAAACTATTTGGCGAACTCACGGATTATTCGTCATAATTAGTGTGTAAAACATCTTTGAAAAGACCGTGCATCACCTTTGATGATGGAAACTACAATGCGGTTTCACTGTAGTTTGATAACAGGCCGAGTGTATTATTAGAGCTTTCTGCGGGAAGAAACTACGTCAGCTCTCTTCATTCAGACGTGCTGGATGTGTTATTAGCTGGAGGAGCTTTAACCTTGTGTTTTCTCTTCTTGAGTATCGTGTTGGTATATTTACTTATGCTGCCTGATATGCTGCATATGAGTGCTTCATATTTACACTACTATATTATGTTCCAAGTGCAATATGTTCAAACGATGTGTTAACACTTACTGCAGCAACCCGATAAACAACAAAACGACAACACGAAGATCATGATTCATTTTTCTATGTTTAGTGGCTGAAGACTTATAACATGCCTAACATGCTTATAACATATAACATTGTTACAAAATGACATATTCGAATGTTATTGATATTAATATTTTAAATATATAAACAATAAAGCTGCAAACAGGGAAAATGTGTCTGAGGATCCCCCACATTTCCCTCCCTTCCCACCACATTCTGTCTAATGAAAAATAGATATTTACCCGGAGACGTCACAGCTGTCACCACTACAGGGAGCAGCAATGACAACGCACAAGGGTGACAAATATACACGAGGTTATTATGCATTTAGGAACTCTGACTTGGCCGAGGCTGTAACTGGCGCTGGTTACTGGTTTTCTCTTCCGGGGGTTGGGCAGAGATTCGCTGATGACCGCAGGTTCCTTGAGGTACCAGATGGTAAGTTCCTGACTCAGCAGCAGCTCTTCTTCTTCTTTGGTGATCAAGCACCTTTGATGCCCACATACACTCCTCATAACCCTACAGCTGAGGAGAGAGACAGGCCATTCGGATTCTTTAAAAAGATAAAACTTTAATCGTGCATGTGAGTGTACATTAAGCAAGCAAATCCACACCTGAACTTCATTCATATGAAGCACTTTTCATTCAGTTTCACCCACCATTGAAGCAGATTTAGCAAGAACGGAAATTCCGACAATAAACATGTTGCCCGATTACATTTACACACCTTATATTCATGAAGCTCAACGTCAATTATTATACATCAAACTTTGAAACGACTCCAACAGACCACAGAGCAGACGTGCCTTTATTTCCCAGTGACAATGCTTGAATTCCTTCCCATCTGGTGTTTGCTCCTAAATCTCAGCATTTGGCTGACCTGAGTGCTTCCCTCCTGTCATCCAGTGCAGCGTGTTGGAGGCCGTCCAGGAGCTGGTGTATATAATCCCCCAGCATGCTCCGAGCACCCACGCGTCCACAGCCAGGTTGTTGTTGCCATGAGGACGGCGAAGCAACAGGGAAACCAAACCTTCTGTAAGCTCCTACGGGCGTTGGACATTTCGGAAGGGGAGGATGAAGCTCCGTTGTTATGATATGTATTTCTATTTCTCTCCCACTGCAGGGTTCATCTGGATTTATTTCTGAGCAATAAAAGATTTTGAAGATGTGCTCTGCTCTTTTGAATTCTCTGTCTTTGTGTCTGTAATTTTTCCAGTGACAAAATTTAGAAAAACCCACTTGCAAATCAGCTTCTTTTCTTTTTTACAAAATAATTGGGAGAATGGAGCTATCACGATGACAAGCCTTCCAGACTGAAGAGCCGGTGAGTTACAATACTTCATTTTCATTTGCTCCCTTCCACACATTATTCTGAGCATTTTAAGTTCAGAATGATATTGCAGCTGAGCTCTCGAATCCACAGAAAATAGCTGTGATTTCACCTTTGTACGCTGTTTTCAGTCTCGAGCAGGTGAGCTCCCAGAGGAGGTGAGGAGGAGTCAGTCTCCATCACTCGGTGCTCTGGAGAGCTGATTTCATCAACAGCAGGCAGACAGTATTCCCCAGTTCACCCATTGCTATGTTGAGAAAAAAAGGACCACTTAGGACACAAAAGTATGATGTTAAAGACAACAAGACATTCTCCCAAATGCGCTCTGTGAATATTACACTATCAAGGTGTTTTTTTCTTTTTTAATCAAATCATTTAAATGAAAAATAAGTTAGGATCTCTTATTTACTCATAACATGGTTTTAAAGTTGATCAGTAATTTATCTAAATTCACTTTTAAATTGAGCATTACTTTCTTTCATAACCTGCACTGTTGTAAATATTGCATACATCAGGGCTGTAGTCATTCTGCCTGTCTCTCTTCTCACATGTTCTTTAGTGTTGCATCGTTCAGCACAACAACATGTGCAGAGATCTGAGGGTGGCATCGCACTTTTTTACCAACACTCTGTTGGCAATTTAAACGTGTTTCAGCAAGTCACACATTTTTATGAGCGGATCCCTAAGATCTTTTTACAGGCCTCCCGTCAGTTTTATATCTGGTTTCCAACTTAAAAGAAATCCCATTTATTTACATGTTCATAATATATGTCAATACAAACTGAATATTATGTGAACCATTGACCCTAAATGTATCTCTTATTTCCTTTTGCCCCCTAGTGGTGAATTTAGTGAGGGTTAGTGAGGGTTCACATCAGGAATCAGGAATCAGGAAACATTTATTGCCAAAATATGTCAAACATACAAGGAATTTGTCTTGGCGGTTGGTGCGTGACAGTAGACAGTGTAACAATAGACAAGACAGCAGTGCACAAGTAATAAAATAAAATAAAATGAAATGCTAATGCATGGGTTAGTAGAATAAGGCTATGGGTTAGTATAAAATAAGAGAATAAAGTTAAAGTTAAAAATTAAAAATACTTTAAAAGTTACAAAATATTAAAAAAATAAAGTGCACCATCGAACAAGTGACAATGTGACGAGTGACAAGTAACGATAGAGATACCTTGATAATCTGCAATGTCAAACTCTACATTTACATTATAATCCTGTTAAATAGATTCTGCAAGTCTCCACAAGATATTTCACCTTGGAATATACTTTCAAATTCACCATAGTAGCTAAATAAACATAAATATTAAAATATTAAATGTAATAAAAGTCAAGGAGTATTTTTCACTCTGCCTCTGGTGGTTGTGAGTGAATGGAGGCGGTGCCTTGCAAGGAAAACAGGCAAGGAAACTTTATAACTTTGAGAATACATAAATCAAAAAAGGTCTTAAAAGGAAGAAGAGACAGAAAGAGAGGGGGATTATACAGAGAGGAGAAGTAGAATTATTACAGCTAAAAACCAAGATAGAGCCGGAGAAGACAAATGAGTTAATAGGTGCCTTTAAAGATGCACTGACTGTGTTGGTCTGATCACGGAGGCTGTTCCAGGATGAATTACTGTTACCTCTGTGGTTTATCATCCTGCAATATTCAAGAAATGCAAACCACATAAATATAAAACTGATGGGACAATACAATACAATACACCATTCATTTCATGTTTTAAAAAACGGATAAACGCACTCAATCACATCTTCAGCTCTTTCATCTATGTGCTGCAGAAAGTCATATTTCCCCCCATTTCTACCAAAATGACACTTCACTCCAATCTCAGCTGTGTCTCTCTTGCAGGAAGCCAACCAGATGTTTGAGGGGATCGCCGTCCTCCGATGGCTGTGCTGGGGAGCCGTCTACCTTTTGGCAGTGAGCGTGGCTTTGTCCTCTGAAACGCTGCCGCCGTGTCCACAGTCCTGCCGCTGCAACGCCGCGCTGCAGGAGCTGAACTGCTCCGGGAGCCAACTGGCCCGAGTGCCCGACGATCTCCCACCAAACACTAAACTGCTAAACCTAACACGCAATAGGATCACCGCTCTGGTGCAACGGAAGTTCCAAAGTTTGCCACAGCTTTTAGATTTGGACCTGAGTGACAACATCGTGGCAGTAATGGAAGTGGAAGCGTTTCTCGGCCTGGAAAGACTGGTGACTCTGCGTCTTGCTCGTAACCGCCTGAAGCTCATTCCTGTCGGAGTGTTTGCTGGTTTGCCGAAACTGAAGTTACTGGACATAAGCAGCAATGAGATCCTTGTTTTTATAGATTTTACTTTTCGGCATCTCACTGCCCTTCAGTTCATTAAAGCGACAGATAATGAGTTAGTTTTTATTTCTCATCAAGCTTTCGCAGGCTTGACCAGTCTGCACGAGTTGCACCTCGATGGCTGCAACCTCACCGCCGTGCCGACGGAGGCGTTCACACAGCTCAGTGGTTTAAGAAGTCTTCATTTTCACCAACTGGGCTTCGCCACGCTGCAAAACTACTCTTTCCGTCAACTGGGGCGCCTCAAGGAACTGGTCATCACTCGATCCCGCTGGCTGGAGACCCTGGCGGCGAACAGTCTCTTTGGTCTGAATCTTACGTCTCTAACCATCAAACAGTGTAACCTCAGCGCGGTCCCCTACGTCCCTTTACACCCTCTTGTATATCTCGTATACCTCGACCTCTCTTTTAACCCGATCACCGACATTCACGGGAACCTGTTTGGAGACATGCTCAGACTCCGAGAGCTCCATCTGGTGGGCTGCTCCTTGCTGCGTATCGAAATCGAGGCATTTAAGGGTTTGGCTCATTTCAAATTGCTGAATGTATCTGGAAATCTTCTCACCACACTGGAGGCGGGAGCTTTCCATTCAGTGGACAACCTAAGAACTCTGGGACTTGACAACAACCCACTAGCGTGCGACTGCCGCCTGCTGTGGGTGGTGCCGAGGCGACAGCATCTGGACTTTGGTGGAAATCCACCAACTTGCTCTACCTCAGTTCATTTGCAGGGACGGTATGTTCTCGACTTTACCGAAGCGGAGCTACCGGGCCTGCTCACGTGTCGGCCGCCTCGTATTCTCAACCGCAAACCTCAAGAAGTGAAGGTAGACCAAGGACACACGGCGGTGATGTACTGCATTGCAGAAGGTGACCCTGTGCCATCTGTCACCTGGTTAAGCCCTCAGCTAAAAACTCTTTCTCCCATTGGTAGAATACGGGCTGTCTCCAATGGTTCGCTGGAGGTTCACTATGCTCAACCTCAAGACAGTGGTGCTTATCTCTGCGTGGCATCTAATGCTGCGGGAAACGACAGCCTGCCCGTCAGCCTCCACGTGCGAGTCTTTCCATCGTCCTCTAAAAATCCCTTCCGTCTTAAAGGTTGGTTCACCTTTCCGTCCGCTTCTCCGGGTGTCAATGGAAATCAGATCATCACATTTGATGTAAGGACATTATTAGTCGTTGCAACCATAGGACTTCTTTCATTCTTCAGCTCCGTCAGCGTATGTTTCATCTTCATGTTCTTCTGGAGTAAGAGTAAAGGGCAAATAAAGCACACAGCCACGATAGCATATGTCCCGCGAAGCACCGTGGCAAGCAGTAACGGAGGAAAGGGCAACTGTGTGGAGAAGAACAGGTTCACCATGAAACTAATATGACATTCACATGGTACGACTTGGGTATTAAAGTGTAAAACTTGCATTTCCATTTCCATAGATATAATTAAAGACATTTTGGAGCATGTGGACATCCAACAGAGGATGACTTTTAATTCACTCATATAAATAAGAGCATGTTAGGTAGAACCCACATTTTGAAAAAGTAAATACAATGCATACTGTAAATTGTGCTGGTATAAGTCCTTATAAATGTAAATAGGATTTAGGTTACTTTTTGAAAAATCCACACTGGCAGAGGACGTCCTTTTCTTTTTTAATTTTTCATCCCTGTCAAGCTCCACTATAACAAACCATGAATGTAAAGCTACTTTAAGCAATACATTTAATTAGCATAATGCATGTAACATGAAGAGACATAAATTCATGTTTTTTTTTTGCTTAAGCCTTTGTTCATTTGTGTATATATAGGGAAACAATTAAAGAACTGCTTTGTTTGAAATGAAATAATTACCTCAGATGGTAAACCATGTTAACCTTATATTGAAGTAAATTTACATATGGTTTGCCGCTAACATCTAACTTCTAATGTTTGCTAGAACAGTAAAACTGTCACTTACTGCTGAACTCATTATTCATTGGACGTGTTAAATGTGTGTTTTCATTCAATTCCCCAATAAATCTCTTCATTGGTTTTCGTTTTAACAGCAGCATATAGTAACCTTGTGTTTTAGTTTGTTGTGATTTTTCAGTGGTTCTTTACCCAAAATATAGATACAAAGATCCCATTCACTAAGCAAGTATATCCTTAAATTTGAACAATAATTTAATAATAGCATGTGTTACCGAAACAAGCACAAACAAAGGGATATTTAAGCTAAAAGTATTGCATAATGGTAGACAGTGTGCACACTAATAACACATATTAATTATCCTTTGAAACAAGTTTATGACAAACTACACATTTAAGGAATGATGGATCATATATTTTTACGTCAAGTAGTCAAGCAAGTCAACACAGGATCACATAACAAAACGCAGTTATTATAGACAAGAAAAACTTTATTGAAAAGACTAACAAAGCTGTCTTTTCAATAAAGTAACACGTTACGAAGCTATTTTAACTATACATGTACACAATGTTGTGTTCAATTGTTTACTCTATCAAGTCAACTCACATAAATATAATAAATATTTGATGCAGTTTTATTTTTTTTAATTTTTAAGTTTCCGCCGTACCCCGGAAGTACAACAGTTGCACCGGATGTAAGACAAGAAGACAGAAGAAAGTCTCAGCTGTAAACGTAGCTTGTATGGGATTAGCTGTTAGAAAACCCTTTTTTTGTTTGTAATCCAACATTTAAGGAGTATTCGAAATTTAACAGAATATGCATACAAACTGATGATAAATGCATTGAATCGAGAGGTAAAAGGGTTCCCAAAATAACCTTTAACTGATAAGTAAGCGCTGCACTAGCTAGCTAGCTAGCTAACGTCGGATACCCCAAACATTTGCTAGCATTGTTTACAGATGTCAGCCATTACTCTGGCCGGAGACCGGCAGCCCAGAAAGACTGCGGGTAACCGCATGTCAAAATTACTTGATGCCGAAGAAGAGGATGATTTCTACAAAACTACGTATGGAGGCTTCAACGACGTGAGTAACTGAACCGAACTGACCCATACAGATTAAATAGGGTAGGCTAACACATTAGCTCCCACTAGCTTGTGTCGCGATCGACTAACGTTACCAGAGCTGGTGTTCATGTTTATTAAACGATTTCCCGATAATGGAAGACATTGTCGAATGGAGTCATATTCCATTTATAAATGACTATGATCGATAATTTTATCTAATCTTCGATTTGTATTAAACATTAATACAAAATGGCATGTATGCTGTTCCCTTTTATTAACGTTAATCACAATCTATCACAGAACACAAAAATGTGTCGTAAGACAATTATTTATGTTGTGCGTTACTTTTGCTATCTGGACCGTGAGTCTGAAAAAATAAAAGTTTGTTTGTTTTGCAATATACAACACAGGAATTTTTCTGATTGACTGTTAAAGCCCAAATGACAAAGTTAGTTTAAATGCAACTATTCGTAGCTCCTGGTAACACATTATTTGAACACGAATTTAAATCCAGTATGTTCAATGTATTTGAAGGAATTACATAAAGTCGGTTGATTCTTATGTTCAAAACCATCCTTCATATTCGGTCTTTCCTCATTGATAGATTAAACACTATCGCCTTAGTATAAGTTAGGATGTTGAATTGCAGTACATGTACATGCCAACAGTAGCGCTTTTAGTGCTGATTGAGCCATCAAGTGTAGTCTTCATTTGCAAGAATTCATCTTGATGAACATACATTATGAGCTAGAACTCCAGCTCAAAATGCCAATTGTTAAGAAATCAAGTCAGTACATCCTCCATCAAATTATTAAAAAGCAAAAGGTAGTATGGTTATTTTTTTTTTAAATCTCTTCGTTTCTAACGTGTTGTCTGCTGTTATTATTTAATTTGTTACTATTGTCTACATTTTTACATAATACATGATATACATGCGTGCATGCGGATTGTAGTGCCGACGAGTGCATTGTGTGCTGCAGCCGCTTGGAGAGTTCTTTGCCGACAACAAATTATATGGTTGCATTTTTGCAGCATCACAACATTTTAAGATTTACTTGAGAACATGGCAACTCAGAGTTTGCATTTACACCCCAATGCCTCTTCAACTGCACTGAGGCCATCGTCCCTCCAGCTAATGACACGGCAAATATTTAGAAGATGATGGGCTTTTCAAGAATGGCTCAGACTCTAGATTGTGTGAGTAGTTCTTGTAATTGTGCTCAAAGCCAGTAATTAGAGCGGTAAAATGCATTCAAGCTCAAAGATACAATACATATGAACTAACATTGAGCAAAAAGGATTTTGTAGAGGCATGCCAAAGGATGCTTCGGTCTTCAACTAAGGCCTTTAAACGCGGGGGTTATCAAAGCCACCATGCCAAAGTGATTCATAAGAAACTGTGACCACGGCTAAAATAATCCCGATCTATCTCAACCACTGACAACTTGCAAATGCTCAATGACAGTTCCAGCCCTTTTATGCATCATCCCTTAAAGACAGAGAAAGGACTGTAATATTGCAGATACTTTAATTAAGATTCCGAGTTGTATCCTTCATTTTCAGTCTTGTGATTCTCTTTAAGCAGTTGAGGTTGACCAGAACAGGCAAGTAAAGACAGATTCTCCCTCACTAGATCTCATAGTCTCAGCCTCAGCTTAGCACACATACACATCGCTGAATTGGTAAAAGGGTGAATGGACTGTACTTGTATGGCGCTTTTCTAGTCTTCTGACCATCGCGCTTCGACATTTACCCATTCACACCCTACCATGACAGCAGCTACCACACACAGTTGCACCTGCCCATCAGTAACTAGCATTCACATATGACTTAAAGAACCCCATAAATGTAGTGTTCTGGAGGTAGATGCCTTTTTCTAAATAATGTCCTTTTTGTTTTCAGGAATCGGGAGACGATGAGTACCACGGAGAACATTCCGACACAGAGGACGAGGTGGACAGCGACTTCGACATCGATGAGGGCGACGAGCCAGACAGCGACCAGGAGGACGATGCACCTCGAAGGAAAAGTCGAGTGGTCACTAAAGCATATAAGGTAGTCACTGTCATTTCAGGAGCTCTCAGATTTTGAATTACGTTACTGCATTAAAAGTAAGATCTATTCGTATTTGAGGGACTTTGTTTTAGTTGACAGTGCAGCATAAAATTAACTTTATGCTTTGGTAACAGATACACTACAGGAACATAAGAGTGAATTCTCAAATTTAATAGATGTTTTGTTGTCTTTGTTTAATCCAAGGAACCAATAAAAGTGGCAAAACCAAAACCAAAAAGACCCTCGGAAGAACAGAAGAAGACAGAGAAAGTTAAAGTGGAGCTCAAAAGAAGGATTCCACAAGAATTCCAAGATTTTGGCGAGAGTAAGATCGGTACATCTCTCCTTAACTCAGTGCTTTCAGATCGCTCTCCCTGTAAAGGATCCGTAAACACTCACAAACATCACATGATGCTTTTATGGAGGTTTTTTTTAGCGTTATTCTTTCATCCTTTTTAGCTCGGAAGTCTGTGCGACAATCCACCAGTGAACATACGCGAAAGACCAATCTGCGCTTGCAAGAGCGCCAGGAGGCCCCTCGGCGGCGGAGAGGTGCCCATCGGGACCGGCCCCTCACTCAAGATGAGCTGCTGGCTGAAGCCAAATTAACAGCAGAGATCAACATTCGATCTTTAGGTAACACACGAGTCCCGGGATCTAAGTGAAAAGAGTTTTGGTTCCTCTAGTTTGTTACTTCTCGAACATGGCGTTTGATACAAAATGGGTCTGTTGATTGTGACAGTATAAATATAATGATGGTGGGATTTGTGTGGAAGCAGACAGTAGCTGAATTCCACCTGTTTAGCGAGAAGATGCACAAAATCTCATGAATCAACCAATACGAATTTGTCTGATTTAACTTAACTGGAAATGTTAATGGTCTCATTCATTTAAATTTCTGCGCGTAGAGAACTATGAACGTCTGGAGGCGGACAAGAAGAAACAAGTTCACAAGAAGCGTCGGTTTGAGGGACCAACCATCCGTTACCACTCCGTCCTGATGCCTCTGGTCTCGCACTCTGTTTTAAAAGAAGAAAACGTTGACGTTGAAGGGTAGGCGTGACCCGCCGCTCAGCTTAACCTTTTTGTTCACATCAGTGTCTGCTAGAATCCTCCGCTTCAACTGCACGTCCTGTACTTTCTGCTCACAGGTTGGATCAGGACGTCCCTCAGACGGCGCCGCAGAATCCCGCTACTCCTTCCCAGCAGCCTGCAGGAGGCCTGTGCTCCCGCACCTACATAACGTTCAGCGACGACGAAGCCTTCGAGGCGTCCTTCCCACACAGCGGCCAGTCGAGTCCCCAGCTGCCTGTCCAGGAGGTCTGTCCTGTCACCCACAAGGCCGCGCTGTACAGAGACCCGGTCACCGACATACCGTACGCCAACACGCGGGCCTTCCGCATCATCCGAGAAGCGTACCGCAAATACGTGGCCGCTCACGGCTTTCCAAACACTTCGGGCGCGGCGGCGGGACTCGACTCCTCGGCGACGAAGGCGTCCCGCCAGAAAATGGTCGTCAAGCAGAGCGCCATGGCAACATAGATGAGTTTAGAAATGACGAATGCGTCCGTTTTGGATTGATTAGTTGAGGTAGAATGAGTCTATGAAGTGAGGGGGAGGGAGGGAAAAAAACGTTTTTGGATTTTGCCGGTGTCTGTGATAAACGTGTTACAGTTGAAGCAATGATGCACAGGTTTGTCTGTTGACTTGACATTATTACATAATGAGAAGTAACGTAATGACACAAGCAAATCTGTTGGTAAGTTGCAGAAAACGTTTTTCTGGTGTCTCTTTTTTAAATAAATGAATATTGTCCAAGAACACTCAGAACAATCCAGATTGAATCCTACCATAAAGTGAGGAATCTTTGTCTGACTCTTTGTGGCTGTGTCCGTCGCTTACCTCACTGCGTGTGCAGCAGAAGGGCGAGACCTGATTCTAATTCACGGCACTTCCTTTCGCCGCTGTATCTCGAGCTGGTCTTCACTTCCCTGGAGTCAACACAAAATGTGATCCCTCGGAAGCCGAATCGAACCAGCAGGTATTTTCACCCAAGTGAAGGCTTGTACGCGCCGTCCACATGGGTGTGCAAGTCAGTGTTTCCCTGGTCTGTGACTTGATACTAACATAAAAACACATACGTGTTACTGCCAGCAAAATAATGTGCGACTAACAATGTGGGATCCAGGATCACCCCCCCCCCCCCCCCCTTCAACCAGAGTGTATTTAATCTTTGTCTCTAAGCGCGAGTAGCTGCGACTCGGTCCTGGCAGGTTATGGCTCAAGATTGGAGAAAGTGCCGGGTCGAGTGTGTTTGTACGAGCGGTTCACGAGAAAGCAACACCACAGGCGAAGCTTTTGGCCCGTTCTTAAGAGGCTTGTTCGCCACGAGTAGATTGGCTTCGGAAACAAAGAAGTTCTCCATCTGCACGTTGGCAGATTTTTCTTAATTAAATGCACCTTTTTTTCTTTTATATTGTGGATATATTTAGTTTCTACAAATGTTCCTTTTTCCCAACAAAAATACATATTTGAAGCTTAATGTTATTAAATCTGAAGTTTGTAACAACCCATCGAGCGTCATATTAACATGAATCCCATCTGCGATTCCCCTCACAACTTCAGATCCTTCCTCACTCTACTGATACTGTGAGATGCGTCACTAAACTTTTGACTTTCCCAGAAGACAAATTACATAATTGTTTAAAAAGCATTCAGTTGCAAGCAATTACTTAAAATGCACTGCTTTTGTTCCGCATAAATCCCATTACAGTATCTAAATGAGCCACAGTCGACCATTCTAAATGTTTCAGGCAGTTGTGAAGCTGGTTATTTCTGTACGAGCAGAGCAGCAGCGTGACTGAGCACCGCTGAGTGTTGGTCACCTTTGACCCCTCTCACATGGAACATGAATCTCTGCCCTGCATAGCGGCCTGTACCTTCCGGCGCCTGTGTTGCATAAACGTCCATGGAGGGGAAACTACAATAATTAAAATGTTTAGTCACCGAAGGTTTCAGGGTTGGAAATCCAGCTCCTTGAATACGACGAGAAGCTTTTGCATTGTCTTTCAGCCATACGGTAGATTTGACTTTGACACTGTCAGAAAATGCGACGGCGTGAAGCTGAACCTGGAGTTGCTTTTGAGTTTTAGGTACAAATATTGCAGAGTTTGCATTCATATCAGTTTAGCTTTCGAGCAGATGGTTCAGGCGCAATCTTTTTTTCTTTTGAAGGAAGCTACCAAATTTTATTTATGATGTTATGTTGCTGCCGGAAGGATCAATGCTGCATTCAAGCGTATTTCCTCCTCCTGCTCCTCTATTGTCCCGATGATGTTAAGCGGAGCGTCTAGCTGAGCATCCCACCACTTCTTTGTCTGAGCCGAAAGGAAAGCACAGCCTCCATTTCATAATCTTTACCTGTAAGCTGTTGTTTCATTAGAGGGGGAAAAAAAGAAAACCCATTTTCCATGATCTCATCTAGAAGTCCCCTTCATGTTCTTTGTCATTTGATTGATGAAAAAAGAAAAACTGGTTGAAAATTATACAACCAGGATGAACACGGCAAACTGGTGTATTTAGAGGTGAAGCGATTAGATGATTTATTTGTTTCATTGATCAATAGTGGATGAAACTTAAAGAGCAAAAATGTTAGTGATATATCACCTTTAGTTTCTTATCTTTAAGAAAAGCAAATATCTGAATCTTTGGAAAAAATATGCAATTTTACGACATTAAATTACATTCTAGCAAGTTGTAATTAGCATGCTGCCTCAATACAAATGAGTTATTTGTGAAGGTTTGCTGCTTTTTAAAATGTTATGTGAAGAGAATATCTTTGGTGTTTGGTACAAAACCAAATATTTTATGAAGTAATCTTAAATTGTCTGTTTGTAGCAGAAAAGACAAAAAAGACTAAATGAAACCTCTGAGCCTACCGGCTTTTAAACTGCTGCTAGTTGATCAATCGGGTCATGCACTCATCGCTCAACTCCAACGGCGGACTAAAAGTTGCCAACCGGACTATAAATGAGGCTTTGGCAGTAAGGGAACCCCAGAAATATGGGCTCCCGACCTCAGAGCCCCCCTGTCGTCAGACACTTGGGCTCTGAGATGCTCCTCGACGCTTGTCCAGGTGAACCTTTTTTAGAACAATGTCACCTTGCACAGGTGTAGGTGAACAATGTGTGCTTTTAATTATGACAATGATCCGCTAAGACAAAAATATCATCATCATCATGCAACAGAAATCCACTCTTAATGTGAGCATTGCATCCCATGCGTAACACTGAAGGCTGTACTGTTGTGACGTCGTATTCCTCCCAACAAACCAGGCACCTCCGAGGACTCCAGGAACGAAGAGCAAATCCGCCTCACTTGTCAGGCAGTCAGCTGGTCTCCGTCATGGCACTAATAACGGGACTGACAGTGAGAGGCACATCTGCCATCTGGACGTTTCTCCTGGTTTAGACGGCCGATCTTAGTTGCTCAGTATTTTTTGATACGCCGGGTTGATGGTGACTGACTGTTTGCGCTTTGCCTTCGTAACGGCCTGCCAAACAAATTAACATGGAGTGACAATACCAGGCAAAGAAGATCCTCTGTAGACTGAGGTGACCAATATATTGCCAGCAGTATGAAAAAGTATTTGGTATGATCACATAAGTATACCGTGTTGCTTTGTAAACAAGCGTTTCTTTAGACGACCAAATTGATCCAAAACAGGATGAAAGTTTCTGCGAAAAGATTGCTTAAAAAAAGAAGGGTGGTGGGTGTAGCAGAGCCACATTGTCTCGGATCATCTCACCATCCCTCTCAGGGTTAAGACGTGTAATTTAGCACACATTGTGGGCACATTTTGATGTCACCCCCCCCCCACACACAGTAACGCCCCAGGTCTGTTCAGCAGTGTAGCTTTCCTTTTAAAAGATACCGATTACAAAGGACAACTAGCACCAGACCTTATCTAAAGGTTTTTGAATTGTCATGGTGTCACTTTCCAGCAGCAGCACTAGAGAGATTGGAGAAAATGCATTTATTTAATCGTGCCTTTTTCAATTTTTTCAACCTCAATGCTTGTTCTTTGAAGGCAACTGCTGCCCACACATTGTGCCACTTTCCTTTGGCGAAGAAGAAAACAACCAACACATTTATTTCAAAAATAACAAGTCATCCCTTGAAGCGATGATGATGAATTCAGTGTCAGGCGAACGCCACAGTCTCTGGTGGATAGACGGATTTAACGGGATGTAGAAGGAAATCAAAGAATATTTAGCCATTGGTTGTTTTTTTTAGGCATTACATTGAAAACATGTATCATATCTTCTGCAACATCAGAATACTGAAAGCTTTGTCTCCCACATACGGCACAGTACATATGGTACCAATTGAACAGTTTGCAGCATCGGAAGAGAGGGAACTGCATTATCACTCGTTCTAGTGTGGTAGTTGCCATGGAGACGAGTGTAGGTGGTGTACTGTTCTCTGTGCTATACTCCTTCCCCAGTCCTCTCCCCTCTTCTGTTGCCCACCCTCTCTCTTCTGCTATCTGCAACATCCGCGCAACTTTCAATCCTTCGCATTTTACTCAAATAATTCTGCTTGGTTTGCATTCTGCAGGATTTGTATTCAGCACATTTTAACAAATACATTTAAATTGGGTGGAGAGTATTTCAGGTTGTACTTTGAGGAATTGAAAAGGTTTACATGAGTGTGATTATATTCAGGTTATTTGATTTTTGAGTTAGATTAATGTATCCTGTTCTTCATACTCTTCTTTTGCGTGTTCTGTTTAGATTCCTCAGTTCATTTAAAGATTTTTTTTTTCCCCCTGTAGATTCATTTCTTGCTGACCATCCAAGTTATTCATCAATTGCTTCTTTTTGCAGACCAGCTATTCTTTTATCAGTTGCCATGGAGATGTATCTGTTTCTGTGTGTGAGTGAGTAATGCGAGTCAGTGAAAGAGTGGGATGTTTCATTTCCAGTTCCATTTTTTTTGGTGTATTTTTGAAGACTGCATGTGTGTTCCAGTGTCCCAAGTTAGTCTTAGACATCAGCTTTTGTTTGCTTCTCCCCATCAAATCATTTCTTGCATCCTACTTTGCTTTGAGCGACTAAGTAAGTGAATTCCATGCATGTTGTCTCTGCGTCTTCAACAGATCCAACCTGTAATGATTCATTTGGAGGTTTATTACCATTTAGGGAAAAGGTTTCTTTACCAAGGCTTAGTTGCCTTACCATTTTATGTTGAACAGCATCATGGGTGTTGTTAGGCCTGTTTTACGAGGGCAGCCCCGCCCCCCACGCAATTTGGCTTTCAAAAAAACAAACATGTCATTAAATTAAACTATTTTTTCTCAAATGGACACGTTATTTTTTAAGTCTTAACATGCTAGATATGTGCGTGCGTTCTGGTGTGTATGTTTTCTCCCCTTTAAAACGACAATCCAAAAGCCCATCATCATACTTTGCGATGTGACCCGGGCACTAGGACCTTGGGGAGGCTGCCGCGCCGGCTTCCTCACTCTGTAGTGAGAAGTAACGCCCCTCGTCGAGTTACAGAATGTGTCTATCTCTAATTGTTACCTGCTTACATTTAGGTTTATTTGAGGAAAATGAAAGGAAATATTGTAACGTAAGTGGGCTACGTTAACTCTATGCCAGCTAGCGAGTTAGCTATTTTGATAAAAATGGTCCCAAGTGAGCAAGAGTGTGAATGAGCACTCAAAATACAAAAAATAACTATCGACATCTCTTTGTCGATATAAACCTTGTGTTTCAAAACAATAATATAATTCCCTATGAATGTTGTTTATAATCAGTTACTGCAGTGTCCCTCATAACGCTACTGTGCGTTTCACCATGACCCTGAAATTCTGTCTCTTGTCTTATCATATCCTGATCATATATCATCATGATATCATATACTGAATGTAAGGGAAACTACAGAGCAACTGTCTGAAACAGTGTCTATCTGGGGCTAAGCCCCCTGTTTCCTTGGATCCTAGAAACGCCCCTGAACAGCATCATGTTTGTTATATAGAGACATAACTGGGTTGCCCTTCTTTAAGGGGGATTTATGTAACGCAGTCTTTTTATATGCCCACGAAATGATCCATGACACATTCAGGATATAACAATTAGCAATACACGTTTATGTAACATGTTTACATAGCAGATATTAAAATACAAAACGCTTTTAAGCAGAACAATTACTGATGCCTCCACAGTGTTGCACCTATGGACGTGTTTGTTGGACTGTCAGGCATTTTATTTTTCAGTTATTACAATTAAAGGGATTAAAGAATGTTCAAATCAAAATGAGTCATCCAAAGACTCCCCCATCACTGAGCGCCTTCAAGGACCCGTTCACATTGTTCCAAGTCTGTCAAATACACAAGAACTATACAACAACTTGACTTACAACAGCACAAGACTTTTTTGTTGCTTCTATTCCTCCACATATGTGTAATATCTATGAAGAAACTACATCCACAGTCTTCCTGCCGTGCAAAAATGTGTTCTAATATCCAGCCGACGCTAAAAGGACAGATACTTTGTACATGAGGATCAGTTAACTTTTCATTGGGAGTACTTCAGTTGTAATAATTCTTTCTGTGTTTCAGTGCAACTCAAGCTTTCCACTTTTTGAAGAACTCAACTTGTCATCAGGGTCATCTCGGTATGGGCTTGTAGACAGCTGTTTTAAAACAAAGCCAGATTCTTTAAGCCTTTTAGCAGACACGTGATATATGGGCATATGGGGAACACAGCAGCCAATGTTTTGGGATCTTAATGCACCAGGGACTTAACTGGTCTTTAATTCAAACTGGAATTTGTCATATGTCTGATCTCACTGTACCTGAAGCAACATTCCTCCACCAACGCAACCTGCTATCAGTGAACGCCATAAAAGTCTGGATATCTCTGCTTCTGCTGCTTTGATTTGAATGATTCTTTATGAGTAGCAAAGCGGTTATTATGATTACTAATTCACTCAATGTTACACAGGCCTGTGAGTATTAGTAGTCTATTGACATGTCCAATTGGTCTCTGTGGCTGATTGGAATTAACAAAATGTCTCCAATCATGCTGTGCACATAATGTTAAATAAAACTATTGCTAAACTCTGAATCTGGGCCCTTGCTTACATACTAAAAATGATAAAAATGATCACGTTAAATGTTATTTCGACGTGCAAGCTTGAAGCTTTTAGGGTGCAACCTCCCCATGTGACTGTGGGAGACCCCCACTACGCATGTTGCAGAAGTAACTTGGATGAACTTTTTCACACTGCTATCGTAATTATTTATTCTGATATCCGGGTGTAACGAACTGCAGCGCAGGGCGGACTCGAGCCGCATTCGGAGGCGTTGGTTTCTGTATCTCACGCGCTATCTCCGCCCTCCCGGGACACACTTCCACGTTTACCGACCACCTTTTTTTTTCTCACGCATTAGCCGTCAAGTCAAAACAGGTGCGACGGACTAAAAACAAAAGAGCGCAAAGGACACCGCGTTAATGTAGCACCGGACCCCCCCGTAGTGAAGGTGTGGATTACGGGGACGTCGTTGCGCCGCGCGGGGTGAAGTACACCAGCTCTCCAAGATCAAGAGCTCCGGCGAAGAAGCGAGCACGTCAAAAAAAACGTGCACGAATCCGATGCCGTCGGAATACCGACTGTAAATACCTCTCGGATGTTTTTGCGGTTAGGGTTTTGTCTTTAGTGCGCTCATTTTTTTTTGCATTATTGGTTTGTACGCTGCTCCGAGTTGGCGCACAGCATCGCTTTGATCATCATCATCATCATCATCACCATCATCATATTGACATCGGTAACCTGCGGGGATTTATGTGCAGTGGTCGTAACCATGCAGAACCTGTGTTTGGTCGTCAATCCCCGCTGTGTTTTGAATTGTTAATATAGGCTAAGTGGTAAATGAAGAACTAATTGGCTCCGTGGATCTAAACGCGCTAATAAGAGTCCTTATCATCGCCGCACCATACAGCAACGCGGGGGGGAGAGGGGGGGGGGGCGCTGTTTGAATTCCCACGTGCCCCGAACAAACAACTAAGATGACAAAAACCGCCTTCAGAGGCGATTCTCTTCATTGCCGAGGAAGCCGCACTGAGACCACGTCTCAGTTCCTGGATTGCGACCGAGCTGCAGGAGAGGACGAGCAGAGCAGCGCCGCCGAGCTGCACAACGGGGCCCCCCGCTGATCGGCGAGCTTTGGCTTCCGTGATGGACTGAGCTGGAGGTTGACGGGACCTCCCCCCTCCTCCTCCTCCTCCGGACTCCCCGCCTCCCCCCCCCCCTCTCCCCACATCACTGTGACAGCTTCACGGTTCCCCTCCACGGCGTTCGCACTTCACGAAAGGCACGTATGGACAGACCGCAGCGTAGGTGACGAACGGGAGGAGCTGCTCACATTGAGCACAATTGGCCTCGAGATTGAAATGCAACAATTTCTCAAAGTGGACAACTGTGCTCTTTTGTGTCTCAGGCCTGCACCAACTGACTCTACCAAGTAGATCTGGAACCTCAGCCCCTTCCCAAGTGCCCTGGAAACACGCCGGATTGTGTCTGCAACCTCAGATGTAACTAAGCTGTCAAGATTTCTTCTCCTGGAAGTCCTGTTTTTTTGGGTAAGTGATGCTTGTGTGGGCGGGAAATAAAGTGATATAGTCCAAATACCTACCCATCTCACAGCAAAGTGGTCACTGAACGTTGGTGGCATCTGGCCTGGAGAGCCTCGCTCTCATCACGCTTCAGAAGCTGCTCGTCCACCTCACAGCTTTTGGATATTTTTCTGCAACTACCAGCGGGAGTTTCTGTATCAGCCACCACCAACGTTGCTCAGGTGTGCAAGTGGGGCAGTAGCTGGGTCTTCACCTTTTTGATAAAAAGGTATCAGAGATGACCCCTGATGACCGTAAGGTTTTGCCTAATTGTATATAGACGCCGGGTCCTTGTGAAACATGTCGGTCATCTGTTAAATTTACCAGTTTATATTGTAGACATTTTTCTAAATATGTGTAGGTTTGGTGAATTTGTCACAAAGGCGAAATGGGCCGCTGTTGTGATTGGTTTGCTGCACGGCAAGACTCCTCTCCTCTAGCAATGTCCAGATGAATGTTTGATATGGCAGTTTATGGAGGGTTTCAACATATAGACTCAGGAATATGCACCATGTTCTTCGCACAATATGAGGCCCTAAGTATCACATGCTAAATTGACATTGTATGTACTACATATGTTTTTGTCAATGAATGTTCATGCATGCATATAAAACCACATACGTTTGATTCATTTTCATTTAAGTGTTGTATTTTATAAAAGTTAGAAATTCCCCTTTCCAATATGAAGTCAGTTTAAGGACCGGATTGGCAGTTACTTTCTTACCGTTTCAGACTGGTTTCACTGACGTGTATTGTGCTAATGAGTTATCTCTAGGTGTCTTACATTAAGCACCTGAACAGACTGGAGGTCCTTAAAGCTTAGTTTATGCAAATTAGATACGCAGTCAACCAGGTGAAGCTGATGGCGCAAATAGATTTCCAATAACTATAACTCCTGATACTAAGGTAAGCATTTAAAAGATAAATGAAGCTTTGTAACTTTGGAAAAGCCACCATGTCGCAGTGCTCCTGCTATGACGCAAGGTTGGTTGTCTTGGCTGAGTCGACATAAACCTCGTACGGGACAAGACCGATGACTAAAGGGAGGCTGCTATTCTAAGGCTCCGAGGCGCCCGCATATTTTAACAGGGTCTCCCCATCTGACATGGAACTTTGCTGGGATCTTCCGCTGGCTAGTTAGCAGCTCAACATTAGCAAACCAAAACCACTGCCACAAAAGAACTTTCCGTTCCACCAATTATACCAAAACAATAACGAGGGACACCTCTGTCTTTCCCTCTGACACACCAAGCTTACCCAGACACCGTTTATTCCCCCAAACAGAGCCGACCTCCCACCAGAGATCCCCGGGACCCTTTCTCTAGTGTCCGGTAACTTTTCCTGTTGTCCTGGTTTTAGGATCTCAGATTTTTTCTTTTTAACACATTTCTTTCTATGCATCTTGTTTCGTGGTTTGTTTCGTCTCTGGATTTCTGTCAATTGCCAAGTATTTGTCATGTTAAGCGACGATTTCAAACATAAATGCAACAACATCACTCCAACATGGCGGCTCGCTGGCTAGATGTCCTTGTCGAAGTTACAAGTTAAAGAGACATTTATTGTAGCTTTCTGAATCTGATTTTACGCAAGGTGTTTTTCCAAATATATTTGGGCACAACCAGTGCCAAATATGTTTCATGTCCTCTTTAAGTAGGGACAATGTTGAAATGATCAAATGGGATTATGCAGGTTTATTCCTCCCTCAAATGAGTTTACTCTGACTCCCATTTGCCTCTTTTCACTGGACATTGCACGTGTGTGTGTGTGTGTGTGTGTGAGAGAGAGATAAAGCAATAGGACACGCTTGTGGGAGTTTTGTTGCTGTGACCGTTTTCCTGTGCCGCAGGTATTTTGTGTTTGGACAGCGTAATGTAGTAGAAGTATGGTTGGAGGGCCCTCTCCTTTACAGTACATTATTTTGCAATGCGGTTACATATGTAGCTAAAAAACCCCATAATGCAGTAGAGCGCGAGGGGGCAGCTTCAGTTAATGAAATGTCTGAGGCTTAACACTCGATAGAACGAGAAGTCCGGCTCACTCTGACTCACTTCCCTTCGCAGGGTTTCCTCATCCTCCTCCGTATGATGTATCTATCTCATACATCTATTTGTGGAATTATTGTCTTAGTTTAGCTGAAATACACAGGTGAGAGTCACGGACATCTATCAATCTTTCTGTGTTCCTCGTGAACCGTTGAGCCCGTTGCCGGGAGCCTGACAGCCAGCAAAGATCTGAATCCACTCCAACACCAAGTTTCCGTCGTAATTCTGCAGCTCTTGAGCCATCTTCAATGCAACGCGTGGAGGGGGGCTTCCTCACGCTGCCAAGGACAGAGCGGCTTTGTCAGCCTGTTTGTCAGAATGTTCTCTAAATAAAAGTGGGTTCTGCTGTCAGCGAGCTCTCGTTCCTGCAATCTTCTCAAATTGTTTTCATTGTCATCGTCATTTTTTTTTGAGATGCCCAATGGAGAAAACAAAAGATACTTTACACTTCTATTCTATTCTATTTTTCTCCACCCTGAGCCTCCGTTTTAACTCAACAGTCATTGACACTTTATAATCTTTTTTTTTTTCTAGCAGAACTGCCTAACAACCCTTTTTTTTTATTCGCCTGTGTCTTCCTACATTGCCACTAGTTAGCCACCTCAGATTTTCCAAATGCACCCGTTAAAAAACGTACATATTGGTAGTTCCTTGAATTCCAATCGGAGAACAGGGCACATTAAACACTGATGTGTTGGTAGCAGTGCTTATCAATTAATCATAGAAACAGCTTGTGGTTAAGCTGCATCATGACATTTATAATACACTGCTATAAAGGGCAGCTATTATAAGTTGAACTTTGCTTGTAATTAACACAAGTATATTATTTACATTTAAACTAAAATGATCATGTTTTTTTGCATTAACGTTTCTTTCCTTCATCTTGAATTTCTTTACACAATAACATTATTTTTCTTGCCAATGTTGTTTAAAGTGACGGTGTGTGTGGATCTTAAACTAAAAAACACCTTGTCTATGCGATATAGCTGCATGGACACATCTTCAAAGACGTGGCTGCCGCATCACAGTCAGTTTGGGTTGGTTGGTCAAGCGGAGGTTTGCTGCGGCGGACCTGGAGTTTTAACCCCAAGTGAGTCAGTTTAGAAGTCTACTTTTCTCTGTCAACTGTACCGAAACTTTTGCAGCCTCTTTCCCTGTCTGTCATGGTCCAAAAAGATCTTCCTCTGTACGTTTTTATATGTTCCCCTTCAGCACGCTGTGTTTTTTTTTCGACATATAATTCGACACGACTGTTGCCGATGCTGAATGGAAGGTCAAACAGACTCCAGCTTCAACCCCGGCACTCCGCTCCTTTCCCTCCGCTATTACTTTCCAGTCCTTTTCAGCCCTATAAAGCTTTACAAAAAATCCTTAATATATTGAAGTTTTTTTTTATTTTTATTGCTCAACCCTCCACCGGAGCATCACTGACCCTCTGAGCCCTGCTTTGTCACAGTGCCAGAGATTTATTTTGACATTCTCTTTGTTTGATCGCGCCGTTTGCCTTTTACTCTGGCTTTGATAGACTGCAGTCTTCCTCCTCTCCATGCGCTCTGTACTTCTCCAGATGAAAGCGGCCATCGCAGCTCCCTCAGGGGACAGGAAGAGAAATAATTTGCTGTTAGCAAAGCGTTTAAAGCTGTTGTTTCATTTCAAACATTAAGACCTACGCGGTAATGTGTTGGCAATAAGGAACAAAAACGTCACTTCAGTTTGCACAGGGATTCTTAGCTGAAAATCACCTTTTGTTTTAACAGCGATGAGATGCTACAGAAGCGACTCAGTGCGGTCTTAAGAACTCCAAATTACTGCTTCGTCTCCTTTTTCCTTTTCACAATTTTCAGCTGATTTAAATAGTCTCTGCTCGTATACAACCCCGGCACAAATGCTTCTAAATACAGTAGTAAAAATGAAGGTAGCTTGATGGAGAGCTGTGCACAAGCTGCGAACATGTTCCTATGGTAACTAGGCCACACTCCCCTTGGCTGGCTCTCACACAGGCAGAGGGACAAGCAGGAGAAAGACGGGAATGCTGAAAACACTCGTGATGGAGGGCAGCTTGATATTGTTTTTTCCTTCAGAGCAATGTTCTTATGCCTTCATGCGCTTGATGGGTTTTTGCATTTAGCACATCGAAGGATGTCGGGAGTCTTTCTTTCTGTTCTGCCGAAAATATCGAGCCGGTATAAGGTTTCTTTCCCGTGGCTCCCTCACGCCCACACAGCCCAGCTTCCTCTACCCCTCCACCCACCACTGCTTTGAAATCCTGCTGCTCTTCCTCTTCTGTGCGTTTTAACGTTGTCTTGATTACACTGCTGTTTCTAAACGGAGCTCCAGAGTGGCTCTGAACACCGTCAGGAGTGTCACTTGTAACATGTATTTTATTCTCCACTGTTCATAACACAAATCCAACAAACCCTTTATGACCCTTGACAGCATCCCTTTTTTCTTTTTTTACTGCAGTGTTATTTTAAATTTATGTGCTAGTTTAGCTTTTGCCTTCAACAATGTATTTTGTCATCCCATCTGTTTAAAAGGATTCTGAGTTGCCGATATTATCCGAATTATGTTATTTTCTGTGCGTGCGCCACCTTCACTACAGCATGCGTAAACTTTAAGCAGCCCTTTGTGTGTGTGTGTGTGTGCGCGTGTGCGTGTGCGTGTGCGCGCGGCATCTCCAATGTCATCCTGTGTTTTGGAAATCTCTGCTCGCACTTGAACCGAGTCAAAACCTCCCGGGGCGACGCCTCCAGCCTGTCAAGGGTTGATACGGCAACATCGCACAACTGTCTGTCATGTAGTCCGATTTTTTTTGGACAGCTTGCTATTAATTTATGGCCTTTGCTGTCTGCAAACACTTGCAGTGTCTGTGATGCTATGATGCATTTATTTTGCTGATAAATTGTACTTCCAGTTGGCTTCTTTAACATGGACTATGGATAATGCGTTTACATTTTTCATGCAGACTTCTGAAATTGTTTGGGACAATATTTTCTAGGGACTTAATCAATCACATCCAAAATCACTTTACAAAAATTGTACCATAAGACCCTTTCAGTTGTAACACATTTCAAAAAGACAATTTACCAACAGGGTCAACAATTACGGAAATTGACTTTGTTGCTGCCTGATCCTCTTCCAAATTAATAGAAATAAAATGTTTTAAGTCTTCACTGGTCGTTGTTTAGGTTCCAAGGTTCTATCTTGATCATTATTTAGGTCCCTGAATTAAAAGGTTTTGAAAAGGCATCGTCCTTGAATCTGGTTCAAATAAAGGCAGCAGCAAACAAAAAAGTCTTAATTTGTGGCAGCCGAGAGTCTGTCCGTTTGTTTCAGATATGTGGAGCAGAAAAAGTGAACGCTTCTTCTGAGAGTTTTAAAAGCAGACCTGTCAGAGACGACCTGAGGTGTTGTGTTGGTTAGAGTGTTTTGGCCCTGAACCATTCAGTGGGGTTTTAAAGTCATTTCTTTGTTGGACATGAAGCTGAATTTCTGGCATATATGGTTGTCAATTAAGTGTCCAAATATAACAAACCTGGCATTTATTTGACTTTTTAACAACCTTTTTTTCATCACAACCACATTAGAATAAGATTTAGTCAGGATACCATGGCACATGGACGTATTGGAGCTGGAAGAATAACAAATTCAAAGCCGTAATTACCATGTTGTTATTGACATGAACAGTATTTACTAGTCGGAATATGGCAATTAGGGAGGCTTCCATATGACATAAATGTGACATCTGCCCCGACAGGCCCGCCTGTGAGTCACCAGAGGCTCCTCGTTGTCAGATGCTCCAGACCAGTGTGTGCGCGTGTGAGAGAATGTGTGTGTGTGTGTGTTATCTGTAACTGGACACACTGTCCCACCAGGACAAAGTGGACCCCTGCACCAGCCACACTGCGGAGAGTCTGTACAAAATGAAGCTTGCTCACTTTTCTCCAAGGGCTGAGCTTCCCCCTAAACGCAGTGAATGGTGAGACCTAAATCATAAGATGATGTAAAACATGCAAAAAAAACCCTGTCTCAGAGCACCTCATTCGATGGCGTAAACAAGGCAGATTTTATGTCATGAGTAAATTTGCAAATGCTGATATTTATCTTTCTGATTAAATGTGTTTTGAGATGTTGTCAAAGCATTCATAATCATGTTCAAACCAAAGATATAGGCATTTTACTCATGTTATGAGTTGATTATTAGTGTTTGAATAAATATTACATGTGTTTCTATCCAGCTGCAATTTAAAAGTCCCTTCTCTGCAAAGAACAACTTGCCATCTACTGCAGTATAATTGTCCCTGTAGTATTCCCCCCGTGGGTCAGGCCTCTACCAGCCACTTGTCCTTCGAATGACCCAGGTATCACTTCTAAATAAGATGCAATGCATTCCTTTGGTTGACATTATCTAGTTTGCCATCCCGATGGTTTGCGTCATGTTAGTGACCCCTGATATTTGACTGTTGTAGCAGTTACTTGGCAGTTTAACATCACAAGATAATCTAGAGCGTGAGAATGACCTTTGCTGTCCACTGACTGCTTTTTTTGTTTTGTTTAATGTAAGGTAACGTGATGCCAGGGATGGTTACGGTAGCGGCCTTCTTGGACTGAATTAATGTAATTGATAGCACATACACTGAATTGTTAGTTTTTCTCGAGGCTGCTTATGCAATGATCACTTATGCAATGATCACTTAGCAGAGATGGCAAGAAATGTAACCTGCGAAAAGGGTAATGATTTCTTTTCAACTTTTTAAGTAGAACAACATTTCCAAATGTGTATTAATAGAACGATGTATACTAAAGGTTGAATATGTTTTTCCATTACCCACTCCCAGCCTTCCCCTCTCTGTATCACAGTTCGCTAGAGGCTGTTGCCACCCACACACTCCGTTCTGACAGCAATTTACATTCAGAATAGCCCATGTCAACACATCAGTGTGTCATATGTTGGCTACTTAAATCACCACATGTAGCAGCTGACCGTTTTAGTGGTAATGCTATTAGAAATCAAAGCAGATCAGGTCTGATCAGGTCGCTCACCTCATTGTTACCAGAAACGCAGTGTGATGCTGCATGCTACTTTCTGTCTTTTATCATCTTTATTGTGCAGTTTTGTGCAAATATCTTCCCCAGTTCAAGTAGTCGCCCTTGAAGTCGTTTCCATGGATACCAAACAATTAGATTTGATTGAGAATGGAACCTGGAGAGCCACCTATTTAGAGGTTTTGGGAGCATGGAAATCATAGAATGAAAGAGTATCTTGTTCCTCTGCTGCAAATCGCTCCCTTGGGGAGTGAAGATTTAAAAATGTTTTTTATATATATATATATATATATATATATATATAATATATAATATATATATATATATATATATATATATATATATAATATATTTCTCCAATTGCTCACTTACTGAAGACTAATCGCAGAGCAAAATGAACATCAATTCTTGCCCATCTGGCGAGCTCATGCATTCCCCTCTGCATCCGGGTCGCATGGCCGCTACACCGTCCCGGGCCACGTTGTCGTCGTCGTAGAGCCGTAAACTACGTGTAGCAGTGTTTGCTCTGTCAGCACTTTTGCTTTAATTTGCCATGTTGAAAACCGCCAAAAGGCAATAAAAATGCTCATTTACACCTGAGACACCGCTAACTGTGTTCAGTTGCAAAGTGCAGACTGAATTTTGAGGTTATTGCTTCAATGTTTTGCAATAAACCTTTTGTATTGACATCCTGTAACTATCCCGTAACTTGAAACGTATATAATTTTAACTTAACTGAAAGACTAAAAGAAATACGGCAATTCAAAAGTTATTTCTGTAGCTGCTTCTGTCCTGCGGCGTACGTCTCATCCACGCATGTCACTATTTTTCAACATGTAGAAAATCAGCAATATGACATCACTGGTTATAAAACCAGACCTGAACAAATTGAATATGTGGGTGGTGATTCAGAGGTCTGGAACCAAGCTGGGAAATATAAATATAAAGCCACAGTCCTTGTGTTCCCGTTGTTCATATGGAGAGAAGACTATTTTGAATTCCCGGGGATGCTTTTGTGCATTGGCCTCTTCTTTCTTAGCCAACACACTTTAATGTAGAGAAATCATCAGATCGTATTCCCGAAAGTCAGCTGTCTACACTTTTATAGATCCATCATCCTGACTTACACAAGTCAGACGAAGACTATAAAGTTTCTTCTGACTCATTGTTACTTTTTCCCACCAGATAAGTGTCCAATATTCTTCTCACATTGTATTTGGCCTCTTTCTGCACTGTAGCTGTCCCAGTGTTGATTTCTTTTGGTGACTGTAGCTGTCGGTCCTTGTTAATCAGCTTCACTCACACTTCTTGGACTGCATTTTTGGTGTGATCGCTTATGTGTTTGTCTTTTTTTTTTTTCCTTTTTTTTTATTCATGTGCTATCAATAACTATTAGTTTTTGAGGTAAAGAATATAAAAATGTAAATTATTATATCATTATTATTGATTATTATAATGACATTATTAAGCTTTTGCACGGCAATGTTTTTCTATGGCTAACTTCTACATATTTTATCCTTTCTTCAACAATTCTAAATATCGACATTTAGGAACTTGTCTGGAGCTCATGCATTTGTTAACTGAGTGAGTATAAATATTTCATATCCATGTTCTTATTTATCTATTTTTTTTCTTTTCTCAAAGACCAATCCCGCAGGGCAAGTTTTGCCTCTGTAAGACAGTCGAGCATGGAGACTCCTCCCAATGCCACTCCGCAGCCCTTCAGACAGCCGGTGAGTACAGCAACTCACCTGACACACACGTGAGCTTTCCGCTCAAATAGAAAACGCACTGTTCAATTACGGATATTTTATTGCATTGTACAGTTTATTCCAACAGCGTTTTTACACTATATCTTTTCCTATTTTACCTTGTTGAAACTTCAGAGTTTTCTCAATCGACGGCTGAAGGGCTCCATCAAGAGGGCCAAAAGTCAGCCCAAACTGGACCGGACCAGCAGCTTCAGGCAAATGATTTTGCCCCGGTTTCGAAGTGCTGACCAAGAGAGGTAAGATACCGTTTCTGTATGATCCAAGGTGAAATGTAACTGTTAACTGCGTGTCATGTGGGTCCAACAAGTCAAAGAAATATATTGCTATGTTTGAGTGATTTACTGTTCACAGTTCACTTGATGTACATGTCATGTGCTGTTGGGTTACCATTACGTGTGTTACGGGTTATTGTGAATTAATTATTCTCTTTACCAAAGCATCATGTCATTAGCAAGATATGTCGACTATATGTAGCTTTCTGATGAGTCCATTACCCATAACTGGTAGACTTAATGCATGACTGTAAACGTATATGTCACCTTTTGTGTTCAATCACGATCGTGCAAGAATGTGATAATTAAAAAAGCAACCTAAAAATTCTAGCAGCATGGGTACTGTGTTGCTCAGAATCATATTCTTGGACTGTGGGAGGAGGCTGGAGCACCCAGCGAAAACCCACGCAAAGCCACGGAGCGTGCTCTGACGCCATGCAGAGAGGAGCGCAGGCCTTTTTCTGTATTCACCTTTATTTGATCGTTGATACTGTAGAGCCTCGCATGAATCACGGGGAGAGAAATAAGTATATGACACGGAGGAATACCGTGGCTCTGCATGTAACCCTACCATGTCTATTTTTTTACTTTAAGAAGACACGCCGTGTAACTTAAATCGCTCTTTATGCACTTGGATTAAGCAAAGCTCCACGCTTTGGATGCTACATAACCATCAAAAATCAAAGCTGTTCTTTCTTGGATGGTTGAGGTGCTGCGTTGTGTAATGAGTGTGATTTTGGTGGGTTAGGTGTGACTACCTACTAGAATTGCTTCTGCATTGAAATCTCTCACTTAAGCTGCTAAAGACTGCATTTATTTTTCAGCTGCAGCTACAATATTACTAACCTCTTTAAGCTTTGCAGTTGTTTGTTATTAGAGGACAAGCTGATTGTGGGATATAATCATAGTGTATGCTGTAGTTTGTGTAACTGATTGTAGTGCTGACTGTATATACACGGAAATGGAAATTATGATCATTTAAAAACATTTGAAACTGTTAGAACTCCATCAGGTCTGCATTTATCAGTAGGATTTCTGTTTTCCAGTTATCAGGATGCGGTGGCTTTTGCATCCAGGAGGCTCTCATGACAGCTTTTTCTTGACTTCTGGCTTGGGGTCAAATCCCCACAGGGTGTGTGCTGTGACCAGAATGATATGCAACTCCGACAATCCGCTCTCGACGTATAATATGGGAAATGTAAAGATGTAGAGTGGGAGAGACAAAATGTCAACCCATAATGCTGACAGCACAGTTCCCTCCCACCACAGGAGATGCACAAGCGACATTTACCTGGCAGGTGTGGAAGTCAATTCCAATGTGTTGTTTCGCACAGGATGTAAAGATCCTTTTATAGTAAAATGAACTGGTACACACCAGTCCAAATGTTTAAGATGAGTCACATTATTAGAAATGTATTCTGGGAAGGCAGCACTTAAAAAGGTGTTTGGTTTATCTGAATGGTGTCTGGGATAAAATGACTTTTCCCCCCTCTAACCTCGGCCATTAACCACTGCCTCAGACAGCTGCCTTCACAGCCTGGTTTGAGTTCTGCCCACACTGTTAATCCACTCCTAGTGTTAAATAGACTTTGCAATCTACCCTCGGCGTCCAACTTCACACACTAGCTTTACGACGCAGCTGCTCAAACGCTGCTGCCAAAGTTGGTTTAAGAAAAGCCTTTCTCATATACTGCATTCTGCAAATGGCACTGCTCCTCCAACAAGACGATTTACTCCACCTCTGACCAGCATTAAATCTGGCCTCAAATTAGTGCTCCTCGTTTGCTGCATAATAACCAGGTGTTTCTTTGAAGCCGCTCTGCTTCTCGTTTCACTCCGCGTTCAAAGCCGGTGTTAATAATGCAGCACGCTGGCTGCAGCTTCAACTCCACGATGGAGTAATACCTCAGCCGGCCCGGCTCTGTCCAGAGAAAAAGGTCTAAGGTCAGACTTCTTTGAGTAATAAAATGGGCAAAGGTGTTTGTGTGGATTTAAAAACATGTTCACATTAGCATTAGAGGTGTTTGTGGACATATTTGATTAAAATAAGTGTCCAGTATTCCTTCTAAGCCAAGTGGTTGCTTTTTGTAGTGGAAAAATTAGTGTTATCGATCCTCTAGTCAAACTTAAAAAAATCAATAAGGGTATTTCCTAAATTGTTGAATCACTTTTTTTACGAGCTCCAGCTTTTCAGTGTCGATAAACACCATGTTTTCTGTTAATTATCCTTCAAAGCTAGTTTCAGAAAATGTAAAAAGAAAAGGTTTCTAGCCTTTTATGCCATCAGTGGGATCCACTAACCCTGCTTAGCCTGAGACACCGTTCACTCACCGTATAGCTTCCACCAACACTTTTCCATTTTTCCTGAAAGAGCCGCCGTCTTCTAAAGGTTACCAAAACGATCAGGTCCAATACACTGTCCACCATTACAGCGTTTCTGCAGACCGAGCCGCAAAAAACAGCTTGTATATGTCCCCATTTGCACAGCAGTCTATACTGTAATTAATTTAAACGACTTTTTTTTTTAATTGTGAATTTGTAGTAAATGTAAGTTTCACTATTTCCAGACAAAACCACAAACCGACATGACATGGGCCAATTTTTCTAACATGCAGTGTGAGTCACTCGAGTTGAGTCAATAGAAGACAAACAGAAATAGAAAACCTGGTAGACTTTGCTTTTCCATAAACTCATTTTAAAAGGATCAGATCTCAAAAATCACATTGAAATTGCAGGAGGAGGATTTATGAGCTTCAGTGACTCATTTTTGTGACATAGTACCTTTTTCTTATTTTAATTTTTCTTTCTGGATTGTTAATTGAAAGATTATTAAATAAACTTTGGTGATACATTCTCAACTCTGATTTCTTCTCACCAGGACCCGCTTGATGCAGAGCTTCAAGGAATCCCACTCCCACGAATCCCTACTTTCTCCCAGCAGTGCTGCGGAGGCTTTGGACCTAGTTTTGGACGAAGATGCGATAATCAAACCTGTCCACTCGAGCATTTTAGGACAAGAGTACTGCTTTGAGGTGTGATGTAGCACCATTTCCCTCATTCCTGAATTTACTGTACCTCCCTGCTAATGGACTGAATTTAATATATAAAAAGAACAACTTTAGTATTTTACTTCTCTACGTAAACACGTCAAATCAGGTCAAGTGAAAACTATTACACTTTGAAGCTATAATGAGATATTTCAAAATAATGAATATTGAGAAATTTTTCTCTGTCTGAAGGTGACCACCAATTCAGGGACAAAATGTTTTGCCTGCCGTTCTGCTTCTGAAAGAGACAAGTGGATTGAAAACCTACAACGAGCTGTCAAACCTAACAAGGTAGAGGTAGATCACTTTATATTGTAGTAAAAATGATAAGATCAAAGTTGTAATATTAAGGTCATATGTTAATGAGGACTGTTATAATGCAGTAACAGAACCCCTCGTTTCCCTCCCAGGACAACAGCAGACGGGTGGACAATGTGCTCAAGTTGTGGATCATTGAAGCTCGAGACCTACCGGCTAAGAAACGCTATTATTGTGAACTGTGTCTGGACGACATGCTGTACGCGCGCACCACCAGCAAACCCCGGACCGACACCGTGTTCTGGGGCGAGCATTTTGAATTCAACAACTTGCCTACCATTCGTAGCCTTCGTTTGCACCTCTACAAGGAAACTGACAAAAAAAGACGAAAGGTAAAGACGAAAAGAAAGTCCAAAATACATTTCATTGTGCTCAAAATATTTAGAAAAAAATGGTGTTTTCCTTGGTAATCTAGGAGAAAAGCACATACCTTGGCCTTGTCAGCATCCCCATCTCAAGCATCACGGGCCGGCAATTTGTAGAGCAGTGGTACCCGGTGATTCAGTCCAGTGTCTTGGCCAAAAGCGGCGGTGTTGGAAGTACCAAAGTGATCAACGCCTCACTGCGGATCAAGTCCCGTTACCAGACCATGAACATCCTTCCCATGGAGCTGTACAAGGAGTTTGCCGAGTACATTACCAACAACTATAGAACACTGTGTGCCGTTCTGGAGCCGCTGTTGAGCGTGAAAAGCAAGGAGGAGGTGGCGTTCGCTCTGGTGCACATCTTGCAAAGCACAGGAAAGACAAAGGTAAACAAATGTAACCGTATTCCACTGGATCTTTTACATAAACCTGTTTTCTGTATGATTTGTCGGTTCCTTTTCTAATGAACGTTTTCTCAGGAGTTCCTGTCGGACATGGCGATGTGTGAGGTGGATCGGTTCATGGACCGCGAACACTTGATCTTTCGCGAGAACACGCTGGCTACAAAGGCTGTGGAAGAGTACCTCAAACTGATCGGTCACAGATACCTCAAGGATGCTATAGGTGAGGCTCGAAGTTCAAATATGAGCTTCCTGAAAACAGCCTTGTTTAACACACACATTGGTAATTCACACGTTTATTAATCATCTCGTGTACTGTCACAATCGGACAGTCAAACATTGTCAGTGACTGAGAAGTACAACATATGTGCAATTGTCTTCCTCATCCGTCTGTCAGAGTAGTTTATGGCATAACCTTTTAGAAACATAATGACGGTTGGATCCATCACCTACAGGTGACTTCATTCGAGCCTTATACGAGTCCGAGGAGAACTGTGAGGTGGATCCCATGCGGGTCCCGCCGTCAGTCCTCGCCGACCATCAAGCTAACCTTCGAATGTGTTGTGAGCTGCTACTCTGCAAGATCATCAACTCTCTCTGGTTGGTCCCCCCCATAATCATCCCTCAGAAGACTGTACACACACATCTGTTCTGTATCTACTGGTTTTGTTCTGCTAAAAGAAACTATGTCCATTTTGGTCTATCCTCATCAATTTGATAAAATATGTATTAACGTTATGTTCAGAAACACATTCTCAAAGCCAAAGCATTCGTATTGTAGTATTGATTTTCCAAAATTTTTTGCTGAATACCTGAAGGCTTTGGAGTAGCTGCTGGATTTGACTTTGATTTCACTATTGGGCAATGAAATAATCTTTTTATTTCAGCATATTTCCCAGAGAGCTGAAGGAGGTTTTTGCCTCTTGGAGAGCCAGATGTGCCGAGCGCGGAAGAGAGGATCTTGCCGACAGCCTCATCAGCTCCTCCCTATTCCTTCGCTTCATGTGCCCGGCCATCATGTCCCCCTCCCTGTTCAACCTAATGCAGGAGTACCCCGCAGAGCGCACGTCCCGCACACTCACGCTCATCGCTAAGGTGATGCAGAACCTGGCCAGCTTCAGCAAGTGAGTCCCTGTTGTTATTGCGGTCCTCCCCTGTGCGAGATGGGATACGTGTCACAACACAAAGCCCCAGTTTTGACTGGGAGGGTACAAACTATGACTCACCCACCAGCTCCAAAGCTTTCAGCTCATACACATGTGCTCCTACCTGCCTACCTTCAGTTCTTTTGAATATTAAAACTATTATTCCAGCTTAAATATGCAGGTCCACTTACTGTGCAATCAAGACGTCAAAGATTTAGTGGTAATTTAACAAACTCTTTATTTCGGGAACATCGAAGACAAATAATCAGACATGTTAAAATAATCTCATCCAGTTGTGGTAGTAATTTATTCCAGTAAATAGTTTCCCAAAAGAAATGCACATAATACATTATAGGAAAAGGTATCAAATTAATTGAGCAACTCACTTACTAGGCTTTGCTAATAAAGCTAAAAGGGAACACTGCATAGCGAGCAGATCTCTCCCAACTGTGTCTGCTTGGCTACTGTTACATTGTGCGATTGAATGACTACAACCCATAATTACTTCTTGTCACCAGAAGCCTGTTAAAAGTAAAAAAACAAGTGGCAGCTAATGCAGATTATAATGTCCAATTCATGAGACACTCCCTTCAATCTTGCTAAAAAAATGTTATAGTTCAACTAGCGCAAAAAAAAGAGTATAAACAATGTAATGGTGGTCTATGGTCTAAGTCAAAATATATGACAAAGTGTCAACAAAACTCTTACACACCCCTTTAGTGTAAATATTAGACCCTCCCACTGTTTATTTCCCCCTTCCTCCGTTTTGATGCATCCTGTCATTTTTCTCTCTGCAGATTTGGACCCAAGGAGGAATACATGTATTTCATGAACGAGTTTCTGGAAATGGAGTGGGGCTCCATGCAGCAGTTTCTCTATGAGATTTCCAACATGGAAGCCGGAGGAAACGCTGGAGGCTTTGAGGGCTACATTGACCTCGGGAGAGAGTTGTCCATGCTACACAGCCTGCTTTGGGAAGTCATGGGCCAGCTTAGCAAGGTAGGTAGAATAACCTGCTGGAACATGAAATTAAACAGTTTAAGGACTTCTTTCTCTAACTTAAAGGGTAGACTTGGAAAATGATTGTCTGTAGTTCACTGTCAGACAGGATTAATATTATTTGAACTCCATTAATACTGAGGTAGAATTAGTACTTTAATATTTAATTACAGTGCTTGCACTGTTAATTTATTGAAATTGTACTATATTTGTAACCTAATGAAAATCATGCATATTTTATGCTGAACTGTTTTAAAAGTATGTGCACTTTAAAATTTACATTTTGAAGTGTTCCATGAAAGATAGTTTTCTGAATGAACCAGTGAATTATACTGTATGCAGCGGAGGTTTCCGACCCCTGGGGCCGGTACTGTGCCGTGTACAAGGCGCCCGTTTAGATAAAGAACAATACCTAAAATGCGTTTGTCTGCTCTTAATGAACACCACGCTTTCTTAATCCCAAAATCAATATTTAGAACACATTTGTTAACATGGTAATGACTAAACTAAAGTGGTTTAATCTGTACACGAGGATATCACTTTTACCTACATCATAACGCCTGGTGTGAGCGTCAGATTTTCTTGAATTTAAAAAAAACTTTCTATGTTGAAGGACGCCATTCTAAAACTGGGACCCCTGCCAAGGCTTCTGAATGACATCAGCGTCGCCCTGAGGAACCCGCAGCTCCACATGCCTACAAATCACCAGCCGGACCGACCGAAGGACCGACTCTTCTCGCGCCCATCTTTCAATCGTCTCATGTCCTCTGACTTCCAAAGCCTTATGATGCGTGACTTAAACAGGTATTCACCCGTGGTTTCTTTTCTCGTGTACACTATTTGGGGTTTTATCACTTCTACAGTTTGGATTAGCATGTCTTCAAAGGGACCAAGACTGCAAATGATTTTACATTTGAACAGCGGATTGATCGCTGCAGGGACTTTGTCAAGACAATGTGAATGTCATGGTTACAAATGGGCGCCTACTGCACACAAACAGGATAATTACTGTGTATGGGTGTAATTTGCAGTCGCAAGTAAAAAGAAAACTGAAATATATGAGGAATTAGTAGCTCAAAACGAAACACTGGCTTATTACTAAAAGCACATAATGCTAATGCTCTTTAGGCTTTTAAAGTAGTTTATCAATCAGCAGTTTCCAGCACCATCTGTTACCCAAACCTGTTTCCTCTTGAGTTTTAAGTCACGTCGGTACTCCACTATTGTCAGGAGACAGGTTCTCTCGTTACAGCAGCTGTTTCTTGTACATCAGCTTCAAAAAATGAACACGCTATAGTTACAGCCAACAAGCCTTATCTATGACCAGCTAATATTCATGTAAAGCGGGTCAGACCCTTACAGGGTGTAGCGAGATTGATTTCTAGTAGGTTGCACAATCGTTTTTAATAACCTGCTAGATCCATTTGTAACATATGTCTCTGTTGGATGTCTGCAGTTCAATAGACATCTCTCGCCTGCCATCCCCTACGACGGGAGTCTCCGCTGTAGAATCCCTCTCATCCAACCTGAACATGAGGCGTCATGCAGAACGAGACCTGCGCTCGTCGAGGGAAGTGTTCTACGTGACTCGCCCGCCGCTGGCTCGTTCCAGCCCCGCGTACTGCACAAGCAGCTCCGACATCACTGAACCTGATCCAAAGGTACGGTGTCAAGGTCACGCTGTAGCACTGTGTGCTATTGCACTGTTATTGAATTCTGGTGAGCACTGAGGCTTGATTGCTTTCTTTTGTTTATCAGCGACAATTTTCACCCAAAAGCATACATTTGCAGGTGGATTAATTGAGTTTCAGATTATAACAGGTTTTTAGCATTGTATTATTTCATCAACAGACATTTTCAAATCTCAAGACTTTCGATTTGATAACAGAATTAGCTTGAAATGTCCGATTTTATGAAGTAATATTTAAAGGCTAAACATTACAGTACATTAAGTGTCGCCTCTTTGTGCGTAAATTTTTACAAATTTAAGATCATAGAAAGACGTGTTGTTGAAAAAGCCTATGTCAATAACATAACAAGCCTATATAAGAGAAACAAGCCTATATTTGCATTTCAAATAAATGCAGGCTTAAATGGGGAAAAACCGGACAGTAAAACCTTTTCATACAAGTATGTAAATTAGCTGTGAACATTCTCTTAAATTCAATTTAAAGCTGAAAATATACGCATTTACAAATGAGTTGAGTCTTGTCATGTTACAATGATTATTTTTACGGTGCTTTCAGGTCCACAGTGTGAATAAAAGTGTGTCCATGATGGACCTTCAGGACTCCCGCATGAACAGCATCTCCAACCTCAACTCTGTGGGCGACATGCTCACCTCCTCTCAAGCCTCCATCGCCGGCCTGGGCCACAGCTTCGGAAACCTCTGTGGTCCTCTTCGCGTGGGGGGCCATATGCCAGCGGGCTCTTCTGGGTCTGGTTTGAGGCTGAGCCAGATGGGCCACATAGGGGGGCCCACCGAATCCATCTCTCAACAGCAGCAGCAGGCGGCAGCCGCCATGCACTTCCCCCTGTCATTCCAGAACCCGCTATTCCATCTGGCTGCCCAGAACTCCCCGGCTCAGCCTCACCCCCACCCCCCCCCTCTCCTCCTCGCCCCAGAGCCAGAGAACGGCCACCACGACTATGCACCGACCTTTGGCAACAGCGCTTTCTCCCGCAGCGAGGACTTGTCCGCCCTGCGGTCGCAAAGCAGCCTGGTGCAGCCCAGCATTGTCCACTCACACAGTTACAGTGATGATTTCACGCGGCAGAACCAGAGCAACGACTTCGCCTGGCACCAGCTGTCCCTGCAGGTGCAGGTAGGAGAGTCTCACTTATCTTCATGCACTTCACATCTTAGTAGAAAGATTAGTGTTTAATGTTTTGTTTAAACAGGGTTTACTTATTATTCACAAATGTGAATCTCGAGCAATAAATATAGAAATATAATAAGTATATATAAACTGTTTCTGTGTTCTAAAATGTATATTTATACAGTATTTTGTTAATTACAAAAAACAACTTGCATAACTCCTCATTTTGAAACAGTCAGTTTGTAAAGTTACATTTGTATAACTGGAACGTCCCGTGCCTATTAATGAGCCTGGAAAAGAGGACTTTCATCGGGATGGAAAGGGGTCTCCATACTTATGAACAAGTGAAGCTCAATATGCAGAATGGTGTTTGAAAGCGTGTGATAGCTCTTCCATAAACTCACATGCGCTGTTCACTTGAAACTATTTAAGTGTCTCTTAATCTCTAACTACCCCTCTATCCACTTGATGTAGGAAAACATTCAGATCATATTTTAAATCTTCAAACTTGGCACTTGATGGTGCCACTTGTGGTGCATTATATAGACAGGCTGTTATTGTCTTCCCACATTTATATCAATGAGGGTAGTCTATATAATAATAGTAGCAGCTCTGTATATAATAAGGTACTTGGAAGGTATGGTAGTCATTTATTGAACTTGTCTCATCACTAAGAATCACTTTTTATTTTAGAATTAGGAATTCAATGTGCACTTTTTTTCTTTTGTAATGTGACTTTTTAAATGTAGAAGTAAACCCTCAGTATCCGAGCTGACAAATGAATTACGTCACTGGTTTTAAAACCATAAGCCACTTCTTTTGAGCAACAACAATAACATATCATACAATATCATTGCAAATCTGACACATTTTTGGGATTACCTCTAGTTTTGTGAATCTTTACGGTTTACGTCCTTCATTTTAGCAATTTCTCAGTTTGATTACGCATGTATCATTATCACTACTGGATCTAAAATGTTGTTAGAAGGACGGCTTCAGCCAGGAAACTACTTTGCCCAATTGGCAAACACTTTTCCCATACAGTACATACATTATTATATTCTACATTCAATATATGATATACATTACATTTTCACAGTATGCTATATTATAGGTATTTGAAGCATGAACCAAAATTCCGATGGATTTTTGCAAAAGCTTTTAATTAATTTAAACTGACCCTTTTGGTTGTGACTTGATGGTTTGTGCAAAATTATACTGTTTATTGATATGGTAATGTGGTCTTAAGCTATTTCTGTCCATCTGCGTGGGCCTTAATGGAACAAACATCCCAGGCTTCCTGTTTATTTATACAGACTGTGTGTTTTACCAAGGACTCATCAATCCATCCACCTACCTACTTACCATCCTATTTTTCTGACTATCCAGACCTCAGGCCTGCTTCGTTCTGCAGAGTCAGAACAAAACATCAGTATTCAGTTTCTGTGCACCACATTTCCGGAACAAACCCAGAACACTTGATGTCTCCTCCAATTTATCAAAAAGTTATCAAAGCCTTTCTGCCGTACATTCAATGGGGAATCTTTAAGAAAATTATTTTGATGCCTTTCAGGTTTCGTACTTTGAAAGGTCTTTTCATAATGGGCTGTCTTGTGTGGACATGAGCACTGTTGTTTTCTTTGTGTGTTATTGGATCAATGGGGGGGGCATCAAACATTTAGATTTTCCTGACATCTTTTGTCACGGTTTTGTCTCCTTTCAGGAATCTCTTCAGCAACAGCACCTGATGGGAATTGTGTCTCAGTCAGGCACTGGGACGGGCACCCCCGCCTCCTTGGCCACACCACCCACTACAGTTCACCATGTACGCCAGTCGTCCATGGCTCAGCCCCAGCACTTGAAGTCACAACGGTCTATTAACATTCCAGCCACTGGCACACCTCCAAAAGTTCGCCCGCAAAGCAGGAACCTCCTCCTTGACTCTGACACAAACTTCAGCGGCAGTCAGCCAAAATCGCGCCATTCTCAGCATCAGCAGCAACATCTGCATCAGCAACATTCGCAGCAACATTCGCAGCAACATTCGCAACAGCAACATCCGCAGCATCAACAGCAACTTACGCAGCAACATTCACAACAGCAACATCCGCAGCATCAACAGCAACTTACGCAGCAACATTCACAACAGCAACATCCGCAGCATCAACAGCAACTTACGCAGCAACATTCACAACAGCAACATCCGCAGCATCAACAGCAACTTACGCAGCAACATTCACAACAGCAACATCCACAACAGCAACATCCGCAGCATCAACCGCAACTTCCGCAGCAACAACAAGAAGCGCAGCTGTCGGTGACAGACAGTCCGGCTCCCGGACTCCCGTACCAGACGAGCTCCGCCAAAGAGAACCAGGGCCCTCCAGCAGCCGCAGAGGAGTCAACTGACACACCCACAAAAAGCAACAAGAAGTCTCTACAGACACAACTGCAGCCGCCACAGCAGCATCTGCTCAAACCAGGCAATAAACAGGTCAGTCTATGGCCTCTTGATTTAAAAAAAACAAAAACGTCTCGCCTAAAGCTTGACGGCACGTCTCCCTTTACACAGTGTGCCGTTATATTGGCACGTTTTTGAGGCATTTCTTGGACAAAGAGATGGGTTTTTAAAGCATGCCTGACGTGTGTTGTCGTTTCAGGGTTCTCAGTCAACCTTGAACACCCCGGCCCTCAATGAACGTACGGTCGCTTGGGTGTCCAACATGCCACATCTCTCTGCTGACATCGAGAGCCTGAGGCCAGACCGTGAGGGTCAGCTGAAAGAGTACTCCAAGAGCATGGATGAGTCGCGACTAGAAAGGGTCAGAAATTTCTCTTTTTCAATGATATTTACTCCCTTGCTCCTATAAATACTATATTAAAAGGTCGTCAGTTGGCCTAAAAAATTTTTCTTCACTTATTCACATATTTATAGATATTTAGTGAACATGTTTTAGTAGAAAGACTCTTATCAAGTTACTTTACAGGGAGACAGTACATCATACCACCAACATTCTAGAATATCAGCATGAATGATTACATCATTTAATAATCCTAAAATATATTTTTCAGTTATGAAGAAAGTTGCCATGCCAAGAAAGAAGTTTAAAATATGGTTAAACTAAACAAATATATTGTGAGGCCTTCAAGGAGCTCAGACAAGATCTTTCTTTAGAAGATAATATAAAACTATATTCTGGAAGATTTCTAAAAACAAGAGTCAACACAGGTCAAGTTCCTTTACATTTATTTCAGGTCAAAGAGTACGAAGATGAGATCCATTTATTAAAGGAGCGTCTGAAGATGTCTCATCGCAAGCTTGAAGAATACGAGCACAGAATGGTGTCGCAAGAACAGCAGACAAGCAAGATCCTGATGCAGTACCAGAACCGCCTGGAGGACAGTGAGCGCCGCCTGAAGCAGCAGCAAGTGGAGAAGGACTCTCAAATCAAAGGCATCATCAACAGGTGATTAGCTTTCAGGTTGAACTGCAGCTGGCAGGAACACGGCTGCGCCAATTACCACTTAAAATGTCTACCGCATTCAATTAAAAAAAAAAAAGATATATATATATATATATATACTTCAGGTGAAAAGAATGAAGTGTAGCAAGTTAGGGATTGCAGCTTTAAATGCAAATATTTAAATTCTACAATAAAACCATCAAGGGAAAATGAAAAGAAAGCAAAAGCTGGTTAAATGTGGTGAACTGGATTTATCTACCATTTTGAAGAAATGTTTTTGGTCTATAAGTACTCAGACAAACACAGTGCTTAGTGTAAGCAAATGCCAATTTAGTCTTCAATTTAAGATCTACACAAAATGCAATTAATGGCAGAATGAGGAGGATTTGATTTGTTGCAGTTTACAAACACAACATGAGCTCATGCTCAGCAGAGCGCAGCCCAGCGTATCACCTGCAGCGATCGGCGTACCGGACGTTGAGAATTGTCCGCTTGGCGTTTTCACTCGGCATACTTGCATTTCTTTGGCGCGTGGGCCATCATCTGTGAAGCTTCCTCTTGGTTGGTGCTTACAATTTGACACCTGGTTGTTCTTATGGGGTTCAGCCCTCCTCCCCTGAGCCGCGTGGTCGCCGTTACCAGAGGCAAGAAACGCCCCAAATACAGCAAACTAAAAGGAAATACAGGGAGCGGAGGCGTGTCCTCTGCAGATACAGACTGCCACACACATGATGATTGACATGGTTTACTTTTCTAGGGCCATACATTGTTTTTTTTAATAAAAATCCTATTCATTTTCCTTGAAGGTAAAAAAAAAAATCGAAATATAACTTGCATGATGTTATATGTATCCATTCTTAAAGACATAGTTTGAGATTTTGGGCTCTATGCTTGTTTGCGTAAGCTACCGCTCGAATATCTGTGCTCAAAGGAAAACGCATAGCTCGACATTAAGATTGGAAGCCGGAGCAAACCGCCATCCCGGCCCCTCCTGATTTGGGCTCCAGACTTCAAGGGCACCCCCTGGAGTGTCTTCATCAACAAGTGGAGGATATATCCATACAACGCCTCGCCTCTAGTTACGTTCATGAGTTTCTGCATTTATGTGAGTCTGGAAACAGACTTAAGACATAAAGCACGATGCACATGAAGCATGCGACTTTAAGCGCCCACTGAAGAGATGAAAAATAGCGACAGGCTAAATGAGTAAGTAACCTACCTCAAATGTACACATGAAACAGCAATAAAGAAAATTCTACATGTTTTTCAAGAGCTTTAAGGACTCACAACCATTTTTTCCCCTCGTACTGGTCTAAAAACTACACAGGGCAGATTTAATGCACAGACGAGTGGTATTCAAACACAAGCAAACATGTGAATATGCCAAAATGTAACTATTCCTTTAAATGCCATTTAAATAACTGCTGCCCAAAACCATAACCTTTAGACAAATTCCTAAATTATTCTAACTGTAGCTACAAGAAATGTTTCATGGATCAAGACGGGAGTCCAATGAGTTACTTCAAGCACCCCATTAAATGTACTTCTTAAAGCCAGTTTGTATAATATGAGTGTACAGCGCTCACTCTCATCTCATTTGGTAGAAACCCCCCTAGAGTTTAATTACTTTTAGTGTGGGATACAGCAGATGGGTGCACACTGAACTAGCCCGCAGAACTCATTTCACAAGTTGTGTATCTGAACAGCTGAATTTGAACGGCCTGAATTATTCTGACCGCAGTTCTGATTCAGCTTCAGGAAGCTCTGAGGATAGCTGAATACACCCACAAAAATGTCAAGCCCTTAATATCATTATATGGCCAATTAATCCAACAGTAAATTTAAAGAACACCGGCTTTTTAATTTCATTTTTGTCATCCGGTATGTTTGTTTCTATTTCCTTGTCAGACTCATGGCTGTGGAAGATGAGCTGAGAGTGGGTGCCATTCCTGATATTAAGCCCCGAATCCTCACAGACCAGGTTTGTGCCTGTGTCTACATCTTTTATCATCCTTATTTGCTAAACCAGTCGTGTCCTAAAACCGCTTGCATCATTCTTACATCGCATTCAACGCATTCGCCAAAGCCAGTGCAGGAAAAAGGTTTCCAGCTGTCATACACTTCAGCTATTGCCATCCTTCCTAAGTACGTTTGTCACATCGGGGGGAAAAAAAACATTTCACCACTTATGCTGCACGGAAAGTACAGTGCTCATCCTAAAAATCCCATGCTTTATGTGCAGAGGTTAATCTAGTTCTGTGAAGAAGTAGCACGTCTTCAACGCTGAATATTATTCACCACCAAAAAGCTCATTTATTTTACCACAGAATGCTTCCATCGTCAGAGAGCCTTAACTCTGACCCAGCGCGTCATCGTGATTCTGCATGGCTCAGTGTCGTGAATGCGCCGTGTGGGATGGATTGTGACGCAGGTGAAGAGGCTGTGTGTGTGTGTGTGTCTGTGTCGGTCGCTTTTTAAGCCGCAATATCTCAGGAGGGACCACGTTGGCTGTCGTTGAAAAACGCTGTCAATACTGTGCTCATCATCAAACGCAAAGGAGCAAAATTGTTGCCTTGCAGGAAATGGAATAGTTTCTCCACTGGGACTGTGAGATCGTAGTTATTTTTTTTTACAACAGATCTCTAAAACAAATAGGAGCGTGGAATGAGAACAGACAGAGAGCAGCCCAATTTGGAGTTGAGATTCTGTCTCAAACTCTTGTCATAGCAACACTAACGGTAATGAATGTTTCAGCTACAGTAACGTAAGTGCATGTGAAACGCTTTTCCCTTTTGGATTTTGTTCTTTATGCTCAGAAAAACAGAATTAAGATTTGAAGGAACAGTTCAGCATTTTAGCTAAATATGTAACTGCCGCTCTTGTCCAGACCTGAAATGAGAAGATCAATCTTGTGTCTGTTGAATATGCAGCCATCACAAAAACTGGGCACAGAAGCAGTCAATTCTAAACTATATTATAGGACTACTGCAATTGCATTTCATTTTAAGACAACGGCTTTATTCAAAATGGAAACCTGCACATCAGTTAGGAATTCTCTGTATAATTGGTACTCTTTATTTGGTTAACATTCGGTGTTACTAAGGAGCCGATTTGATGTGTTTGGGATAAATATTAAAGACCAAAGCGTCAATGTCACGAGAAAAATGCAGTTCTGTGAGTTGTTACACTTTACAACTGTTGTAGTTATACGACAGTCTGTTGAAGGTAACGTTGCCTTGTGTCACTTGTTAGGTGTAATATCACTCTTGCCCTTCTTATATGTTCATGTAACCCAAACTGGCTCATCAGCTTCGCCTCCTTTTACCGGCCTCCACTAGCGAGTGATTGACAGACCTGTCACCCAATAAGACACAATATTTAAACCATGTCTGGATTGTCCTCAAGATACAAAATTACAGCCATATTGCTTAGTGACAATATTCCCTCAAAGAGCACAATAATTAAGGGATAAAGAGAACAAATCTACTAGCTGTTTCGAGTCGTTAGAGAAGTCTGTTCTCCAAGATACTAATGTCTCTAACTCTCGTAGACGATGTGAAATAAAAGTAATTTACCAGAATGTCAAACTATTCCTAGAAACAATTAAAATGTAAACTGAGTAAGTAATTATTTCATCTGTTTTCTCTCCCTTCAGTCCATTAACCAGGGTTATGGCCATCCAGGATCCTGACTGCCAATACCAAAGTGACCAGAGCTCATGAAGGTCACTCAAGTGTAAGAAGATTCAGAGGCTACAAAAACACCTAAAGAGAAGCTCTGCAGTGGATCTACCAGAACCACCGGAGGCTTCATCTCACAGCCTCCTTCAAACAAACTTTGCCTGTACCAGAACTTGACAATCAGTTTAGCGCGAGGACCAACGTGTGCAGTGAGTTGCCAGCACAAAATGACTGAAATATAAGCCAGTGCCACAACAATGGCAATACTCTACCTAATGCGTTTCTTTATGTGATAGGAAAAAGCAGAGAGAAAATGTAAAGCGGTGGGGATGAATATGGAGGATTGTCCCCGGCACGAGCAGCACACTTGCTTCTCACCTCAGTGGCTGCAGACAAAATTTAGACGCTTTAAAAAGCACAATATCCCATCGTGGTGACGGGCGACAAGCTTGTTGTTAAAATCAGTGGATCAGACGCCATCTGCGATCCTCAGAGGAAGGGCCCAGCCAATCAAAATCACTTAGTAACATTCTCAATACAAAACTTTTCACTGACACGGTGCTTCTCATTATGATTTTGCATTCTTTCTAGTACAGCAATGGATATGAATAGATGCTAAATGTATCTTACAATCAACTGACTGCTTTAAATACAATCTAAACCTTCTTGTTGGTAACATTTTCCTTTGGCACTATAAAGACTAAAGACTATACATGACATCACAAAAAAGTGATACAAAGTGCTTCACAAAAGATCTGACATGAAAGAAAAATAGACTGAAAATGTATAAATTCACTGATTTTAGAAGTCTCGACCAATTTTAGTTTAGTAGTTTTATAATATCTAATGTGTCTCTGGAGGAGCTTTGTCAACTCTGATGCTGCGTTCACAGCAAAAGCGAAGCAAATTTTTACCTGCATGAGTTTACTATTGGTGGTAAATTTGCGGCGGTGAACCAACGGCGGTGCGGAGCATCGCAGCATTAATTGGAAAGTGGCAAATTTCGTGCAAAAAAAAAAAAAAAAACTTGTGCAAATGACGCGAATTGTTCGTGCCGCATCATTCAGGCCGCGTTGAAAAGCGGCGCCATTGGCAACCATTCATGTCTTCGCATCTTGCATGAAATCTACTCATTGGAAGAATTTGCTTCGCTTTTAGTTTGAATGCAGCATAAGACTCTCAGCTTGAGCTTGGACACATAAGAGACACAACATTATTAGGTTAAAAATGTACAAACTGAGGTTTATGTGCATTGACGCTACAAGTGCTATTATGGGAAATAGAGGTCCTTTCACTAAAGGGATGTTCAATACTACTTCACTGGAGTCGTCCCTCCCACTTTTAGAGAAAACCTATACATCATCTATTTAACATTGTCTTTAGAGAAGATTTGTTAAAACTCTGATCATATTGACAGTGGCAGTTTCTCAAGCAGCGATAGAAGGCCTCTATTTGATCTGTAAAGCCTCAAAAGTAAAATAACAACCCGAGAAAGAAATCATGTCTGCCATTTTCACTATTAATCTTTTCAGCCTCTTCATGTACAGCACTTTGTAACAATGCCTTGCCTGTTTGAATATTTTTTTAATAACTATGAATATAAACATTACGTGCAGCTGGAAACAAATCATATTATAGCAAGTTGTGAATTACTCATTGGTTGTGTTTAATGTTTCTGAAGCGTAGATGTGCAATGGTTCTGCATGTGCTTTTTAAATGCCAGGAAGAGTCAGTTGATTTGTGGTCATTATTATAGTGTACAAAAAAAAAAGAGAACCTTTTACATGGATTTCTTATTGGGAGGCATCTTTTTATATCAAACCTGCTTTTTTTTCAAAAAGAGACCAGTGTTGAACCTTTTGCATTATATAACATCAAACTACTGCGAGAAAAGACTGTAAAACTAAAAGGAGGAGCGACTGAAAACAAAAACAACAAAGTCCTGTCCAAGCAGGGACATGTAGTATATGTGCATACAATTTGACTGCCTCACAGTCTGTGCCACACAAAATATCAACGCCAATACAAAAAAAACCTTGTAAACTTTGTATATTAAATGTCCTATTTTGTAGTCCGGTGATGAAATAATAAGCAGTGTGTTGGTTTACTGTTGCTCAGAATAATTTATATTACAAATTTCATGTTTAATATAATTTATCTTAACCTCTTGCCTTTAAAAGATACAAAAGGTTTATGTTGTATAAAATAGCTTAATGTATATCTATTCTTATATGTCACATGTATTCAAATCAAGGGTAGGCCTTCAGGCATGTTTAACTTGTGGTAAAAAAGATATTATATTAACTCTTAATGCTGCAATCCAGAGCTACAGTGCAACGGTGAGTCTGCATTACTGGGATCAGAGCTGAATACATTTCTGTCCTGTGGAAAAACAGGTGTTTTGAAAGTATCTCGCCTATGTTTGTGTAACCAAAATAGCAGCGGTGCTTTCAATACTCGATTGCAGTTTTAAGTTATCTTTTTAAATGTGCATTTTACTTATTTGGCCTGCATTGCAATGCAGTCTTTTGAAATGTTATACTGCAAATTGGTTTTTATTTTATGAGAAGTTGCAATCCATAAACTGGCAGATGTTTATAAAGACATACAAATCTATTATATGCCCATGTTTGCTTGAAACTTCCCATGCGTTAGCTGCAGCGGTACAGTCTGCTACCTCTGAAATCTGTATTCCACATGCTGAGAGGATGCTTTTGTGACCAGAAAGTCTCCCTTTATTTCATAGACAATGCAAACAAAAGTTATTACAATATAATTTTGTTTCTGGTTGCTGGTTCATTAATATTGTAGGATTCCCTATGTATAATGTTTGCCATCACAGAACCATTTCTAACATTTGTTCTGTCATAATATTTAAGCACACGTGAATGTAATTATAGGGTGAGATTATTTGTGTTCCAGTAATTCGTCAAACTCTCAAGAACACAGAGATATAGCAAGAACTTTTGACATCTTTGTTGCCAAATGCACAAAAATATTGAAAGCCGATCTTTTGCAATTGGCCACTTTAAAAAAAAAAAAAATGTTTTAAGTACAGAGCCAACAACAGTGCGTTTATTTTGGTCGGTTCCTGGTCAACATCTTATCCATATCAATGGCTTAATGTGCACCACCTCTTTCTAAGGGGAGGAGAGTTACGATTCTTTGCCCAAATGAGAAACACGACATGATCCAGCGTTAAGCTCGGGGAGGATTATTATTGAAGTTACTGGTGAATAAGTGCTTTGTTTACATAATGAGATTTTAGAACGTGTATGACCCTTAGTTGACCCAGGGGAGATGTGACCTCCGCTTTGCTGCAGCTAAAGCAGGACCTAATAAATGATATATCTTGTATATTTTCAATAAGGGTATTTAACACACATCAACGCATTTAGTTTCTAAAATAGATGTATATCATAATGGAATGAAATAGGTATTTTTCTCGGCAGCTATTACTCTGCACAATTAATCTACTGTGTCACAAATATATAGTTGGTGGGATTCCTGACTTGAATTGGGCCTGTTGGATGTAATACCTTAATTTACTTGACATTTCTTTGAAATAAGCCATGTCCCATAGATAAGCCATACTCTCCAGTCCCCTAATGTTGTATGGTGGATGTTTAATGTTGGTGGTTTTATTTATAATGGTAGTTCTGTAGGTATGATTGCGCTTGTAATTATTATTAGTGTAAGTACACTTTATTAATATTTGTTTTGTGTGAACTAAGGGAATGTATTCATTTTCAGGTGATTTTTCTGAGGTATTTAAATAAACTAATAAATCCCGAAAGGAAATCTTTTTGAGCAACTTTTTAGAAATTTTAGAAATGGTACGAATACATTACTGCATATGAGCAAACAAAGTCAGCTTTAACTTTATTTATGAGATGCTTTATGACAAACTATGATATGATTTTTTTTTTTTAAATGTGTCCCGTTTAAAAAATCATATGTACTAAAAATGTAGCTGCAGCTGTGCACACGAAGTACAACGCTTCAACATTGTGGCTGGGAAAAATAGAAATGTAGTCACGACAGGACCTTGAAAAAGGCTAAAAATACATGAACACAAACGCACACCCACACATGTAGACGGATTGTATAAGCTTTACTGTACATGTTGGGGCATCTTGGTGACGTGCAAAAACACAAGTGCACAACGTGCAGGTTAATACAATTTTATTCATTTTGATTTCAATTAAATGACACAAATGTGTTTATATTACATGAGTACGTGAGTTTTTCCCATAACAATAGCAAGAAGTGGAGAAGAAAGCGAATAAGAAGGACGTCTTAATAAATTTGTACTGGATCGGTGCATACATTTTCCTAAGTTAAGACTTGTATTATGCCTCCATTGTATAAGATACGAGTTGTGCAGCCCATTCATGAAGGAAAGGCTGTATATCGCGTTTAAGATCCAGCTTATTCACAAAATACCAGACTTACACAATCAAAACTCTGACTTTGACTAAAAAAGGTTAGTGTAGTTATTTTGTAGAGAAGAACGGTGCCATCGTGTTGGGGTTTCACGCAGTTGGAATTGCCGTCAGCGGCACGTACCGCCTGGTGTCGGTATGGATTGTCTCGCTGTAGATGTTATTGAGCGGAATAGCCAGGTGCCCCGTTTGTCCGGACGCCTCCTCAGAAGCCACGCCGTAGGGCATCTTCGACATGATGGCCAGGCTCAGCTTGAAGAGCACGTTGTGGAGAGCCACGCGGTACTCCTTCCTCACCAGGCAGTAGATGACCGGATTGAAGCAGCTGCTGGTGAACGCTAAACAGTTGGCCAGGGGGAAAAAGTACGTCTGAGCCAAGTAGTACGAGGAGCTGATCTCCACGAAGTCCAGCTGGATCAGGGCACCCCAAAGTGTGAGGATGTTGTAGGGGAACCAGCACGCGCAGAACGAAAGCACCACCACCGCCACGGACTTGGAAATGTCGGCCCTCCGCAGAGAGCCGCTGCCCTGCAACGTGTGCCGGCAGAGGAAGCGCAGCAGCAGCAGGTAGGAGAGGATGATGGTGGCGTACGGCAGCAGGAACCCCAGCACCACTCGCAGAAGCTGGTTTACTCCCAGCCAGGCCGTGCCGGCCGGGAAGCGGAGCAGGCACGCCGTGTCGTTGCCGCTGCCCACGCGACTCAGGTCAGCAAACACGGCCCGCGGTGCCGCCGCGACCAGGGCCAGAGCCCAGATGAAAGCTGTGGCCACTGGAGAAGTGCAAGATCTGCTGCAGCGGGAGGCGTCGGGTCGGAGAGCGGTGGCCACGTAGCAGTACCGGGTCAGACTCATGGCCGTCAGGAAAAAGCAGCTGGCAAAGACGTTGAGACCGGTGAGCAGGGACACGGCCTTGCACGTCGCCAGGCCGAAAGGCCAGCTGTAGTCCATCGCAATGTCCACGGCCCAAAAGGGCAAGACCAGGGAGAACACCAGGTGGGAAAAGGCCAAGTTGAACACAAAGAAGTTGATCGTGCCGGTGGCGATGGTGTGAGTGGAATACAGCAGGAACATCACCAGCAGGTTGCCCACCACCCCGCCCGTAGCCACGACAAGGTACACCAGAGGCGGATGACCACTCGCGAGCCAGAGGGGCTCGTCGTCACTGGAGGGTCTCCAGCCCGCGCGCTGGTGTTGTGGAGGGTTCAGATGGGAGCCGTTACAGAGCGGGGCTGCCCCTGCAGCCGTTCAGGATGCTGATGAAGAGCTCACGCTTCTTAAATTCAGTTTGGGACATTTTCAAAGGGGGGGGGGGGGGGGGGGGGGGAGGCGACCTCGTTTAGTGTTTGTCCTCCTTGTGCCGGTCCCCCCAAAAAGTACGTTCTGGTCGTCTGTTAGACGGGAGACATCTATCTCTGCGAGGAAAGAGGAAATGATTATTACATAATAGGCGCTGCAGTTTGTGAGTGAATAACTACATTAGCCTTGTCAGATAAACAAATTACACTTAAGTGTTACCCACAGTTATAGAATTCAATTTGTATCAACATAAATACAATTATAGTGATAAATGTATTTATCCCTTTGATGTGAAAAAGCATGTTATGGACTGTTATGATCATGGAATAGCAGATACATATTAAACAACATAGTAATCTAGGAAAGTGATTTGCCAAACATAAGAATATTATATAAAGACTTAACAGGTGCCAGTTATTTAACTGAAACTTTATAAATGTTAGTTTTACATGCAATACGAATCAAGAAATTATTCAAACTTACATGACAGATTTAGACGTAAAGGATATTAAAGTTTCATAAATGATATGTAGCAATACTCTTTGCAGTCTTCACTTACTAAAATGTTACAGGATTTTTTTAAGGATACGGTAGATTTACTTTAGTTAATTTATCGAAACATGGTTTAAACTGAATAATCCTCTCACATTACAGTCAGTACGTTTTAATCAAAAGTTCGCTTTGACCCCGTTGACTCTGAAGACATTTTACAGCTAGATGGGCTAGAGATAGCTAGCTAAGGCATACGTTTCTCTAATGCACAAATCTTTTCATTTATAACTTAATTGTAATTGGTAAAAGGTTATAAACAACCAAATCTAAAGTTAGATAGAAATAGACAGCTTTCTTTTTGTAATATTGAACGGTTAAAATAAGAAGTGTCACATATAAATTAAACAACAAGTAAATATATAGTAAGTGTGAACTAAAACCAACCACAGTACTTTGTCATATTTCTATTCACATATATTTTAAGCTATATAGAAAAAATGAATCTTACCTGGATATAATGAAAGAGGGAAACTGTCAGGTTGCAACCATTTGTCGCGTTGAAGTCACGAGCTCTGCTGCACAACATCGGATTATCTCCAAGCGAGACAGCAACAACATTGTGCATGTACACCGCCCTGAAAATTCCTGCTCCACCCAATCATATTTTCCTCCCCGCTTTTTCAGATCAGAATTGGTCTGCAATGGAAAAAAAAAAAACTCTACAAAACAGATATCGAAGTCGATGAAAAAAACAAAACAACCCAGAACAAAGAGCAAAATACCCAGAAGAGAAAGAACTGCTGTCTCTATCTGGACTCCAGACAATTTGGTGGGGATTCCTTGATTATTGATCTTTTCCACATCATATTGTCATCAAAGTTGTTGGATTAAGAGATGCATACGTTTTATGCAACTGGGTTACAAATCTTTATATTCCAGCTATCCGAACAATAACTGCTATGATGTTTTTGTAAAACACGCTAACATTGCATTGGAAAAGTGCTCCATGACAAAATATATAATAGGTCAGTTGGGTCAGTGTGTAACTTTTCAACTGAAAATCAGTTTTCTGTTGAATAGCTTCACCAATTTTGGTGCAAATCAACTTCAGGATCTGTCAGGAAAGGTGGATGAATGGCATTAATACAATGGCAACATTTACACGTCTTGCTTACTACTCTTTGCATTAATAGAATAGAGCACATGCAACAATTCTTTATCCAGATTAAACACTTAACATCAAAGAGTTAATAAGGAAGTATTTGCACAATTAGGCCGCATGGTAACAATGTGGAAATGTTGAAGGTGCTTGGACCTTAATTATTTGTTTAAAAAAAAAAAAAGATTTTAAAAGAAAGAAAATCCATCAAAGCCACTTTGTTCTTTTCTATTTATATCTGGGGCGTTGCTTCAAGATTAGATTGAGCAGCAGAGATGAGTCTTAATTATACTTCGTTGATAGGGGAAAGAACATCAGCAGTAAATTACTAAATTAAATTAGATTGGAATTGGCGGAAGAGCGGGGAAGTTGATTAATGCTGGTCTGTCAAATCTGAGCCATTTTCTTGACCGAGCTGAACAAACCATGCAAGCTTTTCATTTTTTCATTGGCAACAATGTGCCACAAGGTCAACCTCAACGTTTTCTTCCACCACGCAGCTTTATTTAGGTCCTTGTAGCATTTGCGATCTGGCAGATTAATTATCGCCACACATGAACACACGCGGTTATTCTCACAGTACACCGCACTGCAACTATAGGCCAAAAACTCAGCATCCAACTTCACGCACCGACACAGATGCCAGGATATGACAGCGTTTAACAAAAACGTCATGTTTCTCTTACAATCAGAAGCGTTAAAATGACAACTTGTGGTTACAAACATTTGGTTTTTCTTTCTTCTTCGTCTGGTTTGAGAAGCTGAGCCCTACGACCCTCTCACTACGATATGCGTATACAACAGCATATCAAAAGTACAAATCCAAAACGTCAAACACAGACAAATATAGTATGTGATTAAAACTATTTGGTCAGTTGTGTCATAAAACCAAGCTGGTCGTGCTGCTGTGCTGAGCATTCTGCGCGGGGACCAACGCGGTGCGGCTTTGTCGCCATCCATTGTACGGATGAGAATCCAACACGTCCCGGTGTCGGCAGGAGGAGGGCCGCAGTGACAGCGCCCCCTAGTGGCGATGTTCCGACACAGCAGCACGCAGCCCGGGTCCGTTCACTCGGGACAAGTTGGACAGTGAAGGAAAGAGACACCGAGCCTCCCCCAAGCGGAATGAATCAATGCGTGTTAGTGACGTCTGAAGTATTTCATCAATTTTATGAATCAGCGAAGTTGATAACAATTGTTATTAAAAAAAAAGCAACGTTGGCTGCCAGAATGTGGTAAAGTAAAAGTTTAAAGCCTCATAATAATACAAGATACATCCCATCACTGCTTATTTCACCATTTAAGCAATTGGCGTGTTGTGACTGAAACAAATTATTTTTTATTATTATTATTATTATTTTTTTTAAACCACCCCAAAAAAACAACAACATGCTGGACTGAAGTTTGTTTCCCTCCAGCTGACCGACCCCGTCAGCGCGCCTCCAGCTGACGTCATATTACTCTTTACTCTCCGGGTAACGAGATGCGCGTGAGGAGGTCGCCGCCTCGCGACGCGCACGCAGCGGACAGGGGCCGCGCGCACGCAAAGATCAGCCGCCGCGTGTTTGCTTTTTTTGTTTTAACGTTAATAACGTAAACCAATAACAACCACTGCCGCTGCGCAGGAGGAGGAGGAGGAGGAGGAGGAGGACCGCGCTGCCCTCCAGGTGCTCCGCTGTGATTGAAAGACGGAGAAGTTTTAGCGCTGCGGAGGATAGAAAAACCCCCGCGCACAGCGCACGGATGGCCGTGCGTGATTTGTTGACGCGTTAATCCATCAAACGCAGCTCGTTTCTTTTGTTATTATTTTTAAATCACTAATGGGATTCCTGCAGGAGCGACCTGCCGCCCAGTAACCCCCCCCCCCCCCCACGGTAAGAAGCCAAACGCCGGTGATGCTGCGAGTCTCAGTCCGCCCGCTCGCTTTTTATTTGGTGGAGTTTGTGTGTGTGTGTTTGGTGGGAGTGTGTGTGTGTGTGTGTTGGGAGTAGGGGGGGTGGGGGGGGCAAAGTTAACTAGGCTGCAACAACAGCCCGTCTGTCGGTGAGTCGGCATCCCGGCACAAGTGTCCTGGGGATCGCGTGTCGCGAGCAGCGAAAACTTCCCCCTCCGCGCCGCGCGCGATCACCGGCGGGACGTTCCGCGTCGCTCCCGCGGGTCCGGCGCAGCTGGGAGGCGGCGGCCATCGGCGGACATTGTCGACGCAGGACGCACAACTTGTGGTAAGTGAGCGCGAGCGGGACAGACAACAAGGCTGCCATTGTACCAGATCAGCGGCGGATTAACGGAATTCCTTTTCTCTGCACTGTCTCAATGGCCTCCAGTCTCCCTCCAGCCTCCCTCCCTCCCTCTCTCTCTCCCCCTCTGCCTGCATGCATGCATGGGTACAAACATCTTGATTTGTAGCTTCTTCCCCCTCTGGTGCGCGTTACAAGCGGTGAACTTGTCAGCAGGCCGGAGATGTTCCCACGCAGCCGTGGTGAAACATGTGGATGGGATGGAGCTGCCCAGATCCTGTGGTTTTTGTTATTAGGGGTTGTGTGATTAGTGTGTGGCAGGGCTGCAACTGACAGACAGTTTTTGTTGTTGATAAATAGTTCGGTCATTCAAATGTTTGTATTGTTTTTAACTATGCAGAGTACCTGCTTCATGTCTGACCAACAGTGTGGCGTTTTTCTACGCAATAACTGAAAACATTAACCAATAGAATACACCTGTTCCTGTCAATGGTTGAATGAATGTGTTTGATTCCTTATAAACAGCATTGCAAGCAGGCGTTTAAAACCTGGGATGGAGACGTGTTAGTTGTGTGGAAAGCCTAATTACGTCCCACAGGCCACACGGCAGACGTTACATCGCCTTTATGTTAATGCACTGGAGAATAAACAAACCCAGATTATTCCATTTCTTACTCATCCACCCCTCCTTCCATACACTTGCACATCATGCACAACATGCACCATCCCCAGCTCTCCTCCCCCCTTGTATGTGGCCAACCAACATGTGGGGAGGTAATCCCAGCTATTAGGGTAATCTCCTCAGCATGACGATCAATAGGGGATGGTGTGCGACGACTACTAGACAAGAGTAACAGGGGGACAAAATTTGTGCTAAAGAAAAAAAAAATGATTTAATCATCTAGATTAGGTCAGGAGGCTGAGGTCTGGACAGGGGCTTGTCGCTGAACGGGGGGAGGGGTGCAGACAGGAAGATGTCAGGGGTAAGGCCATCGCCACTTTGGGCAGCTCCCTTGTGTGACAATGGGTTTAGACATTTGTTTTTCCTTAATCTGGAGTGAATGAACGACAAAAACACAGCTTCAAAATGGACAGGGGCCAAACCACATTCGTATTAGTGTGATGAGGAAACATTCTGGAATATTATAATAAATAACTACAAAAAAAATGCAGCATTCAATGAAACAAAACAAATCATCCATTAAAATAGCCAGAAGAACCTGTGGAGACGACTGATCCCGTCACTGTAAAAGAGATGGGTGTTCTAAACAGGTCATTAAGCTGTTGTTTTTGTGAACGCATTGTTAACACACAGCGTGTGTCGATCCAAATCGATACCTCTTCAAAAGCTACAGTATCTCATCAGATGACCTGCTGCCAGTATTTCAAAACCAAAGAAATCCCGCCGTAACTATTAAGTACCAACTGTCGTTATTACATGTACACTATGAGCAGGTCCATAAATGATACGCTTGCATACTGAACACACTAATATACAATGCTTATGTGGATCTGCTTGTACACGCGTGCACATCCTGCTGAGTGTGCATCCCCTTTTGTGATGTTACAACCTGACAGCAGAGCATACAGATCGACAGCGTACCGGACTCGTAGAAATTGGATTTGTTAATAGGCCCTGGTCCGTTGGATCCGTGTCAACGTCTCTGCCATTTGCAGATTAAAATAATACGGTTTTCTTCTGAAGGTTATTGCAGACTAGACAAGGTCCCGACCCAGTGCGGATTCCTCTTTAGGGCACTATAAGCAACGTTGCTTTGTCAACATCTCACCCACCAAAACAAAATATTAGTGCAAGAAAGAATTGAGTGAGTCTTGTGATGAATCGGAAGAAAACAACCTGCCCAGTAAAAATCTCCAGTGTAGGAACTGGAGTGCAAACACTGGCAAAATGTCCAGATGGAGGACGGGAGGGATGAGTAAGGCGCTCACAGATCCCCGTTGAGACAGAGGAGACTGGATGGGTCGGAGGGAGTCGGGTTACTTATCGGCCCTTTCTACTCCAAAGAAGCCGTGGTGTAAAAGATGCAACGCCCCCGATGGGAAACATAATCCAGACCTCGCCGCCAGCTGTCATTCTTTGGCTCCAGGGTAAAATCGCAGGTATCGCCTTACTCTTCCATCCTTACCTTAATGATAGCAGGAAATAGGAAATTACACACAATGTTCTGCACTAGAACTCCCCATCTGCTTTGTAATGGGATACGTTTGATCAAAGATTTCACATATCGCAAAAGCACACCCCCTTAGGCAAAAGGAAATTTTACTGTAGTATTGGATTTTCCCCAAAAATTAAGTTTTGAACTGGGGCTAAAATCAATACCAGATACTGATTCAAATCGCAGAGATTAGTTGATCAAAATATTTATTAAATTAAGCAAAAAGTCGCTTCCTTCAGTCCATCTAAATGCTTAAATTTGTGTTGGTTGCTGGACTAATGTAACAAAAATAAAAGCAATTTAACCGTCCAATTGGGCTCTGGGGAACTGTTACGGCCCTCTTGCTATTTTATAATATAACAAAATGTACAGTATGTATCTGAAAAAATAATCAGCATATTAGTGAGAAACTACTGCGGCTCCATTATCAGACAGACCTGATAGACTTTGTAGATCACTAATTTGTAACTGAAGGTGTCGCCAGGGTTTTTCGATGTGGAGATTTCTCCACAGAGAATAAATCGAGTGTGACTTTTAACGGTCTTCTTTTCCAGGTCAAACTGCAAGAGCAAGATATTTTCCTCCTGTAATCTAATCTGATTTTAATCAACAAACATGGTGGGGGTATTTTGAAGTTTGCGTTTTTTCTGTGGCCTCAAGCTTTGGAGGAGGACACTGTACCGCCCGCTTATTTAATCCGTGTTAATCTGTTACGTTTTCTTTTGCCTCGGCAGCTTAATCTTTACATATGTAAGGCCGCAATGAGTGGCTCTGTGAACGGCGGCACCTGAGCGACGCCGCAGGGCGGAGAGGGATGACGGACAAAACTGACCGAGTGGAAGACGGGGGTTGCAGAGCGATAGATGGAGAGACATAGAGGGAGACTGTCGGAGCGAGTCTGAGCTGACCTTGCCATGATAATCTAATCCCTGTCGAGAGTGCTTTTTTTAGAGAGCAAGTTAATGCCGGCAGATTATACTCCAGTGTCTCCCACACTGGCCAATCCACACCGAAAAGAGGGTATGTCCGCCGTGGATTCTCAGACCCACCACAACGTCAATTAACGTCAATAACAGTCATTTCAAAATGTCCCCGCGGATCACGTCTCTTCACTGTGGCCTCGTTTTTCTTTTTTTCCCCCCAGTCCCATTGTCCGGGTCATCTTTTTCTAACGTCTGGATTTTGGGGGCTTGCACTAGACGGCTCTCGCTTTTTTAAAGCAACTGTTCATATTTCCACAACAACCGGTTAAAAGCACTGCCACGGTTCCCTCTCCTCTTTGTCAGGGTCCGATCTCTCGCTTTGGAGCACTAACGGGCATCCGTGATAAAAGGCCACTCATTGAGCAGCTCATCTCGTGCTATGAAGAGTAATCCCTGTATATGTTGTGTAACCGAGTGCGGAGTTGGACGAGGAGGAGGAGGAGGGGGATGGGCTCGATTGTGTGCAACTTTGCCCGTGCTCGTGGCCGTTGAGCTCATGGCTTTCTAATCTCGTAGGTACATTAGGCTGTTTGCCCACATCGCTGCGCTGCGCGACCAGCGTTGGTCACACGATCGCCTCGCTCTAGGAACGCCTTCGGTTCTTGAATTAGGAGCCATGCAGGAGGTTACCGGGTCGCGCTGAGGCATCATGAGGTCGGCGTGGTCAACGCGACGCGGCCTGTCTTGCGCTTGGGAAATGGAGCAAAGTGCTATAAGAATCAAAATCGATAATCTTTAATCCTGCACTAAAAAGGGTTTTTCCCCTGTGGTCACATTGGTGTTGTGAAGGACTCTGTAGCCGTGGGATTCGGAAGGAGTCACGAGGAGTCCTTTTTATGAACTTGCAACGGAAGCTTATTTATCTCACAGACCTGAATGTGGGGCATTAAAAACACGTCATCTCATGCAAGCACCTGGGAGTGTGTGCCGACCCCCCTACATCTGGAAGGAGAAGTCTTCAACCGCATCAGCAGAGATTACATTTTCTGCATACTTGCCCCGGAACAGATTTATATGTTTGTCCTTTGCTGGAGCGTCGTACTGCACAGTTGTTCATTATGGTTATTACACTAGGAGAACGACTTGTTCCAGCATGGCTTAATAAAGAATTTATGCCCATTTTCAAATATGACTTAGTCGTTTCTGGTTTAAGCTGCTAGAGGTCACCAAAGGCATTTCACATACAAAACATCAAACATTTACATGAAAAGGCCAATTATTTTGCCAAATTAAAGCCATTTTAAATACTACACAGTAGAGCGCTTTATCACACAACTGATGCTTATACCCCCCAAATGTTGGAGTGCGTGATAGTAGACCTCCAATAAGGGAGTGTGGACAGTTTGTATGCACATATGCATGAAACTAGACGTCAGTATGCAGTCAAATGGTTTTCCACAGACACAAAGCCTCCAGGAACTTGATATTATGTTTAATTGTTTTTTATTTTTCACATTAAAACTGCCCACAGCAGACAGGTCTCGGATTCTTAGGTGAGCCCGAAGGACTTAAAGATAAAACAAAAAATGTCTCCTCCCGCAATCTCCCTCCCGTTGCATTTAACCGACATGTACAGGAAATAAAACATGGTCGGTTGTTGCATCAATTTAGTTCCATGCCGTGGTTGTGAATCAGACAGGATTATTGGACACAAAACGGTAGATGCGAGCTGAGGCTTAGCGAGTGACTATGGCTTTGAACACTAGCATAAGGACGGTCACATGCTATCTCCAGTCAGGGGTATGTTGGCACGGGCTGGATGCTGGTTGTTGAGAATATTTGGATGACTAAAGCACAAGCACGCACACAAGCACGCACACACACACGGGCAGGCACATATACTCGCACAGTTATGGGGGTTTATATGCAACTGCTTCTGAAGTTGCTGACTGTAGACAGGACATTTGTTGCCATGTGAGGTATTTTGTTGTATTGGATGATAAATCGTGTCGCAAAGTAAATTCAGGGGAAATTCTATTTGCAGATCCTGGCAGGAAATTACACCCACAGCAACCGAGCACACAGGCAGTGCACACACACACACACACACACACTAGAGACTCTCAGCATCAGTGCCCTGACCATAGGGAGTTTGTGCTGAGCTGGTTGGGACGTCAGGATGAATCAATGCGAGGACAGCTGACTGGACATGCCTATTCATCTGCCAAAGAAAAGAGAGAGAAAGAGGGAGCAAGGGATTCTAAAAGAAATGAGTTAAGCCCCCCCGGAGCAACATGTTTGGCTATCTGCATTACTTACACATCCTCCAAAGGGCTTTTCAGTAGTTATGGGATGAAGGCAAGAAAGGTGGAAAAGGGAGGGCGATCACTGGGGCGATCAAATGTTTGGTAGAAATGAATAAACAAATTCCTTGCTCAATACAAACCCTGCACATTAGCATTTTTTCGGTATGATTTAGCAAAAGTGGGATACTGCAGATGCAAATGTAGCACGAGCTAAGTAAGCACACAGGCTTTGATAAAGGCATAAGCTCATACTGTAGAAGCGGCTAGCCCCACACTGATGGCCCGTTTATTCCCATCTGTTGCCCTCAGCTCTCTGACTTTATCCCCATTGTGGCAACTCATTACGTTCGCCTTAACCTTAACCCCTTAATTGCCACCCTCCAGTTTGCCCTGCACATCCTCCCCCCTCTTGGAGACAGTGTGCCACATTACCCATACACTAATCTCATGGCGTCTGCCTACCAAACACCTGCCATATGCGGGGGAAAAAACCCTCCTAAACCCCTCCCATACTCCAGATAGAACACCCATTCCAGCGTGAGCGGATCAGCACACATGACTGCAGGCGGGCAGGCAGATGCGACTGTGGAACCAGATACAGACAGCTAGACAAGCTCGTACCTGGAAAATGATGACCGGAGTCAACGTCTCTTTTTCGCGTCATGTGCAACCTTGTTTTTTCCTTTACACCCAAAAGACAGACGAGACAAACAAAGGGTCGCCCTTTGTCCCGCCTCGTAGCTCAGACATGTGTTGGAAGACACTGACGTGTAGGCACTGGCCTCTTTGCTTTAACAATAACTCTCTTGACCCCCCAAAGAGGAGTGGAGGGCCAGACATGAGGCGATGTGACAGTTCTGGTGCGGCCAACACAATAGCAGGTTTTTTCTTTTGACTGCCTGGCTGGCTGGATGCCACTGCAACAAATAGGTTTGCTTTAGGAACCATGTTCAACCGCATCAGGTCCGGACCGGGCATCGGCTTCACTACGGAGTAAAAAAGAAAGGTCTGTTCGGGTCCTTGATGAATTTGTTCTGATTTTCTTTAGATATCTCAGAACTGTAGCTTTATGCATCACGTTTTCTGGTTGCAGCGGGTTTCCTTTCACATGAAGACGACGTCGGTGAGGAATGATGACACATCGCCATGTGCAAGACATGACGAGGGGCTACGATGTATCATTATTTAAACTAATATTTAGAAATATATTTACCTAGTTACCGATACCCACCATTTTATTTAAACACCCCCCCCCCAGAATTAGGTCCTGTGCCTGTATGCTGGCTAGTAAAATGAAGTTGGGTGATAATGGATTATTGATCGTGAATTAGAGTGGACCGCCCCCTCAGGGCTCATCCTTGTTGGCCAGGAATGAATGCATCTCTTCATGCTTCACCTCACACACTCAATTTAGGCACAGGAAACCAAAGAACGACACACACGCATGTTGAGACACTGACCCGCGCTCTAATGCGCACAGACAGGCGTCGTTCATCCACAGAGGGACAAAGGTTATTTGAAAATCAGTGTGATGCAAATGGCCTCAGCGGGCTCTCTGGTTTGTTGTTTTTACACACGAGGGAAACTACCTGAAATGTAAGGCTGCCTAGTTCAGTGAGTCCAGTTCATCTCTCCACATTCCTTTGATACGTTACTTAAAAGCAAACTAGAGTAATAACTTTGAAAGAGAAACCTTTTGTAGTTCTTTGAGTAAAAAATGTCACCAGTTTATGATTCAACTATCATCCAGTCTTTTATCCAGGTAGAAGTATTATTACTATTATTATATTATTATTATTGGAACTACTTTATCAAATATTGTAAATCCTTGATTCTTGAAATCTGTAGCGAGTTAAAAGACGGCATGCCTGAAAGAAAGAAACACTGATCATTTACAGGTTTCATTTTAAAATACAAGTAGTTTGTTTTCTGATTTCTAAAGTTTCCCTTTAAACCTTTAAGAGATGTCACCTTGTTGTCGGCTGAAAGCACCAGATATTTCATTACTCTTCATATGATTCATCTCGAAGTAGCCTAACAGCTTGGTGCTCTGTGCTCCAGCCTCAACAACTATCGCCTCCAGGATTCTATGTTTATGTGTTAAATGTTGAGTTTTATTGGCCTTTTTGTTTTTACTGTTTAATGTGAAGATTTCCTTTTCTTATGAATGTGGTTTATTCTTGGTTTCAATGTATATTGTTGAGTAAATCTGGATGTGTACTTAAAATAAATACCAAACGAATGACTTTTTGGGGGTAATTCATTATCATTGAAAGCGATTAGGCCTTAGAATGCTATTATCAACTCCACTTAAAACAGATTATATTATGTAATTATTTAAGCAGTACTATTTTTTCACTGACCTTTTTTGATGTAATTTGTGAATATGATTCATAAGTGTAACAATAACAAGCCTAATTTAAATTTCTTTTGTCTTTCCCAAGGTATTGTTGAAAAACAGTAAACAACGTGAACAAAAGAACATCTTTTCAAGTGTGAGGATGGACACTAAAGCCGGGAACTTTTGCAAGTTTTTCATGCGTGCCCTGAGAACTCACTGACAGATAAACTTTGCACACTTCGATTCATTGCACTGCTGTGGTTTTTGACCGGTGCTCCAGGAAAAGTAATGGAGACAGAAGAGCGGGAGGATGGCTCACAAAACCTCACGGCAAATACAAAGGCGGAGGCGGTGGACGAGACCTCCGGCCACACCTGTGGGGTGTGCGGCCGCAGCTTTCCTCTTCTCAGCTCTCTGTCGCAGCACATGAGGAGACACACGCGGGAGAAGCCCTACAAGTGTCCGTACTGCGAGCACCGGGCGGCGCAGAAGGGCAGCCTGAAGGCCCACATCCGCAGCCATAAGCTCGGCCTGTTCAGCCGCGACCTCGGTGACAAGGGAGGGGCCGGAGCTCGAGACCCCGCGACGCCCGACCCTGCAGAGAGCGTCGGCGCACCCGACAAAGCTCAAAACGTCCCCATGAAAGCGAAGAAGAAAGGAACCAAGAAAAAGGTTAAGGGCAAAGGCGCCATGGAGCTGGGCGACGGGGGCGACGATGGGTCCTGTACCTGCAGCATCTGTGGCCAGGCTTTCCCTCAGGTACTCCTCCTCAAATCCCACATGAAAAGGCACCGCAATGCACAGGACCACGGCTGCCGGATCTGCGGACGCCGCTTCCGCCAGGCGTGGTTCCTCCAGAGCCACATGCGCATTCACCGGGTCAAAGCCCAGCTGAGCGGCGGCAAAAGCAACGAGCCGCCCGCCACCGTCAACGGAGTTCCCCAGGACCCGGCGGCGCTCGCCAACGAGGTTTGCCTGTTTGAGCTCTGCGCCGGCTGCGGGAACTTCTTCGATGACCGCAAGACCTTACGGGCGCACGAAAAGCTCCACAAACCCACCCACGGCCGCACGCCGACACCCCAGCAGGGGGCCGGTCCCTCCGAGCCGCACGCTGCCAAGACGCGGTTTTTGGAAAGCCTGAGCCTCACGCGCGCCGGGCCGAGGGAAACGCCGGAGGACAAGAGCGCTGGCAGGCGAATTCCGGAGCTGGATCCGATTTGCAGTTACCAAGCGTGGCAGTTGGCCACCAGGGGGCGACTGGTGGAGGCCACGGAGAAATGCCTGGGATGGGAGGAGAGGCTAGCGGATGCCGAGGTGGCGTTCGACACAGAAAAGGGCGAGTACGTGCCGCTGAAGCAGGAGAAGAAGAGGAAGCCGGCGGACACCTCCAGCTCCAACATCAAGAAGATCAAGGGCGAAACGGGCCCCGAGCGCTCGCCAAACGGCTTGGCCCACACTAAAGGGGGAGACAAGAAGATTTCTCAGAAAGACCGGATTTTGTTAAACGGACTTGGACACGCGTTTTATGAGGCGCTGCAGACTAAGAAAGTCAAAGATGTCGCCCTCACACCCAGACGCAGCAACAGCAACCGGAGTCAAGACCAGGAGGGTAAGCATGCACGCTTGTTTGAATTGATCTATCTAATGGTAATGTTTGTTGAAACGCAGTCTTCTTCTGGTGAAATACTGACCTCAATATAGGCCGATGAAGATCAGATATCGGACACTGCTGTAAGGGAAGTCATCCGTGTGAAAGTTCAGCATCATTATACCGTGGAAAGGGGAGACATCTAGTGAATTTATAACTGAATTACAGCTGGAAATGCACTTGATAATACTATAATATTTTGAAAATGCAAACCAATGAAGGCTTTCTCTACCCGAGGGTTCAGAAGAGTTTTTTGACGTATTACCGATTTATTGGAAAACATTTTTACGAGCTAAAAGATACCTTTTGTTGGCTATTACTCAACGATACGCATCAATATGAATTACCTGGTACGCTGGACAAAGTGCGAGTGGTTTTAACAATTGGAAGAGCCGTTATTAGAGAGCAGAGAATTATTTAAAAGAATATATTTTTTTATTTTGGCGATTAGAAATCAGTATCTAATGAAGAAAACTTTGTAGCCGGTTATGAATAACAATCGTATGCTTTTGTGGAAGGTAACTCATTTTAAACCTACTCTACTGCTAAATAAAAGGCTGAAATCTTGCCTCGTTCAACTAGGATTAGACCGGCGTCCGCCTGGAAGGAAGAGTATCCGGTTCTCCACCATTCACCAATTTGTCTAAACGATTAAATTAACAATCACACTTTAGTTAACTTTTGAGAGTCTTTAAAGTAACTGAAACATTCATTGTAAGAGTAAGACGTCTGTCGAAGGTTCATTCAGGTCTGTCAAACCGTACTGTCAAACCTGCCACATGATGATACAGTGATGTACTCATAGCAGATGTTTGTTGCATTATGCGACTCCAGGTTTGCTCATGTAATCGCTGCTATTGGACAAGTTGTACACAAACACTTTAATATATCGGGTTTCATAACTTCTGCTTTTACCTACAGATAAAAAAACACACTTCTGCGAGCACTGTGATTTCCACACGGTCGACGCCTCGCTACTCAAGTCTCACCTTCAAAAGCAGCACCAAGACTTCCTGGGTCCCCACAGCAAGCACAGCATGACTGTGGACAACAGCAGCCAGAGTGGCTCCAAAGCCTCACGATACATGGACTACCTCAGGAACAGGAGTTTGTTGCTCAGTCAGCCATATTGGAATCCTTACACATGCACACCTGGCCCGGGGTCAGCAGCATCACACGTTAAGGCAGAGAAGACAAATGACACAGAGGTCAAAGGCCACACCACTGACGCCGGAAGTCTTCTTAATCTGTCTTCACTACCCGTAAGTGAAGGAGAGGCCTCCGTCACTCATCTAAAAAAGACGGCGGGTCTGGTAAGACATCAGTGCCCGTACTGCTCCCACACTACCAACTACCCAGAAGTGCTGTGGATCCACCAGCGAGTTGCGCACAGGGTGGACGGCAGCAGCTCCGCGGCACCAAAGTGGGCCCCCTGCATTAACAGCAACAAGAGTCTGAAGGCTGCCGGTGCCCAGTGGAGACGCACGGGGCCGCCACCATTCCTCGAAGGCAAGGACTGCCCTGCCTTACCCGCTCCAAGAACTCAGCGCACACAGCCTCCAGGGTCGGCAACCTCCAGCAGCACCAGCAGTAAGCACTCAGCTCCCAAGACCCAACCAGGAGCCCCCAAGTCCAAGCCTCAGCCTAAGGACTCGCGCTCCTCAGATGGGACACAGTCCAGCGGGAGGACGGGACCCCCGGCTCAAAAGAAGTCCGTCGAACACAACAGAGCACAGAAGGGGGGCAGTAAAGGCTCCGGCGCTCGAGCCACTTCATCAAGCAGCATTGTGCACAGCAAGAGCTCCTCCGGTCTCCAGCCGGCGGACGGCCCCAAACACAGAAGCCACAGAGCGCCGCCGGTGGAGGCAAACTTCCCACAGGAGGGTTTGGGTTTCATGTTGGCCAGAAATCACGGCGGCGCTTCATCGGACGTCTCTGCGGAAAGACCCCATTCCCAAAGGCAGTCGCGTGACTCGTCCTCAGGCCCTAAGGGTCCCGATCTGTGGGCTGCCATGAACATGTGGGGTCACAAAGCGTATATGGAGCCAGTCCGTTTTGCTCAGGTAAAGAGCGAGTCAACAGGAGATGTGCCAATGGACATTGATATTTTGAGTCTCCTGAAAAACTACAGTCCACATGATCTGGCCGCCGTTTACCAGCACTGGGGGTTTGTTGACCCCAGGATTGATCCACAAGGTGAGGAAGAGCTTTGCTTTTGTCTTTTATTTACCGCAAACAGACTGGTTGACGTTATGATGTTTTACACGGATGGTCAGCAGTAGGCCTTCATTCTAAAACTTGTGGAAATCAGAATGAGACGTCACCATGATATTCGTTTACATGCTCTTTCTATACTCCTGTTACAGCAATGTTGCAGTTAAATGGACATTTTGGCAAAGAGGTCCACTCCACCACTGAAGCTTCCAAACAAGTATGTTTTCTTTGCAGCATATTGTAGTTTTGGTAGAAATTATCTGTAGTCTTCAGCCTACGGAAAAGTGAAGGAACGGACTTTAGTTCAAGGCCCAATCATGCCATTTTTGCTTTGAATTGAAAATATAGAAGTTATATAATATATATGTTTACTCCTTTATTTATTCAATTGTGTGATGTACTAAAAGTTCATTTTGGGAAGAAAATACCAGTTAGTTGGTGGTGGAAAAAAAACAGATTTTGCCTAAAACTAAAGATTCAATTAATTTTCCTAAATTTAGAGCGACATTAAGGTCCCTTTATTCTTCACAGGTATGTGCAGTAAAGCTTATTCAACTGTGTGTGTGTGTGTGTGTGTGGGCATGCACGCTGTTTTTGTTTGCGTGTGCGGTTGAGAACTCGTGCGGTCTTTTTGATAGACAGGGATGAGGCAAAAACATGGTTTTCCCCCTCAGGGATGGACTCTACCAGCATCTCCATATGATGCGTCATCAGCCTGTCAGTCAGGCCTACCCTGACGCTACCTACAACTGTTCTTGCCTCTCCCTCCCCCCCCAGAGTAATACGTGGGCAACTTTTTAATACACTAAAGATGGACAATTGCGGTATCCGTACGAGTGAGGAATTACCAATGAGATAAATGGAAAATGGAAAACCCAGTGGTGGTATTACAAAATAATGTGTGCCATCATAGCATAGACAGTTACATTGCATTTCTTCTTACGTGTCTAAGATAAAAAACGTCACTGTTAATGATATGCGTAGCATGAAGCAGTCTTGCGTGCAGCTTTAGGCTCAATTAAAGATGCCTTGTATGCAGACTAATACACGAGGTCTGCTGTAGACATCATTCCATCATATGTATTAACACACTGTAAAATCACAAAACCGATCATATGATCACACGATAGGTAACAAATTGATTGCACCGGTTGAAAGTCATTTAAGAGTTTATACATATTATAGTTTATGCATTGGAGCATTGTTGCCCTTTGGTACACATTTAAGTACATGGTTATGCACCTTTTTGTAATTAACAACAACAGTGTGCCCATACACTATCCCCTCTGTGTTGTCAGATCCAATCTAACTCGTGTGCCTCATATTTGTCTCCTCCAGGTCAACAGCCGCTCCACTTCCTCCTCAGGGTCTCTTCATAAAGGAACGTGAAGTTACACCGTGTTGCTGTTCGCTCCCAGCCTGCATGAGAGAGAACAAGGCCCACTGTTCTCTGAGAAGGAACCAGCCATAACTCCTAAACAGATTGAGGCACCGGATAATGCAGCATGTATGCAATGCAATGAGGTGGACCCTTATTTTGTAATATGGTTGTTTAATTTGTGTTTTATATGTTTCTTTGTTTTTTTTTGTTAGTTACCAAAACACAACTAGCTTTTCTGGAAATAAGGTAGAACTGTTTGGAATTTTGTCGGGGGTGTTGTTTGAATGAAATGTGATGCTTCATTAACTAAAGGAGCGCATATATCAGCTGGTGTTAAGTAGTAAATGCAAAAACAATAAAACAAACCTCAATCTTAAAAAAAACTTGACAATTACTTCCCTATACACTGTTTATTTATGTTTTACACAGCGCTTTATGGGTGTAGAATGGTATTTTTTTTGTTTTAGGATTATTACTATATTTGATTGTCTCATCATTCAGCTTGTCAGTGAACTTTTGATTTTGATGAAAATAATTCTCCCGAACATTATAGCTGTAACACATAAGACCTTTTATGTGGTTTTTGGCCAACTACTGCTAAACCGTGCCATCATTTTGGTAGAACCAATGTTGTGGAAAGTCAACAGACTGCTCACTTTCAGTTTACGGGAGCAGATTTCTGTAACTCTACAACTATTCTAGCATTTAGTTGTTGCTTTTTTTGACCAGTTTTGAATCCATGTCAAAAAGAGGAAGCGGGACTGCGGACATATTAACTCAAGATAAACCCGTGACAAATTCATAGCTACTGCCAATCTCTTAGATCCAGAATCATTCAATGTGTGAAAATACCTAAAGGGGTGGACATCGTCCGTAGCCAGTCTGTCACTCGTTAGTGTGCGAAAAAGTACAAATACAGTGAAAAGTGGCGTCCTGCTTTATCATTCTACGTTTGAAATGTGAAGTGATCCTGTTGTTTTCTTTCAGAAAGATGACGTTGCGGTTGATGTAGCAATTTAATGCTGTGATTTTTAGAAGTAGAAATGTAGCAATGATGATTTCTGCTGATGTGGCTCCTGACTTGCCGCCTAAGCAACTAAAGAGAAATATTTGTTTGAATTTTTGAAGTTCACCTCATTCTAAAATGTGTTTGTTGTAAGTTTGCAGATTCGTTAGTAAGTCCAAATTCAGTGTTTCCAGCTCCCGTAGAGAAACGGTCTATGCACTTGACAAAAAGCCATCAACTCATGGATTCTCGGGTGATCTTGAGGATACGCAATTTATTGTTGGAGTACTGACTTTGTTCTGTGTGGAAGACAGTTTTTTGATAAATATTGTATCTGTTCATTTTATTTAAGGTATTTCTTTTGTTTACTAAGAGTGTGATTTTCACTCCAAGGTACTTTGTATTTGTAGTAACAACAGGGGGAAGAAAAACCAGGAGGAGGCCGGAGAGTCAGTGACTTGTGCAGTCAGCAGGTGTTAGTGATCGAACTGCTGAGGAGAAGTTTGACAGGAAAATGCTTGATTTTAATGCAAACCTGAACATTTATGCAAAAGCTTAAACGTGAGCTCTCACTGGGTTAATGTTTGAGACCATGTAAACATAGTTAAATTATGTTGGTATAAGAATTTCTATTTTCACCAGTTCCACATATTGTCTGACTGTTAACATGTACAAATAAAGTTGGTCAACGTAGATTGATATTATGATCCTGCTGTTGTCCTCGTCTCTCACACACTGCTTCTCAAAGTGCAGACTTGAGTCGAATCAACATTTGAGGCATTGCACACATTGCTGATTGGAGTAGAAACCAGACATTTGAAAGCTTTTATAAAGAGAACAAAAGAGGATTATATGCGCTAATTTTGATCGAGGACGACGACGAGGTGCCACAAGGTAAAAGACAGGTGTCAGTAATCCAAATATATGCACTTTCAGAGCCTTCTGCTGCAAATCATGAGGTCAATCACAGATTCCCTGACACTAAAATGATGGGATAATAAATCACTGATGAACCAGGTTTGCTTTCTTTGCCAAAAAGGATAAAATACAGCCTGGTCAAATCTAGCATGCACAATTAATGCACATTTAAGGCTGGGACACTTAAATGCGGCTACAAAATGCAACAGGACTTTTTTTTTCTCCAATTCAGGATATTCTGGAGACGACAAATCCCACCTTTTGGGGTGAGGTTCCTGATACGGAATGAATAGATTATATGTGAGCCATCGGTCCAGTTAAGTGGACCTTTGTCGTTTTAAAACGTATTTGTAATAATGATCTGTGTCATAGTATATTCATCAAACTTCTATCTATATCAATAGCAGTATTCAAACTTAACAATGACCTGAATGATTGATTATGACCACAATGTTATAATAATAACGGTACTGAATCCAGTTCCATCCATCCATCGTCAAACCGCTTATCCTGCACAAAGGGTCGCGGGGGGCTGGAGTCCATCCCAGCCAACTTCAGGCGATAGACAGGGTACATCCTGGATTGGTCGCCAGCCAATCGCAGGGCTACACAGAGACACACAACCATTCACACTCACATTCACACATCTACGGGCAATTTAAAGTCCCCAATTAACCTGATCCCCAGAGCATGTCTTTGGACTGTGGGAGGAAGCCGGAGAACCCAGAGAGAACCCACGCAGACACGGGGAGAACATGCAGACTCCACACAGAAAGGCCACTGGGCGGAATCAAACCCAGGACCTTCTTGCTGTGAGGCAACAGTGCTAACCACCACGCCACCGTGCCGCCCCATTGACAACATACAAGTATAAAAATCATTATTATTAATAAATCAGGATTATCTAGTCTGACCAGAGCAGGTTAGCCGTGCAGACCAAATGTCAACAGTAACTTGTGTGCCGATGCTTTATTGAAACCAGTTCAAAACTAAAAGAAATCACAGCTACATTCAGCCCTTAGAACTGACGTAAATACTGATCTTTTGAGGACAATTTTCAATTAATTTACACAATGTAAATGTATTAAATGGCCTTGATACTTTGATACTTGATGAACTTTTAATTGTAGGCCTGTTGGGGATCGTTTTTGTTTCATATCCATGCTGCAGTTCAGGTGATCTTTTGACCCGGGATTAAACAATGAGGTCTCATGCTCGCTGCAGTTTACAGCTTCTACCAGTAGATGGTAGGAAATGTCAACAATAGAGGATATAAAATCCTGCTTTGTTACAAATTTCCCTTTTGTGTGTCGTTGTATTTGTGAGGAATTGTTGTGACAGTATACTGTACGTCTTTGTGACAGTAAAACCAAATCAAGCTTTCTGCACCAAAACCTCTATATGCTGGAACTGTATACAGCTGATCACTAATAACTACAACTTAATGAGGCTCTTTTACCCGCAAGCGAGATTTAAACTTCCTAATGGTGGGAAAAGTCCAACTGGCCAAACAATCCACAGGCAACTTTAAACACATTAAAGAAACATGTTTTAACTGCATACATTGTGTGACTGTAAACATACGTGTCGCTGTTGGAGAAAATAAATTCAGAGCGGTACTTGAAGCAACTGTTGTCCAGCACATCAACAAGGATGTTGTTCCACTGTGTGTGTGTGTGTGTGTGTGTGTCCTTGTCACAACGTGTCAGTCAGTGGGCCGCGTTACATCTTGGTGCAGTGACAGCATCAGTTAGCTGCCCGAGAGACATCAGAGATCATGTTTGCAGTGCCACCAGCAGCAGAGATGGAGGTGGCCGCGGGGTCCGGGACTAGATGCTGTCGGGCGGCTGCGAGCAGGAGAAGTGAAGTGGCATATGTTGTCTGACAGGGAAGCGCCTGGCTGTTGTCGTGCAGAGAGGCGAGACGGACTGGTTGGCCGATCGGAGTGACAGCCGTCCTCAGTATGATGTCGAGCCTGAGATCTGAGCCTCGAATGTGAATGCAGTGTTGTAAAGTGACTGAATCTTCTATCCAAGGGAAGTTAAAAGGTCAGAATCAGGTTCAGCAGATTGAAAACAGATGTAGGATTTGGTTTAGTGCTTGAAGAGTACAATTCTAATTATTGGTTTTGGTTTTAGGTTAATAAACATTATTCAACAGTAAAAGCAAGTACTTTGGGGCGATGGATCAGATTAAAGAGAAAAACTAATGCAGTCAATGTAAAATGAGAGCTGGGTTGCAAAATGATTCCCGGTGTAGAAACTAAAGAAAAAAACAGGAATCTGTTAAAATCCAAAATATTTTGTTTGAATAGCACACAATCAGATCAAATGCGCCTCAAAAAGGGCTTTACAACACACAACATTGAATATGTTTGGATCCATTCGGGCAAGATTATGATCTATATAATGCATCAAATGGCAGACATATTGCATTTACAATTACTTTTATTCCACCATATACCAGCATTGTTGTGCATGTTGTACCGACACATAAGTTAATTTAAATTGTTCCGATCCGTAACATGGATTTCGGGCTCGGTTTTTGATACTGAGGTCCCGCTGTGCCAGTAATGACCAGACAGCAGGCTGAAATACCGAGTTACGCCCCCAGACAGGTGGACACTGGTGATAAGGAGATTTCTCAGCATTCTCAGTAGGTGACTGGAAATGTTATTCTGTGAAGCTCAATTGTTAGACCACGGCATTAAAATGACCCGAGTCAAAAGATGTGATTCCAACATGTACCTGTGTAATTTATACTCCTTTTTGGTGCTTTGAATACAAGCGGCCACTAAATGCAATATTGGACTATTCATTTGCTGTAAGGAGTATTTGAAAATGCCACGTTATTGGTAACTCAAGCTTTAAAAGTGGTGGTTTTCTCGATGCCAATATTTCCTTCCAATTAACTTTGTTTACGCTTTTTCAAACAACTGCAATTGACATTTAAATAGCTTTTATAGTTATCTCCATCAAGAGTTATATACTAAAATTAACAGCCATGAAGTAAAATATAATAGCAAAGGAAATTCATGAGGGCATCATTACTGAACACAGTAAAGATGAAGTGTGACACTCCAGGTAGAGAGAGACGTGCAGGAAGGAGGAGGGATATCCATCAGATTAACACGCAGTAATGTCCTCCTGGTCTGGCTCAGGATCAGTGATTTATCAATGCAAAGCTAATAGCATCAATATGAATCTAACTAAAAATCAATATTTCATTACCTAATTGTTAGTGGGAATGAAGAAGGATGATTGTACGAGACAGCGTTCGAGAGCATCTGGAGTTCACAGAGACATCTGGAGGACAAACTCCATCAGTAACTGCACTGCCAGGTACAACACACTTCCAGAGAGGAGGGAAAAAAGAATCAATGGACGTGGCTTTAAGAAAGGTAAAACACAAAAAACAGAAAGACAAAATCCAGTGATTTGTTGCATATTGCTAATGGGTGTTAAAATGTAAGGTTGTAAAATGGATTTATCAACTAGATTGTTGGCACAACAACACGTACAGTCACACAATCCATAAAAATAGTCCTAAGAGGCTCACGCAAAAAGATGTCAGGGCCAGACGCTCATGCTAGACATCCATCACGTGTTGAAAACAGTCGGTTGGCAAAAGCCAATATCATGGAATTTGGTGGCAACGTTGCATAAAATGAAGTTGAATCTCTGCAGCTACTTTGAAAGTCACATTGATAATCACTAGGGCTGTCATAGATAGTCCAAAGACTAAATCTTACAAGTAATGAGTGATCTTTAGTCATTGTCATTTAATTGTATTTTATGCACAAAAGTTCACACATGCGATCACCTTTGAGGCAGAATTCCACCGGGTGAAACGTGTTGAACCAGCGGCTCGTGCACTTTGCTCTCAACTCTCCATCATTTGACGGCTCAGTCTGAAGTGCCAACTCCCCACATTCAGCCAGGACGTTTTCAGACCGCAGCGGTTCAGGGACAATAGCAGTCCTCTGCAGACCGGGTGCCATGCAGGGTAGATGTTGAGATGGACGTAGCCTGGCAGCAGTGACGTGCGGCGAGGTCAGTATGACGGTAGGCACTGAGTTATGAAAGACAGATTACCTGATCTGTTTAGGCCCGCATGTCAAAACAATAAAAGTTACGCACAAGCGCGGCGCACACGCACAGTTGATAAAAATTTAGAAATTTCCAATCAGGAAGACGTATTGTGTACCCCACACACACACACACACACACACACACACACACACACACACACACACACACACACACACACACAGAGTCAATGTCCAGCATCAGAACGAAACCATCTTTATCCTTAATTATAATACTTGAGGCAGGACTTATGATAAGGTTTCAATTGTGTCGTGATTGAAGGCAAAGTCCGGCCTGTCGGACCTTATTGCTTAGTTATTGCACAGCGGCGAAAGTCAGTCAGCGACAATGAAAACACACACTGCTCAATTGAATATGAAGGCAAATAGCTTCTAGTCGGCATGGATTCAACCGCACTTATCAATTAGATGTTAAGCCCAAAATAGTTTCTGACTCACCAATCGGTAGAGCATTTATACATGAAATCCATCTGCTCTTTCTTTGTGAAGACGCCAATCACAGCGTTGTGGAACTCGCCTCAGATCTGTGATATCGGCGGACACCTTTGAATTTCGCGGGGATTTTTAAGTTCACGACGTAGGTGGTGTAGTGACGTCGGCTGCGCAAATGTCCGGTAACATCTAGATTTTAATTGGTCCATGTTTCACACATATGATTACTGGCATGACATATTTACGTGT